GAATGCCTTCTATGTGTATTCAGTCAGCTTCCTGCCTCCTTCACTATTTTTAGCCATAGGCCCTGATACATTCTCTGTCCTATTAGTCATTCATTGAGTACTAGTCAAGAAAGCAGCTCTGAAAATGTTGACTTTGGCTCAGGGAAGATGGAGCTGGCTGAGTATGGGAGTGTTTCTAAATTTACCCTGAGCTGGTTATTAATGGAGTTCCTAAATAGAACTGCTGAAGCAAAGCTGGGTGAGAGAGGACAGGTTCCGCATAATCAAGAATAACGTGTGCTCATTGCTCATTCGTGTATTCATTCACTCATTCATTCATTTGTTTTCAAGTATTTCTTAGTGCCTTATTTATGTCTGAGTATAGGCAAGACATGCTACAGATATTAGCATGGTTTTACTCTCTCTCTCTCTCTCAAGTATTTTTTCCTATAGGGCATGCATGCTCGCCAGAAAAACAGAGAGAAACAGAGAAACAGAAAGCGAGAAATCCCCCTCCACCGGGGAGGATGGCCACACGCAATCTCTTTTCCTCCATTCTCTCCTCGATACTTGGGCATGCACACATGGGCCCAGTGTGAGTTTAAACCACAGGACTCAAACACAGTCGACTACATGGGAGTCCAGTGACATAACCATTACACCAATTGCTGGCCCTGGTTTTAGACTCTGAAAACTTCCATGAAGCAGGCACAGGGAGGCCCCTTGTACAGATGTGGGCTGGTGCTCAGAGAGGAGCAAAGTTCACACCTGGTCTCTCCAGCCTCAATATGACAACTCGGCAATGATCCAAGCTGCACAGTCATTAGCAGGTTCTGGCGAAGCATATGGTTATCATAATCAGGCATAATCTCAGAACATACAAAATTATCTCAGATTGGGGTCAGGCCTACTGATTAAGGGACCTAGATCCCACATGGCTGACCATGGTTCAAATCCTGGCAGCTCAGAATTATCTCAGGCTCATGCGAAGCTAATTTGACCACCCATATTTATTTGCTCACTCATTTATTCCACAAGCACATGACTGCCTACCGTGTGCCAGGCCCTGTGAGGGGTAATGGAGGGGAAGGTGCTGTGTTGAGTGTATTGAAGTGCAAGACCATGCAATGTGGCTTTCTCTGCAAAGTACCACACCAAAAGAGCTTCCTTCCTCTGCCCTCTACTGCAAGGGGGCAGAGGTCAGAAACAGAGGGAGGGAAGCAATGTTTGCAGAGCATCTGTTGTGTGTTGGGCTCTATAAAATCCTTGACAAGCATTGTCCCGTAGCAACCAGGAAGAAGAGGGAGTGCTTATTTCTGTTTTGCAGATAAGGTAACGGACCAGCAATATCACAGATTTGACCCAGCTGTAGTAACCCTCCCTGGATGCTGCTCCTGGGCAGGCTGAGGTCATATGAGGGATCTGGGTTTGAGTCCTGGCTCACCCTAGAAAGTAGGGCATGGTGTCTTAAGTCTGTGGTCCCAGTTGCTCAGGAGGCTGAGGTAGGAGGATCTTGATATAGGCAGACCCTGTTTAAAACGAAAAAGAGACCGAGAGAAAGGACATAAGCAATACCTCAAGGTAACAGGATATAAAAGTATCTGTGATTTCTATTGTAGAGAGTCATAGGCTCTGAGGACATTACTGGGACTTGTTACCTACATTCATAAATGAAAGAAGGGATAACTTTTAGTTAAAGGTTAATAAGTTAAAGATGTCATTTTTTTCCCTATTCAAGCTTGTAGTCCCTGAAGTTCTATCTATGTGTGTGTGTGTGTGTGTGTGTGTGTGTGCATGTGTATGTATGTGTGCAGCGGAGGGTGCACGCGTGTGTGTACGTGTGTGTGTGTGTGTGTGGCGGAGGTGGTGGTGAATGCCAGGTTAAGAGTGTCAGGTTTATGTCACTTACGTTGTTCTGTTCTCTTTGAGGAAAATTTGATAAGAATTCATCTGTAAAAATCACTATTTGGGACAGCAGGGGGTGAGGGTGTTAAGGCAGCTGAATTCCACATGGCCAGCTGAGCAGTTCAAGTCACCAACCCAGCAGCTTAAAAAACACATTGGGTGCATGTGTGTCAGCACCTGGAATTCCAAGAGGAGAATTGAGGGGAAGGAAACGTGGTGTGGCCATTCCCCATGAGGGGTGATTTCTCACTTTCCCTTTCTCTCTCTCTATCTGTCTCTTTCCAGCAACTGCACACACCCTCTAACAAAACAACACAAACAACAATCACAATCTGGGCACTGTGGGATAGTATGCAGGAAAGTCAGGAAGTTCTTGACGCTCCACTTAGGCACATGAGGAAACAAGTTCAGAAGTTAAAAAGCCTGCCCAGGGTATATTGGCTACTAAACTGTGGATTAAGATTTGAGCCACACCCTGTCCAATTCCAAGCTGCTGAGAGAGATTTAGCACTGTGGGTGCTCTGTCCCCATCATCTTTCAAGGAGAGTATGTGAATCTTTATGGAGGGATGGGAAATTACAAGAGCCTACACTGAAGGAGGAAAATTGTTCACTTTTGCTTATTTTGTAGCCAAAAGCTGGGTCTCTTGGATCGGGTTCGCCTTTCTAATCCTCGTGGTAGCAATACTAAAGGAAAGCTATTTACCCCTCTGAATGTAGATGCCATAGAAGAAAGTCCTTCTAAAGAGCCAAAGCCTGTTGGCTTAAACAATAAAGAGCGTTTCCGCACCGCCTTCCGCATGAAAGCCTACGCTTTCTGGCAGAGTTCTGAAGGTAACGCCTATCTTCTCCCTCCTCTGTCTCCATGTCTCCCTCTCCCCTGCCCCTCCTTCCTTACCGCTCCTCTCTCCTACGATGAACTCGAGTTCATCAAGTAGCCCTTTCCATTCTCTCCCTCACCCACCAGTGTGTTTCACCTTTTCTGTGTTCCTTGGTCTGGTGGCCTCTGTGATATATTTCTGTGACTCACAGGAGACTCCCAAGTGATCTGTTGTCCCGGACCAGGACCACCACAGTTCATCTGGACAGACCCCTCCAGAAGCCATGGACATGTCCCCAAGACTTCTAAGAGTGGGCATGACAGAGGTCAACCTGAAGAATAGAGAGGGATAGGGAGACAGCCCTCAGTGCCTCCCGGGGTTGGGAGAAGGTGTCAGAAAACACCTTCAAAAGTTGTAGAAATAGGACCAGCCACGTGGCCTGGTGGTTAAGGGAGCCATATTTCAGATGGCTAACCAAGCCCAGCAGCTTAAAAAGCACACCAGACATGCATGCCTGTGTGCTCAGAATTCCAACAGAATGGAGAAATGGAGAAGAGATTGCAGCATGGCCATGCCTCATCGGGGAGTGCTTTCTCCTCTCTCTCTGTCTCTCTGGAGATTGTACTCCCTCTGGCAATTTAAAAAAGAAAGAAAGAAAGAAAGAGAGAGAAAGACAGAGAAAAGAAAGGAAGGAAGGAAGAAGATAGAAGAAAGAAAGAAAGAAAGAAGGAAAGAAAGAAAGAAAGAAGAAAGAAAGAAGGAAAGAAAGAAAGAAAGAAGAAAGAAAGAAGGAAAGAAAGAAAGAAAGAAGAAAGAAAGAAGGAAAGAAAGAAAGAAAGAAGAAAGAAAGAAGGAAAGAAAGAAAGAAAGAAGAAAGAAAGAAGGAAAGAAAGAAAGAAAGAAGAAAGAAAGAAGGAAAGAAAGAAAGAAAGAAGAAAGAAAGAAGGAAAGAAAGAAAGAAAGAAGAAAGAAAGAAGGAAAGAAAGAAAGAAAGAAGAAAGAAAGAAGGAAAGAAAGAAAGAAAGAAGAAAGAAAGAAAGAAAGAAGAAAGAAAGAAACCTTCATGCACCCCTTTCACTTAGAAAAAGAGCAGGAAGACACATATCCTCAGCCCTTCATCCTCATTGTATTACTCAGTCCTCTCCAAGACCTCTGAGGTGTGCAAGGCTCAGAAAGTGACCTCTCCAAGGTCACCAGGATAGAGACTGACAGAACAAGAATCCACCCCAGGTCTGCCCAGCTGTGAGGCTCACATACGCCTTTCATATCCTCCATGGCATCCCTCCCAGGCTTCTCACCTCCAACCCTGACTTATGAATAATAGAATAGGGATGCCAAGAAAGGCTAAGTGGTGCCACGACAAGAGAACTGGTTTCCCAAGGCAGGAATAAAGATGGGAGGCCCAGGAAAATGCTCAACAGTCGGGTCTGAGCCTCTCCAGCTGCTGTAACTGCCACTGACCCGTGTGTCTCCCTGACAGACGCTGGGACAGGTGACCCCATGGCAGAAGACAGGGGGTACGGAAATGACTTCCTCATGGAAGAGATGATCCCCACCCTGAAGGCCGCCATCCGAGCAGTTAGGTAAGCCTCCCCATCTCCGCCATACACCTTCCCAGGTCCAGGCTCACCTTCCAAGGGACATGGCTCTTAATGTTCTTGAGAACTCTGGGGAGAGGGTGGGAACCCTCTCCACAGAGGACGTAAATATGCATGGGAGATGCTGTCTCAAGAGAAATGATTCCTGTGTCAGCAGGTCATTGTGGGTGACTCCTGCTTGCCTTGTAAAAATGCCCCACAGGGGCCAGTCAGTGGCATGGTGGTCAAGGCAGCTGGATCTTACATAACAGTTAGAGTCCCAGATATGAAAAATATACTGGCATGTGTTCAAGCATACCCAAAATCCCCAAAGGAGAAATGTATGAGTGGGGATTGTGGCATGACCATCCCCCAATTAGGGAGGGTTCTTTTTTATTTCCCCCCCTTTCTGCCTCTCTATGGTGAATCCATGCATCCTCCACAAATTTTTTTTTTTTTTTACAAAAGCCCCACAGTCCTCTCGACAGTTTTCAACTCTCGTGCTCTTCTCTGGCATTAGCTGCCATTTATTTTGAAGAATGTCAGGGTGAGTGGTGTATTGTAAAGGGAGTTTTTTTCCCTTTACAGTCTTCAGACTCAAATAGCTTTTCTTCTGCCTATTTCATCTATATAGTTCCTTTTAACTGGCATTTATTTTAATTGCCAGAGTGTGCATGTGCTTACACCTGAAAGGAGAGGGGAGACATCCCCTAGTGGGCCATGGTCCACCACAATTCCATCTCTTCTATTTCTCCATCCTAATTAGCATTGTTAATAAGAGAGTAGATTATAGATTGCTTTTGTCTGTATTTGAGACCATAATCTACTACTCTATTTCTATTTTGCTTTAGAATTGTTCAGGAAAATTTTTAAAATATGCTACTATTCAGAGAAATTTTATTAGGACATGGGCATGTAAGCACTTCCTAAAAGTGGTAGGACATTCTATATTCAAGATGCCATATTCTCCAAAAACTGCTTATGATATTTTCCATCCAAGAGATCAGGAAGCTCAAGGGCATTGTAGTGCATGGACCTCAGCACAGTGTGTGATCCGGTTTCTCAAGAAACTTTGTTAGACAGAAACACAACTGCCTAGATTCGTGACTGGCTGAATGATGATATTGAAGTCAGTTAATGAACTTGTGTCAAACTAGGGATCGGTCTCTGCTGGGATACTCTACGGTCTTGTTTATACCCTTTCTTTTTCTTTTTTCTTTTTTTCTTATAGAGTTCGTGTACTAGCCAGAGAGAAAGACAGAATACAGAGAGAGAGGAAAAAAAAAAAAAAGGAAAGTGAGACGGCATCCCCTACAGGGGGATGGCCATGCTGCAATCCCTTCTCCTCCCTTCTCCTCTTGGGACTTTGGTCACACACGCACATATGCCCAGCATGATTTTCAAGCCACTGGGTCTGGAACTTGAACCATGGAGTTGGCCATGTGGGACCATGCTACTTTAACCTCCATAGCACTGTTGGACTGTCTTTTCTTATTCAACATTTTTATCGGTGTCTTAATTCAGGAGCCAGGAAATTTTTTTTCTCTTAAGGGCCAGATAGTTGATATTTTAGACTTTGTGGTCCGCAGGTCTCCGTTCCAAGTATTCAGCTCTGCCGTTATAGCAATGAAGCAGCAGTAAACAGGACATACTGGGTTGTCGGAAAGGTCAAGACGCATGTTTGCAGAGAAAACATAGAAAAAATACATTATGCTTTTCCAATAACCCAATACATTAGTAGGCATGGCTGAATTTCAATGTCTTTCCTTTCAAAAACAGTCAGAGGGAACCAGTAGTTAGAGTAATGGCTATGTCGCTGGACTCCCACGTAGTCGACTGTGGTCTGCGTCCTGGACCCGGTGGCTTAGAACTCACGCCGGGTGCGTGTGCGTGCGTACCCAAGATCCCAAGAGGAGAATGGAGGAGAAGGGATTGCGGCATGACCATCCCACCTGGGGGGTGATTTTTCGCTTTCTGTCTCTATGTATCTCTCTGTCTATCTGGCGAGCGCATGCGCCCTATAGCGAAAATCTCTAAAAAAATAAAAACAGTCAGAGAGCTAGATTTTGCCTGTGAGCTGTAATCGCTGCCTCCTGCCTTAGATAAGGCTATGTAGAGGGAAGGCTTATAAAATGACATAAAGCTTACACACAGCAAGTGAATAGCATGCTGTAATCAATATGCCAAAATAGTGTTTGGAAGCTGGAGATGGGGGTTAAGACAAACAGACTGAACTTTGAAGAGGCCACAAAAGAGAGACCTTCACAAGTAGGAGATAGAGGGCCTAGGGTGGGCTGTGGTCCACTGACACTATGATTAGGGGTTTTGATTGACACTGTGCTCAGCAGGACTTGACCTCAAGATGGAGTTCAAGGGGGACTTTATTTTATTTAAGAGATTTTTTTGCTATAGAGCACATGTGGTCACCAGAGACCTGGTGTGAGATTTAAGCCACCAGGTCCAGGACTTGAACCACAATCAGTTATTTGGAAGTCCAGCAACATGACCATTATGGCATCTGCTGGTCCCCAAGGGGGACATTATTGATTCCCAGAGAGATGGGGGTGAGGACTTGATTCATTTATCATTTCTGGGTGCTCTACTTTTTAAGGAACCTGAGAAAGCTCAGTGGATAGAAACTAGCTTTTGTAGAAGCTCATAAAGAAAGGAACTTAAGAGACTATTGAGGATGAGATGTATCAGCTGTCCCCAGAGAGCAGAGTGGCAGTGCTTAAAAGACAGTCCATGCCAGCACACAAACATGAGTTCGAGCGCCAGCTCCAACATCATTAGCCAGATGGCCCTAGGAAGAGGTGGAAGTTCATTGAGCCACAGCTGCATCAACTAAGAATTGATCTATTAGCAGAATTGTCCATAAAATGCTAAATTCAGTGTCTGGCATGTAGTGAATACTTAATAAATGTTAGCTTGAATTGTTTCTATATTTTCTTGTCCAAATGACTGAAGGAGGTAGGTCTATAAAGAGGTACCAGCCAACCCAACTCTGTGTGGTTTCAAAGGATAGAACCAGAACCAAGAGCTGGAAGTTCTCCCATGAAGACATTTTCTCTTTGGTTCTCCTCTACCCTCCTGTGCCTGAGTTTGCTAACCTGGAATCATGGTTTCCTTCACTCTTTGTGTACAACGTGCCCATGCCTCTACTTTGCCTTGTAGAATTCTGCAATTCCGTCTCTATAAAAAAAAATTCAAGGAGACATTGAGGCCTTACGACGTAAAGGATGTGATTGAGCAGTATTCTGCAGGACATCTGGACATGCTTTCCAGGATAAAGTACCTTCAGACAAGGTAAGCTGTCACATCTGGAAGGACTAACTCTCCCATTGCACAGGGATCGAAGCCACTTGTACCTTAGTGTTTAATCCAGAACATGTTGGAGGAATTTTAAGAATAAAAATATTCGGGACCAGCAGTTAGCATAATGGCTATGTCACTGGACTCCCATGTAGTCAACCACAGTTTGCGTCCCAGACCTGGTGGCTTAAACTCACACTGGGCACATGTGCGCACATGCCCAAGATCCTAAGAGGAGAATGGAGGAGAAGGGATTGCGGTGTGGCCATCCCCCCCTGGGGGGTGATTTCTCGTTTTCTGTCTGTCTGTCTCTCTCTGTCTGTCTGGTGAGCACACATGCCCTATAGCAAAAACCTCTCCAATAAAAAAAGAATAAACATATTTATTTTTATCAAGCATTGTAGATGTTAAAGCCAACCACACCAGATCGAACAAGCTGCAAAGGGTCTCTAGGACATGGTGGTGGCCAAAGTCAGCCCGCTGCTTAGGCCTGGAGAAGGTGTATGTTCTAGCAAAACACCAACTTGGCCTAGCATAGTGATAGACGCACTGTCAGTGCTCAACACCTGCTGGACCAATGTAAGTAAGTTATGAATTCTGAGCATTTATGCCCAGCTAATAATAGCCATCATTTTATTAGAACCCGGGTGTTCTATGTATAGTTCCTTATAAACCCAGAAGGGATGGTATCCTAGTGCCATTTTTTTCTATGAGGAAACCGAAATCAAAAGGACAAACAACTTACCCAAAATGATCTAGCTGGTAAGGAGCAGACCTGGGACTCAAACCAGGTCTGTTCTGTTAGAAAGTTTTTATTTTCCAACACACATTACTTGCTTAACTATAAGATAGTGGTTAAGGAAAGAATGGTATCTGTCATTAAAATGCTATGCAACCATAAAACATTGCTTAGAAGAAATTTATGATGGTTTTTTTTTGGTATTTTTTTCTAATATTACATTTAATCACATATATCTTTACAGTGTACATTTCTTTTTTCCAGCATGAATACCATGATGTATATCAGTCAAGACAAAAATATTACTAGCCACATAATCAATATCAAATAGCTTTTCATTTTTTCAGATTATTTTTATTATTATTTATTCTCACTATTTTTTTAAATATTCAACTACTATACATCATTTGACTTGTAAAAAGAATTTATCTAATATGAATAATGGATTTATTTTTAATGATGTGGTTTAGGGGTAAGTATGTATTATATAATTACTAATAACACACTATAATTATATATACACATACTTAACACATAACTGCCCACTGGATCTTATGGTGACATTAACAAATATATATGTATGTACATATGATTACAAAAATGTCGTTAGTGAGAAGCAGATATGGCTTATTACCTGTTGGTGATGACATGTATAGTATTCTCAACTGGATTGGTCTGAGAAGTATTTCATGATGGGTAAAGTCTTTTTACAAGCAAAATGAGAAATAGTGATTGACTGTTTTAAAAAATAATTAGAATAATAATAATAATGATTGGGAAAAAACATAGAAAAGATATTGAATGATGAAGCGGGGAGATCAATGTTTCTGTATTGACTGACATGCATGGCATTCCCTTTTGAAAAAGCAATGTAATACACTGTAAAGTTATATGTAACCCAATGTAATATAAAGAAGATTATGATGATAATAATAATTTAAAAAGAAAGAAAGAAAGAAAGAAAGAAAGAAAGAAAAGAAAAGAAAAGAAAAGAAAAGAAAAGAAAAGAAAAGAAAAGAAAAGAAAAGAAAAGAAAAGAAAAGAAAAGAAGAAAGAAAAAAAGAAAAGAAAAGAAAAGAAAAGAAAAGAAAAGAAAAGAAAAGAAAAGAAAAGAAAAGAAAAGAAAATGCATGCACCTATGCTTATTTAGAAATACACATGATACATACATATGGTCCCATGTAGGGGACCTAGAGAAAAGGACTAGAACTTCTCCCAAGAGATTTCAGAGACAATGCTGATATAATGAGTAAGCCCATGTTGACTTGTTTTTCAACAGTTTCAATTTATTGAATGTTTAATAAATTGTAAAAATATAATTTTCATGCCAGCAGGTGGCATAATGGTTAAGGCACTGGATCTCATGTAGCCAACTGCCCAGTTTGGGTTCCAGACTCAGTGGCTTGAAAATTATGCCAGGCACATGTGCATGCTTGCCCAGAATCCTGAGAAGAGAATAAAGAAGGGATTGCCTTGTGACTATGCCCTCCAGAGGATGATTTCTCACTGTCCCCCTCTCTCCATCTCTGTCTCTCTTCAACAAGTGCATGCACCCTATGCCAAAAATGTATATGTGTGTGTGTGTGTGTGTGTGTGTGTGTGTGTGATTTTCAAAAGAATTAAACACTGAAAATCTTAAGGGATCAGTTTGATGCCTAGAATCACAGAACCAGCAGCAGTTAGGAAACTGAAATCCTGTTCATAGCTCATTTGATGATGTGTGTGAGATTTCCAATTGACACAAGTCTTCTGTGGGCTTTAGTTTCCTCTTCTGAACCTTTCCTCATGGGAGTGTCCTCAGAGTAAATGGGAACATCCCCCTGAACAGATCAGAAGTTACTGATGCTGGCAAGTCAAGGTTTGCCTATTGGCCACCTTGCTTTATGTCTAAGTGGGATATTGACTTTCTCTAGCATAGTAGCATGCACACAGTCAGTGCTGATACATGTGAATAAATTGATAGGCAAACAAATTCTGAACCTAACATGCCGTTACTTATGCAAGTATGACTCTCTGAGAGGCAGAGAGGGAACAAAAATATCTACCTATCTTAATGAGCATATAGTGGATCATGACACTGTCATCACAGTTTTCGTGGTGGGCCAGCAAGAAAGGAATGGTGATTTATTATATGGCAGTGCCAACTGAGAGGCCCTGGGTTTCCAGAGAGGAGACAGAGGGACCCATGGCTATTTCTGGACTCATAATCTTAATGGCCCTGGTCCTGTGATGAGCCTTCAAGCTTGCTCTACCTCCTGCCTCTGTGCCAGTCCTATAGTGTCCTAGGGAACATTTTTCTCCTGGTAGTCCCATCACAGATGGGAAGCTACTGCCTCCTGCAGAAATGGAAGTGGGGTTTGGAGCTAGAGTCGTATTTATTCCTTTAATGGCCAGAGACGCTTGCAGAGCAGCAGTGATCCGCAAGCTAAACATGGGGTCTAGGATTTGGCAGTAAAAAGTCCCTAGCTAGACATTTTGGGGAGGGATAAGCAAGCTGGAAGATAAGAGGCTTATAGTTCACATGTCACATTTCCTATAAGAAGTAACAGGACAGAGCCCTCACCTGTCCCAGTGGTTTGTCTGCCTTCCTCTCCTCTGGGGTGGGAAGAAGCTTTCAGTATCACCATTTACAATAAACTAAGGTTGTAAGCTCTCTCCCTCTCTCTTTTTTTTTCTCTGCGTGTCTCTCTCTCTCTCTCTCTCTTTGCTTCTCTCATCTATTCCAAATCCCTATCTGATTTAAAAGGGAATGGAATCATTCTTTTTCCCACTTCAAACAAAGCTCTGTGATTTAATCCTCCTTTATTTGTTTCTTTCAGAATAGATATGATTTTCACCCCGGGGCCTCCATCCACTCCGAAACATAAGAAGTCTCAGAAAGGGACAGCATTCACCTACCCTTCCCAGCAGTCTCCCAGGTGGGGCTTGTGAGCACGGAGTGACAGATGATGTGGTGTAAAGCCCGTGAGCATCCCCACATTCAAATCTCAGCTGGGGTCCTTTACGTGGGTGAACGAGGTACTCCTCTAAATAAACGAAGTGAAAGAGTTTGAAGACTGTTACTGTCTGTGGCCATTTAAAAGTTTTGTACAAAAGACTTCCTGCCCCTCTTTGCTCTTTTCTATGGCTTTTAAAAATGAATATAAGCAAGGACCAGCAGATGGCGGAACAGTTACATTGCCGGACTCCCATGTAATTCACTGCAGTTCAAGGCCAGACCCAGGGGCTTAAAACTCACACCAGGTGCATGTGCATGCATGCTCAAGATTCCAAGAGGAGAATGGTGGAAAAGGGTTTGCAATGTGACCATTCCCCTGAGGAGTGATTTCTCACTTTCTGTCTCTTTCGCTGTCTCTGCAGTGAGCGCACCTGTCCTATGGCAAAAATCTCTCTTAAAAAAAAAAAAAAGGAAAAGAAAAGAACCTCACCAATTTCCTTGCTATGAAACAAGAGGAGACTTCTAAGTTTTATTGAGACAGGAAGAATACCTCACATTAGCATCCTCACTTAGACAGTTAGACCTTTCCTGCTTAATCATCCTGTGTTGACTGATACCCCTCCCAACACAAAGCCAGGGAGGCCAGTGTGATCTCAGAGATCTGACAACATTACAATGCAGAGAGCTTTGTCCTGTAGGAAAGCAGCTCTCTCCCTCCAAATAGTTTTAAAAGTTTAAATTAAGGAGGTGCCCTTTAGAAAACCCACTGTCTGAATTTACATCTCTTTATTCCCAAATGTCTGCAACATGCTAACAAATAAATGGGAAGTAAGGCTTAGAAATATCATACACCTGCTTCTGGGACCAGCAGTTAGCGTAATGGCTATGTCGCTGAACTCCCATGTAGTCGACAGCGGTTTGTGTCCTGGACCCGGTGGCTTAAAACACACCGGGCGCATGTGCATGCGTGCCCAAGATCCCGAGAGGAGAATGGAGGAGAAGGGATTGTGGCATGGCCATCCCCCCTGGGGGATGATTTCTGGCTTTCTATCTCTCTGTCTCTCTCTGTCTGTCTGGCGAGCGCACGTGCCCTATAGCAAAAACCTCTCCCCCCCGCCCAAAAAAAAGAAGTAAAAAAAAAAAAAGAAATATCATACACCTGCTTCTTATAAAAGAAACAGGAAAATAAGCTTCTGATAAAGAGCAGCTTATCTTCAGCTTCAGGCTTAAGTGAGACCTTGGGGACCTGGGCTACACATGGAGGTGATTATTATTCTGTTCTAATTTTAAGAATGAGAGTCCTGTGCTTCCAGACGGTCCAATTTTTCAAGAAAAGGTGTTCAGATATTATGTGAAAATCTCCATTTTTAAGATGGCCTACATGTTTTAAACCCTGCACACACCAAGGAAAATACTTGTGGGCTCAATTTAGCACATGGGCCACCAATTTTTGACATTTGTTTTAATTCAAGACTGCTCAGCCAAAGACAGGCCACAGATTTTGCAAGTGTCAGTGGCCAACAAGAAAGAAAAATCAACTATGTATGATGTATCTAACATGCATGGTTCTGACTGGCAGCTAGACTCCCTGAAACTTTTCATTTGTATAGGACATAAAAATAATGAAGCAGTGGAATTAGGTAGATGTCATGTATAGCCCAAGAGCAAAGGTAGCACACATCTCAATTCCGTTTCCTACCCATATCATCTTTTGAATAATTTTCAGATTCAGCATTTTCCATTCTTAACAAAATGGGGCAGATTAAATATTTATAACCATGGCATTTCAGAGATTTTTATCATTCTTTCTCCACCTACGCCCATCTCCACACACACACATGCAGAGTAGAATCTCCCAACCAGTAGTCTAAAACTGAAAGGCGAAGGAATTTAATTTAAAGCATTGAAATGCTTTAGGTACAGAGAGGTGCTTTAACTTTAGCATGAATCAAAATGTTCTTAATATTTGGTTTAATATTTAGTTTCACATTTCCTGCATGAGACACCAGTTTTGAAGGAAAGAAACCACTGGCTTTCTGTGAGTCACATGTGCCTCCAAAGTTGACTGGGCCTCCTCCAGGCTGTATAAGCAGGATATTGGTCACATAGGCTGTGGCTTCCCTATTAGAATGGTCTTGCAGTGCAAACACAGATACAATGATTTCACAGAATTGCTGCTTTTTCTTAGGAATGAACCATATGTAGCCAGAGCATCCACATCAGAAACCGAAGACCAAAGCATGATGGGGAAGTTTGTAAAAGTTGAAAGACAGGTAAGTCTTCTCTCTTCCTCATAGAAATTGTATAAAATTTACTTTATTTTTTAAAATATGTATTCGATTTTATTTATTATTATTATTATAATTTAAACAATTTGCTATAGGGTGTATGTGCTCACCAGAGATAGAGAAAGTGAAAAAGCAAGCCACAAGGTCCAGGACTCGAACCACGGTTGCCATGCAAAATGCAGCACCCTGACCATCATGCCACCTGCTGGCCCCTAAAATTTACTTTCAATGCTTATTTTCATGGAACAATAGATTCTTGAGTAATACTATATACCATTCAATAAAGGATGTAGAGATTAAATCATCAATTTAGCATTCACTTGCTGAATGATCCTCATGTTAATTCATTGTCTTGAACACCAGTTTTCTTCATTTGTAATATGGGGATTCTAATACCTTATAATATTGTTTGAGGATTAAGTGCTTTGATACATGCAAGTTACCTAGACTACAGCTGGCACACAGTGAACACTCACCAAATAGTACGTGTCATACCGTATACTTCATGGTGGTCCTCTAAGAAATGTTAGTTTCTGGTATGGCTAGTCCTCCTTCCTTCAAAGCCCCTGTGCAAATGTAGCTCACCTTTCAGTGGCCCATGTGAAGGAGGCTGGGAGGAAGGCAGGCTAGGAACGCAGTCATTCAAAGTGGAAAGAAAAACCCACTTGCTCACAGAACCCACGTAACTTGCCTCTGACTTTCATAGTAAAGCCGCTTATATTTCAGCAACATTTGCCTAACTTCACATTAGATAAATGCTGCTGCCAGCTTCCTCTAACCTCTTATTAATCCTTTTGGTTTATTCATAACCCAAAATTGGATTCATGGAGGAGTAAGAGGAAAGTTGAATGATTATCCTTTCTCCATATATCAAGAATATTCTTCTTCATTTTCAAATGTTAATTTATATTCCCAGCTCTTCCACTGACTAGCTCTTTAACCTTTGACAATTTACTTCTCTCTGTGTCTCTTTACTTCACTTGTGAAAGAGAAAATAGTATCTACTTTGTAGGGTTGTTGTTAAAATTAAGTGGGTCAATAAGGTGCATAAAACGATTACTTAGTAACTGCCCTATGAGCATGAGCTGAACTAAGGCCTGGGGGCCAGCTCTGCTGTTCCCTAGCTCTGGCCTTCAAATCCTCAGCTGTGAAGCAGGACAATCTACCCAGTGGCTTGCTTCCTGGTGAGTTGTGCATTGTCAGAGCAAGGACATCACACACTCATGCAAACTCGTGCATATGCCTCACAGAAATTCAAATGAGCTCCCAGTTTTGGCTGGAGCAGCTTCCACGATCCTCCAAACCCCTAGCTAGAGCCTCGGTCTTGAGAAGCTCAGTTCTTGCTAACTATCGTCCATGTCGGTGAGGCTGATCTTGCCATGTAGGAGAAACACTAACAGTCCACGTGCTTCTGTCTAAGGAAATGTTCTCAAATCAAGAATTCCTGGTCCTCGACCCAAGCTGCATCAGCTACGCACCTCCTCCTCGAGGACAAAGAAGGCCCAGAACGCTGGTTCTCAGACCATCTCTCTGTTCCAGTCTTTGCTCCCTGGAAAATCCTTGTTTCTAGATTAGCAATAATATAGGAATAGGGCCTGCTAGTAGGAGGCACAAATTAAAGTATTAGCTGCCATTCTTTTTATTAATTTTTAAAATAGTTTCTTATTTAGACTTAATTATTGTACATCTTTGTGGAATACAGTGTGGGTTTTCAGAGCATGCATGCAGTGTGTGATAATCAAATCAAGGATATTGTAGTCATCGTTTTCAACAAAGAACACATTATAATGTCTACCTTTGACATTTGCTCTACTAGTTTTTCTTTCTTCTTTTTTGACATCCCTATGTATATTTATATATATGATTGGCAATGCCCCTTTTTTCTTTCTGCCGTGGTATGTCCTTACACAACCCTATTATTAAGACTTACAAGAATTGTCTTCCCTTTCACAAAGTAAATACTGTAGTGTTTCCCCAGCCAAGAATGCCCTCCACACCCAGGAAGCAGTCACCCCCAATCCCTTATGTTTTCCAGGTCCATGACATGGGGAAGAAGTTGGACTTCCTTGTGGACATGCACATGCAACACATGGAGCGGCTGCAGGTGCACGTCGCGGAGTACTGCCCCACCAAGGGGACCTCTTCACCAGCTGAGGAGGAGAAGCAAGAAGACAACAGGTATTCCGATCTGAAAACCATCATCTGCAACTACTCCGAGACAGGCCCCCCTGATCCTCCCTACAGCTTCCACCAGGTGCCCATGGACAAAGTTGGCCCCTATGGGTATTTTGCACATGACCCAGGGAACCTGCCCCGAGGGGAGCCCACTTCTGGAAAGGTGCAGACGAGTGTTCCATCCTCCGTGACGACATATGCAGAAAGGCCCACAGTCCTGCCTATCTTGACTCTTCTGGACTCCCGAGTGAGCTACCACTCCCAGGCTGAACTGCACGGCCCCTACTCGGACCGAATCTCCCCCCGGCAGAGACGCAGCATCACACGAGATAGCGACACACCTCTGTCCCTGATGTCAGTCAACCATGAGGAGCTGGAGCGGTCTCCAAGTGGCTTCAGCATCTCCCAGGACAAAGATGATTACATGTTTGACCCCGGTGGGGGCTCAAGCTGGATGAGGGAGAAGCGGTACCTTGCTGAGGGTGAAACAGACACAGACACAGACCCCTTCACACCCAGTGGCTCCATGCCTCTATCATCCACAGGAGATGGGATTTCTGACTCGATATGGACCCCTTCCAACAAGCCCGTTTAAAAGGGGTCACTGGCTGACTCCTTGTAATGTAGACAGACTTTGTACAGCTCAATTACTCTCACACCCACCGCTGACTAGCGGAGACACCAATGGCTGCAACAAATGCATGTATGTGCGTGGGGGCCCCACTGAGCGGGGGCTCTCATGGCCTTCTTCGTCTCCATGATGCCACAGTGAAGCCGCTTCCTTTTCAGCATGGTTTGCATGACTTTACACTATATAAATGGTACCGCTAATCTCTTCTAGGATACACACTGATCTGCAGTTCTTACTTTTAATCATGATTGGACCAGTACAGGGAGAAATTGTTGACGAGCCGTGCTATTTGTCTATTTGGTTAGTTGGTTTGGGTTTGGGTTTGGGTTTGGTAAGCAGAGAAAATAGTTTAAGTTATTACCTAGATCACTGCCCCTTTGTGTAAAACACTCCAGTGATTAACTGTTTTCTAAAACAAAGAAATAATTTTCTCAACACAAAGTATTACGTGTAAATGAGGCTGCCTACTGAGCTAACATGAGGAAAGGAATAAGATAGTCATTGCATCTCCAAAACTAAGAATTACAAAAACATTTTATTAGGAAAAAGCATTTAAAATTTCTCCAAAGGACCTCATTTAGTCTATCATTGTTTATAATGTGCCTCGGTTTCCTCACCTGCAAAAGGTGATAGTAATCCCATGTATAGCATACCATGAGTTATGAATTGTCAGGGAGAAAACTCACATGCATACACAGACAAGTTAAAACAGTCCCCAGTTTATGTAGCCAAAGATAAAAAAATGTTCACAAGTGGATGAAATTTGTCAGAAACGGATGCCGGTCTGAACCGAAACTAAGTTCAGTGTCATCAAAACAAGGTTCCAACTCACATTCCTTCCCATGATACTTAAGGGAAAAATATCCATTTAAAATAGAAGTCAGAATCAAGAGAGCATGAAGACATTACCTGGTCCAAGTCTTTCTTTTTTAAACTGAGAGACCTTAGGCTCAGATAAAGTTACACACCCAGAGTCACTCAGTTGTCCTGTGAGGAGAGAGGGCATGGCCCAGTCAGCTTACTCTCTCCTCTCCTCTACACCCCCCTCCACTCTGCTATTACACAATGAAACCCAGAAATTGTGCCAAAATATCAGTTCTTTGTGTTGTGTGGAAACACTCACTGAAAGCTTTTCTAGCAGGAGGGGAATGTCTGCTTTTATTGCAAAGCATGCCTATTTGATGCATTGCATTTTGGGTCCAGAAAAAAAATAATACAAGAACGTTATGACGTCTATTGATATACAAATAGGCAAAGTTTCCAGGACCATCCAATTTTACTCCTCCATTTTTTTTAATGAAAATACCCAAACCACACGTAGCCATAAGATTAGCTAAAGTGTAAGTAGACACCCTAGAGAGCACTGCCCTACTTCATAAGTATTAATACTAAGCACAAGTCACCCTGTGGCCTCTTTTAATATGTTGCTACTCTCTAAAATCTTTGATGAGAAAAGTTTCTATTAGGCTTGAGCTGAATTAGCTAAACAGCTACACCACAGCATTATTGTCTCACTCGTCTCACCCAGCGAAGCACTGATTGTGGATGGTTGTCATAGTGACCATCGAGATGACCTTAGTGGCCAAAACAATATCCACATGCAACTGCCATTGATATTCTCCTTCATAGACTTATCAAGAACTGTAGTTCCTACAGCAGACATCTGGTTGATGGTTTCCTCATTACCTAATCTAGGGTTTTGCACTATGTTGGAATGATTGGCTCCTTTAAACCCCCAGGTCAACAGGTACTATGCAAAAGGCTCAGAGCACAGTAAGAATAAAGGCTGTCCTTGACTTTAGGAATTTAACACCAAAGCATGAAGTCCCTGGCCAAAGGTGGGCATCGTGGGTAGGGAGGTTTAGTGAAGGGTCTTACAAATGGATAGATGGGAAATATAAAAGAATGACCACACAGCTCAGACATGAACACCCTTCCTTATGGTTTTCCATCTGACGTTCTAGCAATCTGAAAGGCAAAAGAAATGGATCATGTGGTCCTCTTCTTCACATCCTTCAATTTGGCTGCAAGTGCCATTGAGGGCTGTAAACCTAAGAAAACTATGCCCCTTCCCAAGAGTTTGGTTCTTGATTCTGATCTTCCCAAAATGTTTTACCAGAGATAATTGTGCCACCTACCATCTAATGAGTCACCATGTGCTTCTCTATGTATACAAGGAACTGAAAATCAATCAAACAAAGAAAAGATGGGGAATGAATCAAACTTCCACGTATGCAGCAATTATTTTTCTTAATTATTAATATTCTTTTAGAACCTTCTAGCTTCAGTATCTTACCAATAGATGCATTTTCCGGGATCTCAATAGAATTCTCTGTCAGAAGAGTGAGACCTTCTCGTTTCCAAATTGCAAATATTTACCATGGATGCAAAGTTAAGCAATTACTTTAGATTATTTTAGTAACCTAGAAAGGATTGGAGCTCATATTATTTTGCAAACAGTAGGCAGACATTCTGGATGGATAAGGTCAGGACAGTAGGGACTGGGTTTGTGTCAATTATCACTATGTGTCCAGCATCTAGTAAGTTATTTTTGTCAATGTGAACACAGATAAAACACATATTTCATGAATGAATAAATTATAAGAGTCATAGAAGCTTTTTTCCCATCTAAGAAAGCAAAAAGGAAAAAGAAAACTAATCTTCTGAAATAATTCTACCTTGATATCACCCACTCTAGGAAAGGTATATTTAGAAAGTAAACCAAACCTGCTCAAATTGCCCCTAGACAACATTACCACCATAGCTGGCAATGACATAGCAGAAATTCAAGGTCTAGGATTGAACATAACTTATGGGGGAAATAGTGTGTGCTTCTGCAAAGATTCTCCTGTCAGACAAAGGAAGAATCTAATGGAATCATCCAGTGAAATTGTTTAATTACAGGACCCAGGTTTACATTATGTCTGTTATTTCAGTGATTCTAAAATATACCCAGGAAATCACAGGAGCTTTGGCAGAACCCTATGAGCCAGTGGTAAATTAATTCTTTCTTTAAAACTAGGAACAATGTTCTCAGGTAAAACTGTTATCCTATTGTATGTATTTGGTCTCTGTGTGTCACAAGATGATGTGAAAATTTTAAGAGTTCATGTTTTAATAGTTTTAAAATGAATGAAAGGAATCAACTTTAGAAATGTTAGGTGAAAGGTGATCCTACTGGACTAAGAAAAAAGTGCTAGAGATCAAGGGTGGGTTTTGACTATCAATTACTGGCACACAAGCAAACACCAAAAGTTTAAGTAAAAGAGAAATTTGGGGAGGAAAAGAAAAAAAAATCAAATTGAGAAAGTTCTATTTAATAATTATTTGTTCTTGGATTGAAAATTTAGACTTATTAGGCATGACACTGATAATAAAAAATCTTAGTTTTTATAAAAACTTAACTAGAAATCCTCAAGATATGTAGGTCAAAATACACTAATTAACCAATAATTATGCATTTTAGGCTTATTTTGTGCAAGACCATTCCTAAACATTGTAAGTTCAGAGAATAATTACCTGTTGAAAAACCTAATGCAACAGGATCTACTCATAATTTGCCAAAACATCCTCATAATCTAATGCTACTCTAATGGGAATATAATAAAGAAAAAGGCATTTGTTTATTCATTTGACAAGATGTAGTAAGCACCACTATGTACCGGGAACTATGCACTGCATTGGAAATCAAGTGAAAAAAAAAAAAATCCACAGCTTCTGCCTTTAAAAGGCCGGGAATTTGGTGGCCTCGAATAGCAGTGGCCCCTTCAAATTATGTGTACCAGGAAGGGAAAATATCTGATTTCAGCCCTGTGGAAAACAGAAGGGCTTCTTAGCTTGAAAAAGTGGGGGGCTGAACATGGGATAAAGTAAAAGGAAAAATTCAAAATGTCCAAGATTCCATCAGCTCAGGGAGGATTGAGTGGGCCAAATGGGGACTGAATTGGGGTCCAATGCTTTAGACTTTGTAGCTCTAGATAAGCTGTGAAAGAAGAAGGTTCTGGGAAATCTGAAGAAAGTTCTTAGAGAAACAAGCTTTTTACTCTTCTCTAAATCCCTGCCAAGAATGAGGCCAAGCAAGGAGCTGAGCTACTTCCATCTTACTATGTGAGCCAGAACAACCTTGAAGTAGAGACCACAGCATCTATATACAGAGGAAGATGTCGCTCTGCCTGTGAGAACCTGCAGATCAAATTCTCCTGGGGCAAGAAAAGAAATTTTTTCAGTGCTCAAGTCAACTGCTTAAGAGGCCTGCAATGCTACCAAACACTCCCCAGGATTCTCTCTGCTCTTAGCATCCCCAGTAGAGTCACATAGCTGGTCTTTGGTCTTCATGAATATGCTTCCAAGGTACCTAGGGCTACAAAGGTTTTCTTTGCTTTCTGAACTCCAGGCATCCTTAAAAACTTGCCCATGTTTTTTCTTGTCCTTGAAGACTTGCTAATTTCAGGGTGAACTTCTTAAAAGGCTGTGACCTTTGTATCCAGATCAACCAATGTCTTTGTGTTACCGATACTAAACCATTCAGAATTGACTTAGTTGCTCTGAAACAAGGGAGGAGGTAGCCAGCCCTTTATTGATGCCCAGGTAAAAACATATTTGGACCCAAGATGTCTGTATAGCTTTAGTGATTTGTAGAGAACAGTAATGGAAGGGAATAGCAGATGGTGTGATGGTTACATTGTTGGATTCCCAAGTAATCGACCGTAGTTTGAGTCCTGGACTAACTAGCTTAAAACTCACACCAAGTGCATGTGTGTGCATGCCCAAAATCCTGGGAGAATGAAGGAGAAGGGATTGTTGTGTGGCCATGCCCCCTGAAGGGTATTTCTACCTTTCTGTCTCTCTTTCTCTCTCTCTTTCTGGCAAGCAAGCACATGCACCCTATAGCAAAAATCTCTCTCAAAAAAAAATTAAATAAATAAATAAAAGAAACCAGTAATGGTAATGGCAGAAAGATAGGAGGGATATAGAGATAACATGAGTGAAAATTTGTTTCTGGAAATACAAAAGTGTTATACTCTTCTGGATTGTTTTGATTTTCAAACAAAAAATTAGACAATCTATATGTATGTAAAATCTCTGCTATAATGACTGACACATATATAGTATGAGTGGACTTCCCACTGCCTTAGCCTTGGGTATTACTTACAAACTAAATTTACGTAAGAAAGTCTTTTTTATAAAAAGACTTATAGTCCCAATTACTACATGATAAAACTAGGTATGTTCACACTTGCTTTTTAAGTAAGTGCATCTCTACAAAGGAAAATGCTTATTTTTTTCCATCAAAATGAGGAAGAGGAGCATTGGAGTGAAAAAAAAAGCAGGACTGCTGGATCCCAGTGGTTGAGGTATGGCACTTCCAGTAGACACACAATTTCAGACTTGCACCATTCTCTCAAAGGACAATTTGTAGAGATAAAGTCACGTGGCAGGAACCATTCAATTTGAATGGACACCTGGCTTCATGAGGAAAGACAGCCATGCCATGTGATTATTAGATGATACACTAGCAATGAATGGAGGAATTTCCAGAGGAAAGAGAGAAAGCTTGCTCAGATCCATCCTGAGGGGATTTTTTTTCTCAACCTTTAATAACTTCAATTCCAGCATTCCTTATGATGAGTATTTTGGTTTATTATCATAGAGGTGAGGAGACATAATTTTATAGATTCTCAGAAGCTCAGAACAAGAAGAGACCTTGATCACCCAGAACAATCATCTTGCTTTTTGGACCAAAAATCATACTGGATCACTCAGTGATTGAACAATGATTAAATAGCAGAGAAAATCTAGAATTCAGGTCTCCTGACTCCTGGTTCAGATGTTAGAGATAAAATAAAGGTAAAATAGCAAGTGAGAACAATATGTTGCTGTAGACCAAGAAAATTAATAAGAACTTCCTACCCACATGAAGCTAGACACTTTTTTTAGATTTCTGCTCATTTCTGGAAAATGAATGATGTTTTCATGCTTTGGAAGATGACAATCTTCCTTCCTCCAACATCCTGCTGCCTTCCGAAGGCCTAGCTAAAGCTAGTTGCTGAGTTCATTTGAGGAATGAAATAAAGAAGAATGATATCATGGCCATCCCAGCACTCCTACTCTCCACTCCTCTAGTTATGCCCCCTCCTTGTCCTGCTAAGCCTGACTGGTCTCACTCATTTCCCATAACATGGACACGTTTAACTCCAGAGTCATGCCTCAGATTGTATCCTCATCTACAGGCCAATTGGACAGAATTTCTCCTTTAAAGAACATTATAGATTTGATGTTAGAAATTGAAATGTGATTTCTTTTGGGATCTCTATAACCTCAAGTTGCCAATTCTACCAAAGGTCTCCCTTTGCACTGAGATCTCTGGGTCTCAACTGAGCATAGCCTGGTTCCTCCTGCCTTGTCCCAGATAATTCCCATCTCAGCCAGATCATAACCAGTTATTCTACGACCTTCACCAAAAGCTACTGTTTGTGTAACTAGGAAATTATCTTAGAAAGTACGCATGTCTTGTTGGCTCACTGAGGATCTACATGTTTGATTTCCACTTCTACTGTGCGAGATGTAGTTCCCTGACAGTCCTTGTTAAACCCAGTAGTCAGATAATCAGTTCTCCTGAGTCAGGCTGAACCAAAAGCTCTAAAAGTCAAAAAAAAAAAAAAAAAAAAAAAAAAAGATGGTTAAGTTCTCAAATGGAATAGTTGACCCTGTAATTTTAAAGATTGTCATTCTACTGAAGGTTCCTGCCTCCAAATAGCACTGTCCTTTGGCTAAAATAATGTTCAGAGATAAATAATGGTTTGGGGGGGGTGGGCTCTATATAAAAACAACCTGAGAATAGCTTACAACAAAGTAGTCAAAAGCCTAGCCCAGTGCTTAGAAATATATCTCTAATTGCTCTTAAGTTTGTCAAATGGACTGCAATTGGATACTTAACAATAATGAAAAAACGAGAGCCTGTTTTCTTATTTCTCAAAGAAAAGAGTGTTCCATTCTCTTCCTCTGCCCACAAGACTGAGGTCAGGAGGTGAGAGAAATTTATCTTAAGCTCTCTTTATGAGTTGCATGTGACGTAATAGATCTCTCTCTCTTGACTTAGTGCATACTCATCACAGCCCCATGAGGGAGGTGTTATTGTCTCCATCTTATAGATGAAGAAATTAAAGTTGAAAGGGAATAGACTACCAGAAGTTACACATTGTAAGAGGTAGAGGTAGGATTTTAACCAAAGCTCCAAAGCTCATTCTGCCCAACCCCACCCCAAGCTTCCTGGTAAAAGGAAGTGTTCCCAAACCATGCCCTGTGCTCCTGCATACAGCCTTGCCCTCGTAGGTCCAGTAGCTTTATAGTAAAATGATCACAGATTCATTGGTTCCCTGTAAAAACAAAACAAAACAAAACAAAAAAGAGATGTCTGGGTTGGCTGTTCCACTTGGCTATTTAGCAGGCCCTTTGAGTGGTTTTGCAATCCAGCTGTCAGTGGCAGAAAGTAATGCTACATGATCTATTCATATGGTTCATGTTGGAACCTATTAGCTCTTGAAGTTTGGCATGGATGCAGAGAATTTCACAAGCACCCTTATTCTCCTGTCCCAAGGATCTCCTGTCATTGTCTTTAACCAGGCAAATGTCTCCACATCTCTGCTGATTCCAATCCTTTGTCTCTAGACTATACTTTTATTTCAGGGCTTTGAAAGTCTTCAGAAATAGATTGGTCATAAAAAACATTCTCTGGGAGGCCCAAAATCTCAGAGCAGTTGAGATTAAAAGGCCAAGTTTACCCAAGGAAGCCAATTGTTTCTGGTAATTGGACCCTTCTTTACCTCTCTTAGCTTTTTCCAAGGGAGTGGGATAGGCTGCTCTACCCTTGAAAGGTCTCCTGAAGGTTTGGAGTTCAGGTAGTGGGCTGAGTTCCAAGATTTGGAGCAGCTGTTTTGCCAAGCATCAGAGATTTTGCTGTTAGAGAGGTAAAATAGGTTCTGTCCCATCCTGAAAAACCACCTTAGTGTGATGGATAGGCTTCATCAGATTTGTCAATCCTTCCCTGTTTTAAAGAGAGAAATGATCCCTACCTTGCTTCAGACAAACTATGGCTACCCTTTTCTTTCTTTTTCCCTTTCTTTCTTTTTCTTTTTTCCCTTTTTCTAATATAGCAGTGATGGAAAACACAAATCATTGAAGAACAAATTGAGGTTTCCAGTGACATGAATCCATTGTATTTGATTTTGAGTTGTATTTCCTTTAACCCCTTTTTACGGCATAGAATTCTGGTGCCTTGCTCCCTGGATTTGTCTCTGTGCTACGAGTAGGCTTTCTTCACATTCTGGCTTACACGGGAACACAACTATTCCACAAGTGGCCTTTAGTGCTCTTTATAATATGATTTCCTGTAATTTTTAAACTGTATGTGTAATTTATATTCTGGCTCTGTCCAATATTTGAACAACTTTAATAGGTTGATTTCCATATGTATTATGCAAACAATTCTTACCTGATTTTTTATGTTCTATCTTAAAACAAATAAATACTGCACCACTTATTAATAAATAGACATTTCAATGGTTATGTGGTAGAACATTATTTGCTTCAAAATAGCTCTTATGAGAGTGTGCTACTTAGTATAATTAACAGTGGTTGCTCTAATCATCAATGGACTAACACAACAAAGATTTATTTCTTGCACAAATCATAGTCCATTGTGGGTTGTCTCAGTGCCAAAGAGTGATGCAAGGATTCGGGCTACTTCACCATAAGTTTCCATTAAAAGATACATGCTGGAGGCCTCTGCTTCTAACTACAGAGCAAAGGGGAGAGCATGGAAAAGTCATACCAGCTTTTAATTTCCTTATACTTAATGTGACTCATTTTGCTCACATTCTCATTGGTCAAACTCAGACATACTATGTTGACCAATCTGCAAGGATACTGGGAAATGCAGCTGTCCTAAATGCCCAACATGAGGAAATTTGTGTTGAACATTTAACTTTGTTCATTACAGCAATAGTAGGATTGATCTGATAGATTTACTTGTCAGTATTGAATGGTGACAAGATCGAACACAATTACAGTTGTCACCCAGAAAATAAAATTAAGGAACAAAAAATTCCCTTGGCATTTACTTGAGTTACTAATATACATGTGGCATCAATTTAATTGTACAGAGTATTGGCAAAATTGGTCTCCCTCCAAGTGGAGAGAGATGCATCAAACAAGAATCCATCTTGAGATTCTCTATTATAAATTGGACCATTGGTGATAATCTCTTGATGGACCAGTGTTCTATCTCACTAAACATTTGGAAGTTGGTTGTTTAGTTCAGTTCAAGGAACACTTATTTGTTTAACTGATATTAATTGGATGTCTATCATGTGCCAGACATTTGGGAATACAGTATTTCACAACTTGATGGAGGAAGTATATCATCCCCAAGATCATTTTGATTCTATGAAAAGTGTGATGATGGAGACAAGAGTTCAATGGAAACACAGATATAAGTACTGAATCAGAGGTAACAGAGAAGTCTTGGAAAAAATGAAATCAAAATGAAATATTAAAGGATGGTTTGACAAAGCCAGAAATGGAGAAGTGAGTGGGGGGAAGAGAGGCCTTCCAGACCCTGAAAAGAAGATGTCGAAAGGCCCAGAAGCTTGAGACAGGTTTAATTTAGCAATAATGTTTAAAGCAAAGTGACCTTTTTACATTCTTATTTTCATGGTATCCACTGCCTGTGGCAACTCAGTGGTGTTTATACCCCCGGGGGAAATAGGGAAATTTCATGGACTGTAAGGAGATTAATGTGCTTGGAACATAGAAAAGGACAAGGAGATTGATACAGAGAGATTGGAACTTTGTGTTCTTAAGTCAAGGAGATGGCAATGAGGAAATCTCTTCCTTTATCATATTCTAAAACTATACCCTCCTTCCTTTATCATGATCTAAAACTACACCCTCCTTTCCCACCACCATTCTCAGCATACTTTTTTTAAACCTTATTTATTTGTGTCAAGAGAGAGAGGGAGAAAGAAAGAGATAAGCACCCTTAATGAAGTCTGATGCCATGATCCTCCCTAGCCTTTCCAGCTACCAGCATGTACAAGTGGATCCAGAAACTGAAACTGATCTTCTAGATTGCCTCTGGCATTGGAGAGTGTTGGCTACTGCTGCAGCCTCAGGATATATATATATAAATATAAATTTTCCCTTCAAAGGAACTATTCTACTCCTATCCAAAGACTGGCAAGATTCTCTCAGACCCCTGGTCTCTCATTAACACAAAGAAAGAGTTATATGATCTCTTTACTGCAGTAACAAACATCATCACCAGAAGGAATCCATCCCAGACCCTCCTCCTACTACTACCCCTTACCCCTTTGCTCCCTTCCTGTGTCCCCATATCAAATACTGGCAACACTCATCAATGTTGGCATCTCAGCCAGAGGCCTCTGTCCATCTGGACTCCCCCATCTCCATCACTGGCACGGCCCATAGGTTCTGCCTTACTGCTCTCTCCCAGGACCATCCTCTTATGGGTATACTTGCTCCCTTCCTGACCACCAAACTGATCTCTCTGACTCTAGTCCTTTCTCTTCCAGTCCATTCTCTGTAGTGTTGTGATACAGTGGTCTCTAAAAAATGGAAATCTAGTCATGTCATTTCACTATTTAAATCTTTCACTGGCTCTTTTAAATCACCTACAATGTAAAATTTCTTTAAAATTTTCTTCAGATCACATAGTCTTTGATGATCAGCCACTTCCCATACTCACTCTACCTACTCTGCAGGTGTCATATTCCCACAATCCACCAACACCCCTCCCCTACATACACACTGTGCTTTCTAGTTCATAAAGAAATGCCTGTGGATTCCCCAACACACTAGACTTTCAAATAGTGCTGTATTTTCATATTGTAGTTCATTTTTTTAAAGAATTATTTATTTAATTTTATTTATTATTATTATGTTAACTTTTGCTATAGGGCAAGCATATTCACCAGGGAGAGAGAGAGAATAAGAAAGCAAGTTGCGGGACCAGCAGTTAGCATAATGGCTATGTCGCTGGACTCCCACATAGTCAACTGTGGTTCGCGTCCCGGACCTGGTGGCTTAAACTCACGCCGGGTGTGTGTGCATGCATGCCCAAGATCCCAAGAGGAGAATGGAGGAGAAGAGATTGCGGTGTGGCCATCCCCCTGGGGGGTGATTTCTCGCTTTCTGTCTCTCTGTCTGTCTTGCAAGCGCACGCACCCTATAGCAAAAAAAAAAAAAAAAAAAAAAAAACTCTCCAAAGAAAAAGGAAAAAAAAAAAAAAAAAAGCAAGTTGCAAGGTCCTATACTTGAACCATAGTCTGCCATGTGGGAGTCCAGCACCATAACTACCATGCTGCCTTCTGGGCTCATAGTATAGTTCATTTTGCCAGTGAAACACTGCCAAGACTTTGCTATGACATCATTTCCTCAGTGAAGTCTTTCCCAGCTGCCTCATTCTCCAGGTGAAATATATTATTCTTTCCCTTTGCTTTGGCTGCATCATCCACAGATAGCAACCATCCTCTATTTCCATGCTGTTGTCACTGTGTCTATTTGCATTCCTCCTCACTATCATCATTCTCCTGTGGATTACCTGAGCTTAGACATGGAATTTTCTTAATCTTTGTCCTCAGAAACTATTAGGTTTATTAGGAAAGTCATAATGTATTTTTCTATGTTTCTCTATACAAAAATGCATCATGACTTTCCTGACAACCCAATAGTACAATGCCTGTAAATGCTAAAGAGTGAAACAATGAGTGAATGGGTCTATATTACAAGTGTATTAGTTATCTACTGCTTCTAACAATATTGCCAAAAACTTAGCTGAAAATAGCACAAATTTCCTATCTCACTGCTTCTGAGGAGCAGGAGTCCAGACCCAGCTTAACTGGCTCCTCAACATTAGGGCATTGTAAGACTGCAACCAGGTACCAGCTGGAGGAGCCATGTGATGGTATAACAATAATGCAATGCTCTGCAAGGCTGGTCCATATGGGAAAGTTCAGGGTTTGTGGCTGGTTTGTGGCTGGAAACTTCCCTGTATATACCAAGTGCACATGTGCCTAAGATCTGGGCCAGCTGTGACTGGGGGAGGAGTAGAGCATGAAGACCATGAAGACCCTATTGTGGGTCATGAAGGATGCAGATGGAAAAGAGGCCACTGGGCTTATGTGACATAGAAAATCTGAGTTTCTCTTTCTTAAGCAAAGCAAAAGACTAAAGGAAAAAGGAGGGGGGCAAGTGGTGATAACACTGACTGACACATAAAGACAGTTTGGATTAGCTATGGGATGGAATAATAGGACAAACGAGTATACTTAAGAAATGTTTAAAAGGTATCAATTGAAAGTGAATAAATACATAAAAAAGAAAGCATATAATTGATTGCATGAAGACTCAGAGGGAAAAACTCTAAGAAAAGTAAAGCTCATTGCTATACAGAGAACATGACATGGATTAATCACTTTGGTTCCAGCAACTAAACAGGATACGGAGCTACAGAGTTAATTAAAGCATTATTCAATTATTGCAACTTTAAGGCATTATTATTCCCATTTTTAAAAATTTTGCTATAGGGCACAGGCACTTGTCAAAGAGAAACAGGGAGAGAGAGGGGAAGGGAGAAAGTAACCCCCCAACCTGGATGCCCACACAGCAATCTCTTCTCCTCCATTCTCCTCTCAGGATATGGGGCATGCACACACATATTCCCAATGTGTTTTTTAAACTGCCAGGTCTGGGGTTTGAACCACACAGACAGCCATGCAGTATTGAGCCACCTTAACCACATGCCACCTAGCTGGCCTTATTCTCATTTTATACATGGGAAAACTGAGGCTCAGAAACATAAAGAGAATAGACCAAGGCCAGGCTCCTCTAGGTAAATGAATCATAATTTGAACCCAGGACCACCTAACCCCAAGCCTCATGTTACTTCTTTCCTTTTTTTTTTTTTTTTCTTTTTTTTGGAGAGGATTTTGCTATAGGGCGTGTACACTCGCCAGAAAGACAGAGAGAGACAGAGAGACAGAAAGAGAGAAATCATCCCCCAAGGGACCAGCAGGTGGCGTGGTGGCTGGGGCACTGGATACTCCCATATGGCTGATGGCGGTTCAAGTCCTAGACCTGGTGGCTTGCTTTCTCACCTTCTCTCTCTCTATCTCTATGTGTGTCTCTCTGGCCAAATTGAAAATGAGTGAATTAATAAATAAAGTTAAAATAAATAATTACATTTATTAAAAAAAAAATCACCCCCTGGGGGAATGGCCATGCCTCAATCCCTTCTCCTCCATTCTCCTCTTGGGATCTTGAGCACGCACGCACACGCACCCAGCATGAGTTTAAGCCACCAGATCGAACCGCAGTCGACTACAAGGGAGTCCAGCGACATAGCCATTATGCTAACTGCTGGTGCCCTCATGCTATTTTTTTGGAGAACATCACCTTCTAAATCATGTGGACTAAAGAAAGAATGGGTGACTCAGAGAGATTGCAATTAGTAATGCTCATATCAAGCAGCCTAGCTCTATTGTCAGATAATAGGAAGGGATGTTTTCTCAGGGTAGAGAAAGAGATGGGGTGGGGAACCTTGGAGAGTTATTTAATCTTTTGGTAATTTACTTTACCATCCGTAAAGTGGGGATAATAATATCTACCCTGAAAGGTCATTAACTGAGTTTGGCTTGGTTCTGGCTCAGCCTAGTTCATCTCTGTGCATTATGAGCTTGGAGAGGGAAGAAACTATTCTGTGAGCATTCTCCATGTGCGTTACTAGCTCTAAGAGGGAGGAAGTACTTGCAAGAGCTGCTATGGTCTTTGCAAGCCCACTAAGATCCCTGTGAGTTCCAACTAAATTAGCCAATAAACAATGTAACATTAAAAACAAAAAAAAGAAAGAAAGGAAGGTCATTGACTGGACTGAAGTCTAAAGAATAGTTAGCAAAGGACCTAGTACACAATAAATATTCAGTGAATAACAGCTTTTGATTCTACACTGTATTCACATACCTTGATACCATAATTAGGGTTTGGACAAACAGAGACAAGGTTTTAAGTGGAAGTAGTTTATTTAGAAACCAATCCCTAGAAACCCAACTGAGAGAGTAAAGACAGTAAAAGAAGGAGGGACAAAAGTCAATAAAGAATACACTCATCTTTGTGAGCAACTGAGCTCTGTTCTACAGGGAACCCTCTGAGAACCTATGTAAAATGCTCCAAAGGATTGTTCCAGTTGGGAACAGGAATCTGGGTCCTTTATGCGTTAACTCCTGTTCTTTGCTAGCTAAAGACTGCCCCCATGCTCTTAAATTCCCTACACTGTCAGGTTTTCCTCTGCTACTTCTAAACATGGTCCAAGATGCTAAAACCCTCAGTAGAGAAGCAAGGAGTCATAGCCAGGAAGCAGAGGTCTGTCAAGATGCCAGAGACCAGCTACCAGAGAACTCAGTGGCAGGTAGAATGGCTGTGGGTAGGGCTTAGTGGCACCTGGCACATAAGTCTACATGAAAACCCTACATATGCAAAGGCAGAAATCCAACAAGTTGCTACGAATCATTCTGTGAATCAAAGGACAAAATTGGCTAACACTGGGAAAGCTGGCCATAATTATAATCCTAATTAATAAGGATTACTCAGGTGAAGTTTGAGGTGCTGATAGAGGAAAAGGGCTATAACAGCCAAATATCTTTTTAAAGCACAAATCAAATCAAGTCTCTCCTGTGCTTAAACCCTGTCCTTATGGACATGATTTACTGTGGAGACAGTGTGTATAGCCTTCGGTAACAAGGGTAGATAACCACTGCTCTTCTGCTAAAAACTCATTATCAGCTGCAAGATCCCCATTTGTCACTGCAAAGACCTATGGCTGACTTTGCAGTTATGAATAAAACACTGAATTTGCATGTATATTCTTCTACCTGCAAAACTTACTCAATCCCAGTTTTGGGCAACTGCCAACTCTGACAGAGAAGAGCTAAAGTTTATATCCCTGAGAAAATCTCTTTCTACCTGTACAAATAAAGCAAAACCCCATTCATAGCCTCACATCCCAAATACTCCTGGGAACCAGCTATTGTTCCTAATAATGTCAGTTCCAACAATGAGCTTGGGCATTCATTTGATGTGGGAACCTGAAGACCTGTATGGCATCTCCCCTGAGTAAAGTCCAATTGCCCTGTGTCCTGCCCCCACACTGGATATAAAAACATTCCCAGAAGTTTATCTTCTGATTCAGGTGAAAGGAACCTCTGGTCTTAGGCCAGTGCAGGGCAAGGGGAATTAGCAGAGGAAGAAGGAGTAAGAGACGAATTTAGAAAAGTAACAGGAATAAGTCATAAGCGTTTCATAGACCATTGTAAGTATATATGATTTTACTCTCATTAAGAAGGGACACAAAGGGAACCGGCAGTTAGCATAATGGCTATGTCGCTGGACTCCCACGTAGTCGACCGCGGTTCGTGTCTCGGACCCGGTGGCTTAAAACTCACGCCGGGCGCGTGTGCGTGCGTGCCCAAGATCCCGAGAGGAGAATGGAGGAGAAGGGATTGTGGTGTGACCATCCCCCCTGGGGGGTGATTTCTCGCTTTCTGTCTCTATGTCTCTCTCTGTCTGTCTGGCGAGTGCACGCACCCTACAGTGAAAACTAAGGAAGGGCAAAAACAGATTTGGAATGGGAGAAAATATTTGCAAACTATACTTCAGACAAAGATTGACAACTCAAATATACAGGAACTCAAACAATTCACCCACAAAATAATAATCCAGTTTTAAAAAATGGACAACTGATCTGAACAGACAAATCTCAAAGAATGATACACAACTGGCTAAAGAAAAAAATGGAAAAAAATGTTCAACATCTCTTATAAGGCAAGTGCAAATCAAAACCACAGTAAGCTAACTCCAGTCACAATGGCTACAATTTAAAAAAAAAAAAAAAAAAAGAAAAAACACAAAAAAAAAAAAAAAAAAAAAAAAAAGAAGGGACACAAACACAGGGCTTTGAATATAGAGGTAACAATATCTGTTTTATGCTTTAAAATTTTTTCCCCTGGCTGCTGTAGTAATAACACACTGAAATGGGCAAGGGCAGAAGCAAGGAGATTTGTTGGGATGAATATTCCACTGGCAATAATCCAGATGGATAAAACTGAGGGTTGGAGGTTCTACAAGCTTTCCAGGGGATTCTGGTGCACCACCAACATTTGAGAACCACTGTTCTGACCTACTCTTCAGCTTCAAAATACTTATCCTGCATGTTTTATTTTAGTGTTTGGATTTTAATGCCCTTCAGGAAGCCTCCCTTGACCTATTTTAGATCAGGTGCTGTTGCCTTTTCTAGCTCTGTCACACCCCTGAGGATCTCTGAGCACACCACATGTGATTATCCCCTATGTATAGACTGTGTGTGTGTTTGCTGGATGTCCATTGTGTCTACAGCACCTAGCAGAATGCCTGCTTCAAAGAAGGTTCTCAGTAAAGATTCATTGAGAAGAAAAAATGATGAGTCTCTTCCAGAGTTAACATTCTTTTGATAGAAGTTATTTGAGATGCAGATTAATATCGCAGAATAACAAATAAAAGTAGGTAGGCCCAGAAAATAGAACAACTAATACAAGTCCATGGGAAGCCAAATGAAAAATCAAGGACTGAAAACACACGTGTATTCATTCAGTCACCAAACCTCTGATGGATGTCACCTCTCAGGCACTGTGTTGGGTTCTAAAGATGTAGGACGATCGAGGTACTAGAGACACCCATGCTAAAGATACACAGAGCCAAGTGAGAGAATTAGACAAGGAAAGAGATCACCCTAATTTAGCACAATAAGACAAATACAAATGCTATACCACTAATGGATGGAGGACATCAGAGAAAGTTGCTGATAAAGGTGATGTATGAAGTGGGAATAATAAGGATTAGCCAGGTGAAGTTTGAGGTAGAGGTAGAACAAAAGAGCATGTAATACTCAGAGATATTTTTAAAGCGTAAATCAAATCATGTCTCTCCATTGCTTAAAACACTCCCATAGCTTTCTCCAGCACTGAAAACAAAATCCTGGTTTTTTATTATGGTCCACAAGACCACTTGGCAAGTCTCTAGTCATATCTCATGCTACTTTTTTCTTGCTTGTTGCCTTCCAAGAAAAGGAGTATGAGGACAGACCTGGTACAGGAAACAGCAATAGCACTGGTCAGAGGAAGAGCTCTGGGCAGTGCGATGTTGACATATTAGAAGGCATGAGGTCAAAGTGAAAAACGATAAGGCCGGAGAGGGGTCTAGGGTATGATCATGCAGAACATTGTGCGGATCACACTAATGCACATGTGGGAGTGAATTGCCACTGAAGGAGGAGTTTTGTGGCCTGGGAAAATCGCTTTGATTTTTATAATGGCATTATCCAATATGGCAGCCATCAGCCATGGGCCATTGAACATTTAAAATGAGGTTACTTTTAATTGAGATGTGTTATAAGTGCAAAATACATACCAGCTTTTGAAGACTTAGTATAAGAAAAGAATATCTCATTCATAATTTTTATTATTAATTATATGTTGAAATGATATTTTCAATTTATTGTATTAAATAAAATGTATTCTTAAAGTTAATTTTCACCCATTTCATGTTTCACTCTTTAAATGTGGCTACTAGAAGATTTTAAATGGCATTTGTAGCTTGCATTATTTTCTTATTGAGTAGCAGTAGGGCAGAGAATCGATTGAAGAAGAGAAAGGAGTTAAGAGATTATATCAAAAGTTCAACTGTATTGTGGCTGATATATTCATTTATTCAACAAATACTTACGCCAGTCATTGCATAACCACATGGTGGTAGTGAATGAATCTGGCAAACTAGGGTCCTGAGATTATGGATCTGACATTGTTAGCAGAGCCAGCAGGTGGTGTGGTGGTTAAGGGTGTTGGACTCCCACATGGCTGACCGTGGTTTGAGTCCTGGACCTGGTGGCTTGCCTTCTCTCTTGCTCTCACTCTCTCTCTCACTCTCTCTCTCTCACTCTGTCCCCGGGTAGAGTTAAATTAAAATAAACAAATAAAGTAAAATAAAATAATTCCTTTTAAAAAAAAAGAAAGAAAGAAAGCAAACAATAAACAAACACAGTTGGAGTCTATGATCAGGCAAATAGCTGTAAGCATATTCTTTTGTGAGGTGCCCAGTTGTCGGTGGCATTTACACTGCTAACTGAAGGGTAGGAAGGGCCAGTATTTGAGAAGGCTGGGAAAGAGCATTTCCATCAGAAGGAACAGCCAGTGCAAAGTTCCTGGAGCTGTCACTCAAAGGCTATGAACAAGGGGAAAAATAGTGTGAGATGGCTGGAGACTTAGAAAGAGGTGCCATTACATGAGTCCTATGGCCAAGGTAAGGAACTGAGATTTCATTCTAGGCACTGGGGAAAGCTGTGTGAGTATTGTAATCAGTGTAATGATATAATCTGAGTCATGCTTTAAATGGTTTCTCTGGCCACCTATTACATGAGTCCATTTACATAAAATGTAAAAGAAAAGGTGGGGGAAAATTTATAGAGATTTAAAGTAGATTAGGTTTCCTGGAGTGAGGGGTGTGTGTGTGTGTGTGTGTGTGTGTGTGTGTGTGTGTGTTGTAGGGAGTGGAAGTAACTGTAAAGGAACAGGAAAAATTTTATTACAGTGATAGAAATGTTCTTAAATTAGAATGTGGTGATGGTTGTGCAACTTGGTAAATTAATATTGAAGTTTACACTTAAAATAAGTGGATTTAATAATATGTAAAGTATACCCCAACATAGTTATTTAAAAAGAGATTACTATGGCTGATGTAAGAAAGTTTGATTTGGGGAAGTAAGCTGGTAGTAGAGTAACAGGTTGACTGACAATACAGTAGCCTAGACAAGAATGATCAGTTTTGAACTCAACCACAAGGGGTTTTGAACTCAACCACAAGTATGTGGGCTCTTCTAGGCCAAGACTTGGCAAAATTTTTCTGTCAAGGTCCTGGTAATAACTATCCTAGGCTTCCTGGGCCATATGGTTTCTGTCACTACTACTCAACCCTATTGTAGCCCAAATACAATTGTGGGCAATAATACATGAATAAGTGTGTAATGTTCCAACAAAACTGTATTTGTGAACACTGAAATTTTAATTTTATACAATATTTACATGTTACAAAATAATCTTCTTTGATTTTTTCGTAAACATTTAAAAATATACTCACCTCTTACCCTGAGCTTGCAGGTGTATGCAGTCAACAAGCTGAGCTTACCTGTCCTGCCCTAGGCAACTGCTAAAATTGACAGCCATCAGCCATTCCTTCAAAAGACCTCCACTGGCCCGCATGCCAGGTGATGTTTGGCTCACAGACCTTTGCAACAGGAAGAGGGAAATCATCACTAGGGACTCCTGTTCAGCTCCTTCAATACATGTAATTACTGTCAGAAGGTTCCCATCTCTGGCTGAATCGGTGCATTGTCATTCCACTCACGAATTCTATTCAGCTCATCGCACAGGCATTTTTCTTTGATGGAGTTGATCCTCTTTCACTGCCCTGAGTTTTGGTAGGATTATTATTCTTTTTTTTTTTCCAGAGGATTTAAAGCAAAGTTATCAAGCCTCTCTCCACCCCTACCCCCATATCTTTCACTAAAAACTCATATAAACTCCATGATTCTGACCTAGCTGTTAATCTTTCTGGCTAAGTTCTTTGAAGTCATTTATCCTGCTCAGGAGACAGGTAAGTTATATACTGTAGATACTTTAAACTCCTCTTGCCCCCCTCTTCTCCAAAACATGAAGCCAGCTAAGAATTGCATCTACTGTAATTCCTGAGCTCTGGACTCCTGGATGCTGAATGATAGGAGAGCAATTTCTATCACCCAGTATCTACATTGTGCTTTGCTAAGACACCATCCCTTGATCATTTGATCAGAGTCTATTTCTTCCCTTTTTCTCCTTATGCTATTGATTAGAATCTTAATACAGCAGTCTGTTGGAAGGATGGCTTGTCCTCACATCTGTGATAAAGAAAACATGATCTTTAATTCAAAGAATTGGAATGAGAATAAAGGAATGCCCTATAAAAATGGTTGGCAGCAAAGGAACATCTAAAAATCCATGCTTTCTTAGTTGGTGATCAACCAATGATGGATTTTGACAGCAAACAGACTAGGGTTCAAACCCTGGCTAACCTGGCAGTGTTCCCTTGGACCAATTGCTTGACTGAACCTCGGTTTCCTCAAACTCTAAGATAAGGATAATAGTAGGGTTGCTTCAAGAACCAATAGGTTACCATAGGTAAAGGTTCTAGCACATCAGATGGTCAACAAACACTGGGTTTTTTACTTCTTTTTCTTCATTATACTTTTGTTTGTTTGTTTTAACAAGGAAAAAAGAAAAAAGAGTTTATTGATATGTGGGAGAAACTTGGTAGATTAGTAACTCAAAAGGTTGGTTAATGCTTGGGTTTATATAATACCTTTTTTTAAAAAGGCAATAAATTTGCAGAGAAGTGACAAGACAAACATATTGAAATGATCACCTTGTAAGCTAAAAAATGTGATTGAATGTATTAAAAAATGTAAAAAAATTAAAAAAAGAAAAAAAAGTTTTAGGCTTCAAGTGTGGCAACTGTGGGAAGAGAGAGAGCGAGAACGAATGAAGTAAGGCTTGCTGTGCAGACCCATCTATGTGTTGACTTTTGGTCTTATTCAGAATTATTAAACTTTCCAGAGTGAGGGAATTTATAGTAGTTTTCATTTCTCAGAAGTTTCTGCTTCTAGTCAGAGAAGGGAAGCTCTGGGAATTCCTCTTTTCTGCATCTGTTGAATTTCTAATTTTTCTTTCAAGTTAAAATACTACTTATGCCAAAGGGACATATTTGAGAATTGCATATTTTGACCCCCTCTACATGCTATATATTTTACTTGCCTTTTGTTTAATTCATTTAGTACATTATAATGCTCATTTATAAATAATCATTGTATGTCTGTGTAGGTACAGGATAGATTTTCAAAGCATACATCATACAGTGTTTTATAGGCAAATCAAGGTTATAAACATATTCATCATCTTCAACAACAAAAATGTTTTGTACATTATGATTTTTGCATTCAATATTAGTTCTATTAATGTTTTTTGGTTTTGGTTTGGGAGCTATATACTAGATTGACAGCAAATTTATTTTGCCCTGTTGTGGTACACCATTCCATTACCTATTCATCTTGTTCGCATTCATTTTTGTATCTGTTAATCAATTTCATCTCCACTTCTTCCCCTCACATAGACACTGGTATATACCATTGCTCTCTCTACTTCTATGCCACTGAATTCTTGAGTTTATTCCATAGAGTGTGGACATTTGGTATATGTTAAGTAGAGATATACAGTATTTGTCATTCATAGCTTGGCTTATTTCACTTAGCATTATATATTCTAGGTTCATCTACTTTGTGACAAATGATAGTTTGTCATTGTTCTTTATGACTTAATAAAGAGACAACTCATGAAATGGTAGAAAATATTTGCAAACTATACCTCTGACAAGGTCTTAATAACCAGAATATACAAGAAACTCAAATAGCTCACCTGCAAAACAAACAAAACTAATAACTCAGTTTTAAATGGGCAATTGATCTGAATAGACAATTGTCAAAAGAAGACATAAAAATGTTTGAAAAACATATGAAAAAATGTTCAACATCTCTAATCATAAGGGAAAGGCAAATCAAAACCAGAATGAGGTATTAACTAATACCAGTCAAAATAGTTATTATCAAACAAACAGACACAAAGAATACAAGTGCTGGCAAAAGTGCAGAGAAGGCAATCTTAATATATTAGTGATGGGAAGTTAATACAACAACTATGGAAACTAGTACTGAAGTTCTTCAAAAATAAAAAATGAGAATTAAATGATCTAGTAATCCCATTCTTAGAATTTACCCAAAGTACAAGAAATCACTGTATCAAAGAGATGTGTGTTTCCACCTTTATTGTAGCATTATTCACATAAGCGAAAGCATGGACACAGTCTAAGTGCCTTTACAATTTAAAAATGCGGCATATATTCACATTACATGTTTTGTTTTGTTTTGTTTTGTTTAAAGCAAACTGTCACCTTTAGGTATTGCCAAATGGTTATGTAAACAATTGCCTGAGTTTGAAGTCCAGGGCTGCCCCAACCAACTTAATGACCTTGGAGATAGATGGTCTAGAATCTCCAAGCCTCTGTTTCTTATTCAGAAGGAGAAAGCTAGTACTTACATGGAAGGTGGTTGAGTAAATAGACCACAGTAATGTATTAAGAACATCTAGTACTCACCATAGTTTTCCCAGACCAAGTGTGAATTTTTACTCTCTACTGTACATGGCAATTATTCTGTATCTAATTGGGCACCTTTAAACTGCAAAGTATACTGTGAAAGGTAGGTTTGCTTTTCAGCTAAACTAACCTTAGTTTCTTTGGGGATCCTTGTTAATTGAAAACAACACAAGGTTTAATTAAGATTCCAGAAGTTTTGTCCTTACTGCCCCCCTCCCCAGCTCCAGGGCTATTGATAAAACACAACCATTTTGTGAGTTAATGTCATAAGACTCAGGCATATTCTTGGCTCATCAGTCACAACTGCACTTCTCAGTACTTCTCCCAGTGTGTGACTGGTTCTCTAACTCCCTTCTACCACCAAAATGCTTTGAAGTGATTGATTCTGTTTGTTTCCAATATCAGGCCCTTTGTTAGTATATGAAGATGATATTTTAAGGGCAAAAGAGTAGAGCAGAGCACAATGAAAATGGTACAAACTTTAGTATATGAGACCATAGCTCAAATCCCAGTTCTCCCTCTCAGAAACTGTAGGACCAGACCCTGAGCTGAGGGCTACATCTGGTATCTTTCTCTTGTGAAATAAGAATATCAATGCCTATTTTCCAGGGTGGTTGAGAAGGTAACATGACAGAAATCATGCTACAAAGTCAAAGTTCAATAAGCTGTAATGTCAGGGAGAAAGGGGCAGTATCTACTCTGTCCCCATGTCACCAGGCTGAGGTTAATGCCTGGAGTGTCTACTGAGTATTACTATGTGCTAAACACTGGGTTAGATATTTTGGATTCATTATTTTATATCCTAACAAAGACCCTGTGAACAAGGTTCTCTTATCTCCATTTTGCAGCTGAAGAGAACTGAGGTTCAGAGAGTAAACAAATTTATGAGAATAAGAAAACTCCAAGGAAACCCCAGACTATTGTTGTTTTGTAAATGTCAGGGTGGAATCTAGAAGAAACATTAGTTAGATATTTACCAATAATTTAAAAATAAAAATTTTTCTTGGGATCTCTCAAAAAAATTCCACAAGAGCTTCAATTCCTAATGAGTAGCTAAAATTTTCAATATGTAATGCCATGAAGCTGCTCAATGCCTAAATCATTTCCTCCCAATAATAGTGTACATTTTCTGAGTTTTCTTCCCCTCCCAATTCACCTTAAGGATCTAGTTCATCCTCTACCAACTGCAAATTTCTACTCTTTTTCAAATCAAATCTATGCGCTCCATATATTAAATAGGTATTACATTAATACCTACAGATAAAGATTGTGTAGTTATGAAGTGATAATATGCATCAGGCAGCATTTTGTGTGGTGTCTGGCATACCAGAAGTACTCAATATATTTTCACTGTTATTCTCTGCTTTGCTACTTGAAACAGGATGCCGGTTTTGCATAGCAAATGCCCAGAGCAGTAGCAGCACACAGCACTGCAAAGAAAGGAGACCATGAACACAGATATTCTCACATATTAATGTTATTTATGAACAGTAATAATGCTAAATGTGGAAGGTGCCTCTTGCCAAAGAATGGAAATCCATGGATGAGACATTAATGTTTTCTGAATGTGCATGTACTACCCCTTCTATATTCCCAGATCTCCAGCAGTCATGCAGGACCGTGTGAATAATTCTGGCATAAGCTGTTAATAAAATAAAACATGTCACTTCCTGCCAAAGCACTTAAGAGTCGGTGTATAACCATCCCTCCAGCTCTGTCCCTTACTCTGCCACAATGAATCAATGTTAGTCATAGTTATCAGATAAGGAACTACAAGATAGGAGAGCCTTAATTTACCAGGGCCCCTGAGAGACTTTGTGGAGCAGAATTCTCCATCAAATTGCAGTAAGGACTATAAGCAAATAAATCTACTTCTGTTATTTAATCAAGTCAAAGAAATTATAAGATTAAGGTGTCAAAGAAATTATAAGATTAAGGTGTCAAAGAAATTATGAGATTAAGGTTAACTCAGCATCTTAATCTCATAATTTCTCACTTTCTATCTCTCTGTCTCTCTCTGTCTGTCTCATACAAAACCTTTTTCAGATTATAATTATTTTTTAATTTTGCCAGAAGGTACATACAGAGAGAGAAAGATAAAGGGAGAAATCACTACTCATGTGGATGGTCATGCTTTCATCCCTTCTCCATATCTCCCTCCTTTTGGGATTTTGGGCATGCACATTCACATACCTGGTATGCTTCTCAAGCTGGTAGGTCTGGAACTAAACCACAGCATTGGTCATGTGGGTTCCAGCCACTTTCACCATCATGCCACCAGCTGGTCCCAGATTATAATTGTAATGACTTCCCTATGTACTTTACAAAAGATATTTTGCATTAACGTGCTTGGTAATCCAGCCAGTGTATTCCAGGTGCTTGTTTGCTTGCCTCCAGGTGATCCAGAGTATCAAGACATGCCAGGCATCCTGCTACATGGTCGTCCAGTGAGGTTTTGCCTATGTCTTGCATGTGTCCTGTTCCTTTGGAACACAGGTGAGTTGTTCTGGAGTCCTAGAAGTGTCTTTCTATATACTAAATTTAAGTATTCATTGTATCTCAGAGAATCTTAGCAGCCAACATTTCTGCCCAGAACCCTAAATGAATTTGCTCAAAATGGCAATAATAAATGTCCTATTTCTTTTTTTGTCCCTTGACTTTTGTGTTTAAGTATTGTTCACACAAAAGAATTCTCTTCACCTCCATTGTTATCACCCATCATTGACTTCTTCTTGAACTACCAAGGGCTAAATCAGCTACTCTTCTAGCCTTGCCATGAGACATTCTCCAGACATTAAGACTCATGTGGTCTTTTTGTAAATCTTATTATGTCTCCTTCCAAGTATCTTCTCATTTCTCTCCCTCTTTCACCCCCAAAATAGTCCATTGACTTCCTACTTCTCCTTGGATAGGATTCTGAGCTCTTTGCATACTCCACATGACTCAGTCCCTCATATTGCCAATTCCTCCACTTCCTCCATTATACTCCATTAGTGTTGGCCTCTTTACTCTTCTTTAAAGTGATACTCATGTCAGGGACCAGCAGTTAGCATAATGGCTATGTCGCTGGACTCCCACATAGTCGACCGCGGTGCTAGTCCTGGACCCGGTGGCTTAAACTCACGCCGGGCGCATGTGCGTGCGTGCCCAAGATCCCGAGGAGAGAATGGAGGAGAAGGGATTGCGGCGTGGCCATCCCCCCTGGGGGGTGATTTCTCACTTTCTATCTCTCTGTCTCTCTCTGTCTGTCTGGTAAGTGCACGCGCCCTATAGCAAAAACCTCTCAAAAAAAAAAAAAAGTGATACTCATGTCTTCCTCAGACACTGGGCACTTGCTATTCTCCCACACCAAATATCCCTAGTTAAATACTATTCAAATACTACTAATCCTGCCAATCTTAGGTCAACATCCTCTCCCAAGGAAAGTTTCCAGATCCCTGAGACAAGACCAGGCTTGTTCCCCATATTCACAGATACTGTCAAAGTAGTCAACATTGTTTATAATTATATCCTTGAGTTTGTGTCCTTCATGTCAGTCTTCCAGCACACACACTATCTACCAAATTTGGGACCAGCAGTTAGCGTAATGGCTATGTCGCTGGACTCCCATGTAGCTGACCACAGTTCGAGTCCCAGACCCGGCAACTTAAACTCACGCCGTGCCCGTGTGCATGCATGCCCAAGATCCCCAGAGGAGAATGGAGGAAAAGGGATTGTGGTGTGGCCATCCCCCCTGGGGGGTGATTTCTCACTTTCTATCTCTCTGTCTCTCTCTGTCTGTCTGGTGAGCGCACGCGCCCTGTAGCAAAAACCTCTCCAAAAAAAAAAAAAAATATATATATATATATATACCAAATTTTAGGTGCTCAATAACATTATTAATCAAATCATCAGTGTTTATTATAGTTGGTCAATATATATTTTGTGATTGGGGCCAGCAGGTGGCGTGGAATGGCTGGCTAGGCAGTTTGAATCTTGGACCTAGTCACTTGAAAATCATGCCAGATGCATGTGTGTGCATGCCCAAAATCCCAAGAAGAGAACGAAAGAGAAGAGATTGTGGCATGGCCATACCTTCTGGGGAGAGATTTATTTCTATAACAAATACTAAAATAAATTAGTAAATAAATAAGTATTTCATAACTGAATGCTTGAATAAATGAACAAACTAGATGAAGTATTTTAAACAAGTCACTCCATAATTACAGATTATAATTTTTCTCATCTAGAAAATGAGTATTTTGGATTACATTAGCTGTGAAGTTATGTGTGGTCTATCATTTCCTGATTAAATCTTTTTTACTTTAGCATCTGGCATTAAAAGAGAAGTAAAGAAAGAAAAGGGAATGGCCTTTCTACCTACCACAGGTAAACAGGCAGGTGCTATTTTCTCACTCACTCTGTTCCTGAGCAAATTCCTTGACTTCTCTGAACCTTGCTTTCTCTATCCGTAAAAAGGGAAGTGTCTCTATAGTTAACACTCCAACAATCCAGTAATGACTTCTACGAGCTGCTTGCTACTTTATGACTTATTGACTACCTGGATTCTCATGATCTTATTAAACCCACAAACATGGTAACCTTTTTTTGTGATAGAAGAGTTTATAAGGGGAATTATTGCATCTGCCATCATCACTTTTCTAATAATGTTGTTTTTCTTTGCCTTTCTTCTGTAGTCAGCATAAAGTTGCTGGTGCAGTTAAGACTGCATTGCACCATGAAGGACACAGAGGATTCAGGGATTGGGTTTCTTTTACAAAAGTTTTGGTTAATAAGCAGAATAATATTTTTGGCATATTTTTGACTCTTGGGAGTGAGGGTTATTCTTTATTATTTTATCTTTAAATATTTAATTTTTTTCTATTTTTAAAGAATTATTTTGTTTAACTTTATTTATTCTCATTTGACCAGAGAGAGACAGAGTGAGAGAGTGAGAGAGAGGGAAAGTGAGAAAGCAAGCTGCCAGGTCCAGGACTTGAACTGCTGTCAGCCATGTGGGAACCCAGTACCCTTAACCACCATGCCACCTGCTGGCCCCTATTTATTTTTAATTAGTACATTCACATGGTTTAAATAGCAATAAGTACAAAAGTGTATAAAGTGAAAATGTTCACTCAGCCAACCACTTCCCTTTACCCAGGACACCAATTGTACCAATTTATTGTACTCAAATGAGATAATTTTCTCTTCTTTAAACAAAAATGATAATTACTGTCCCATAAGTAATCATAAAAGATAAAAGGTGATAAAATCCTAGGCAGGAAGAAGTACAAAAAGTGTCAGGTAACTTCTATTTTAAAGATATTACTGTGGTGGTCTTTTTATCCAAAAGAAGAACAATGGATTTATATCATCTGTCTGGCAATTTATTTAAAAATGTTTCTAGATAGGATCCTATTCAGAAATACACCCTTCAGGGGAGATTAATTCACACTTGAAATACAGCATCAAAATCTACCGATAGGTCTATGGATAGAAAAGAAGTGGTAAAAATAATATTTCCTTGGTGAAAGGAATGGTGTTCAAGATCGATGCTTGGCTAGGAAGACTGCAGAGCCCCCGTGCTGCTCCAGCTGTGTGACAATCTTGCAAGCCCAGCAGCATTCTTGCAGCCTGGTGCCCTGAAACTCAGATGGTCGTAGATCCTTCACCTGCATGGAGGACCCATCACCTGGTTAGGTAACAAGTAGGGCTGACTGGGGCCTCCTGTGGACCTCACTGCAAAGTAAATGTCTCCTGTAGTGCCACTCAGCCTGCCCAAGGAACAGTGTTGGATTGCTCTGAGGGAGGGGACTAGCAGTTTAGCAACTTTTGGTCCGCTTAGTAATTAAAGTGTTCCTCAGACTTGCTTTTGTTGTAACCTAGCCTCCAGCCTCCAGTAGCCTCGTAGTGGGGGAGGGGATTTATAGTGCCATCTGCTCTAACCCCAAAAGCTGATCTTTAAGTAAAAAGCTTGTTAACTAATACAAGACCAAATTGGCTTAAATAAGTAACAGGTAACTTGACCTCAGTTTCAATAGGGTCCTTGAAAAACAGGGTGAACTACTAAATGTCCATCGATAGCTAAATGAATAGAGAAAACATGGTATGGACATACAATGCAATGTTATTCAGCCTTAAAAAGGAAGAGGGTCGTGCCACATGAATAACGTGATGAACCTGGAAGACATTGTGTTAAGTGTAATAGCCAAGCTCAGAGGCTGGCTCTTACATGATCCCACTTGTGTAAGGCATCTGAAACAGGCAAACTCACAGGGGAGAGTAGAAGGTTGGTCCCCAATGACTGGGGGCAGGGGAAATGGGGCATTTGTTATTTGAAAGTTAAACAATTTCCACCACGCAAAATAAATAAGTTCTAGATAACTGTTGTTCACTATAGTGTCTGTAGTTAACAATACTGTGTTATGCACTTTAAAAATTTGGTAAGGGGTAAATTAAAAAAAAGAAACAAAAAAAAATAAGGGGGTAGATCTCATATTGTGTTCTTTTTCTTCTCTTTTCGGAGAGGTTTTTGCTGTAGAGCGCATGTGCGTGCCAGAAAGATAGAGATAGAGAAACAGAAAGTGAGAAATCACCCCCACAGAGGGGTTGGCCATGCCGCAATCCCTTCTCCTCCAGTCTCCTCTCAGGATCTTGGGCATGCACGCACACGCACCTGGCATGAGTTTAGGCCACCAGGTCCGGGACTCAAACCGCAGTCAACTACGTGAGAGTCCAGCGACATAGCCATTATGCCAACTGCTGCTGGTCCTTCATGTTGTCTTCTTACCTCAGTAAAACTAAATAAAATAGAGTAGAGGGAAATATGGGCACAAAACAAGACACTTGTGTCCTAGTTGTATTTTAGCCACCAGCCAGCTTAGGGATTTGGACCTTTATTTCCTCATCCTTCAAAAAAATGTCGGATAGGATGATTTTTAAGGATTTTATAAATTGTGTGGGGTTGTGCTTCCAGGATACTAATTCATATATGAAAACTTTTATTTTAGTGTCTGGAAATAAAGATGTTAAGAAAGAAAAAGATGGGGCTGGCCTTGGTGCAGCAGGTAAGTGGGCAGCCTTGAATCCCAACTTACTCAGACTCTTGGTACCTTGGATTTTCCACTTATAAAATGGACATAAATTCCTTCTCCATCCAAATGTAACATGCAAAGATATTCACTGACACGGTAATGGTAACATATGCAGTGTAGTTAGATATTTTCTAGTCCCAAATAACTGAGTCTTTTGCTCTGGGCTTAAAGCCACCTCTTCCAGTAAGACGTTCTCCATCTCTCTAGACCAGGTAAGTGCCGGATTAAAGGTGTGTGCTGCTGTTTACCGCGTTGATCTCCTCCCCTGTCATTACTCCCGAACCATAAACAGGAAGCTCTTGAAGGTGAAGACTCAATTCTTTCCCTTTTTACCTTTTTTATACTCAACACTCAGCATATTGCTTGGCCCTCAGTGAGAATCTATTCAATGAATACAGAATGAGTAGGGGAATAAATGTCCTTGACATTTCAATTTTTTCTTCAACATTTTACTTTTTGATAGCACCAGATTTGCCAAAAAGGCACATGGCCTGATGTGTTGGGGTTTTTTGGTTTGTTTTTTGTTTGTTTGTTTGTTTGTTTGTTTTTTGGTTTTTTGAGAGGTTTTTGCTATAGGGCGCATGTGCTTGCCAGACAGACAGAGAGAGACATAGAGACAGAAAACGAGAAATCAAGCCCCAGGGGGATGGTCACGCCGCAATCCCTTCTCCTCCATTCTCTTCTTGGGATCTTGGGCACGCACGCACACACGCCCGGTGTGAGTTTTAAGCCACCATGTCCAGGACACGAACCGCGGTCGACTACATGGGAGTCCAGCGACATAGCCATTACGCTAACTGCTGGTTCCCGTGGCCTGATGTTTTTGAAGGGCTATTGCTCTGCAGTCTTAAGGGAGTAGGTTCTGAGCCCTTCTTTTCTCTACTCAGTTGTGCCAAGCTAGGCAACTTACTTCTCCATGAAATTCTGTTTTCCAACTCAGGTAAGGAGTCAGGTAGATTGGACCATCTGTATCAGAATCACCTTGTGTATTTATTAAAATGTGGACTTCTAAGCAAAACTCAGTCCAAGGAGATCAGCACATAGAAGGGAGACATAGGAGAACCCTGGGGGCTCCCTTTCGTCCCACTCTCCCTGAGCCAGAAAGTCACTGCAACAGAGGCCACCAACACTGCCCTGGGCTAGCCTTTCAAGACTTGAGTTTCTCTGATGAAATCTTATCCCTCCCCAGTGTTTGACCCTAAAGAAGAGAGGAAAGAAAAGGGGATGGCATTTCTTGCTACCACAGGTGAGTTCTTCCCCATTCACATACCTCGCCTCATGGGTGGTCTGGACAGCTGAGCAAATTCTCCCACTTCTCTGAACCTCTGTTCCCAATCCCACAGCAAAGATAATAGCATCTCTCTAATCACTATCCAGACACTCCGTAAACTTTGGAAAAGACAGCTAGGAATGTAAAGACCACTATTTCCACCTTGTCAATCGTTTCTAAATCTTTTTTTTTTTTTTGAGAGGTATTTTTGGCTATGTCGCTGGACTCCCACGTAGTTGACCGCGGTTCGCGTCCTGGACCTGGTGGCTTAAAGCTCACGCCGGGCGCGTGTGCATGCGTGCCCAAGATCCCAAGAGGAGAATGGAGGAGAAGGGATTGTGGCATGACCATACCCCCTGGGGGGTGATTTCTCGCTTTCTGTCTCTATGTCTCTCTCTGTCTGGTGAGCGTACGCGCCCTATGGCGAAAACCTCTCCAAAAAAAAAAAAAGTGTTTCTTGTGCTTCATCTGGATTTCTGTCTAATGTCTGTCATCATGAATGATGCTGGCTGTCCCCTCCCAAAAATGAGAACTGCCTCTTACCTTTGAACCCCTTGTATCTGGCACCTGGGGTGTGCTCAGCAAACATCCAAAAGGGAAATACAGTGCCCTCCCATTCACAGGAGATGCATTCCATGAGCTCCAGTGGATATCTAAAGCAGTTGAGAATATTGACCTCTATATGTACTGGTTTGTTTTTTTTTTTTCATATATACAAGAGGGGACTTCAAAAAGCTTGTAGAAAAAGAATGTACTTAAAGTACAAGTTTATTTTGGTGCAAAACAAAAAAGTCTAAATACTTGCGTATTCTTTGAAATACGTGTCTTCCATGAACTTTTTGAAGACTCTGCAGAAATACCTAAAGTTTAATTATAAATTAGGCACAGCAAGAGATTAACAATAGTAATATAAAATAATATAATTAGAACAAAATATTGTAGTAAAAATTATGTTGATGATAACAGTTATGCTATCCTCAGTGGGACTGGTGTGAAGTGTATTCATGTTGGGTAATTTGTTTTACAAGCTGTAGTGACGTACAGTGATTGAATGTATAAAATAAAACAAATAATCAAAAGAAAAAAAAACAAAATTTTTTTAGTTATGTGAATGCAGCCTCTCTCTATCAAAGTATTGAACTAAGTTTGACAGAAACTGTGGAAAATTAAAACACAGATAAGGGGGTCTTCTGTGCATCTGTCTCAAGTTTGTAAATAAGGACCTTTTTCTGTCACTGAAGACAGCCTGTCAGTGACATTGTCTCTGAACCTCTTTCAGAGCTGCCTGCAAGATCAGTTGATCTGTCTGCCCTTAACCTGACGGAGCTCGTGAATGGGATGCTGAACAGAGCTTTAAAAGGTAACAGTATTTTAAAACATAATCCAGGCCTATTTTTGTCTGTACCAGCTTCTCTTCTGAATGTCCCTAATGTCAGAAAGACACCTTACTTCTCTGTCTTTTTATCTCCTCTGGGGTCAGAGATGAGACTGAAAACATCAAAATGAAGTAGGAGATTTAAGAGCATTTTGAGCACGGTATATGTGCAGGCATTCGTAATCATAAGTCCTTTGCCATAAACTGACATTAATCATTCATTGAGTAAACTAATATGATTCTGAACTCATCTCGTTAAAACAAAAAGAGTCAATCTGAATGCTTTAATAGTACTCTGGTCTCCTTTCCGTGTTCTTTTGGCTTCTATCACAATGATTTCTATGTTGCATGGATTTAATGAATGACAACAAAGTATGAAAACTCCCTAGTGTATCTTCCTTACTTCCTTCATTAATTATACTATGCTTACTCAATAAACACTGTGTGGTCGGTAAAGTCATGATGCATTTTTACATCAAAAAAAAAACAGAAAAAATACGTCATGACTTTTCTGACAACCTAGTATTTATGGAGCCTCCGTTAGGTGCCAGGCACTATTCTAAGTATTGTTGGGATGGGAAGGGAGTGAACAAGGTTGACAGAAGTCCCTGGTCTGGGGAGCTTACATTCTAGTGGATGGATAGGTAACAGAAGCAAGTAACGCAGGTACTAAGTAGGTAATGATCAGTGTATGCAGGACGAGGAGGCTAGGACCACCGATTCAACACTGGGTTCTGTGTGAGTGGCATTCTCTAGGATTCAATGATACACAAACTGCACAACTGTGCTCAATGACTTTACACCCTTTTACGTAATCGTTTACTCATGGACAATACTTGCAGGCCTATCCGTCCCTGTGCCAACGCTCAAAGCAGTCGTCACTAAGATATGGCCCCTAGCTCCAGTTCACTCACATGAATTTGCCATTGATGGGGCTGCCTTGGGAGGAGAGCAGTAGGGGCTGCCTGTCGTAGGGACTGTGGAGAGCCAGAAGCACCCAGTGAAGGGATGAGCTGCTACACAAGCATTTAGCCCTGTCAGCCCTGAACTCCTAGTTAATCCTGTCCTTTTCTACCCAAGGCCCTGCATTGGGTTCTGCAATATGTTGCAGAGACTTGAAAATCCTAAGTTATACCTTCAAGAAGCTCAAACTCTCCCTATGATTCATTTAACCCTGTGAGGTGGAGCTCTCACTCTCATTGTATAGATGCAGAAATTGAGGCATGCCTGCTGCCATACAGAATGAAAATTCAGATCAGTTCATCCCACACCCCTGATTTAGACTGAAGTTTCCCAAAGTTGCTGTGTGGTAAGAAGCACCTGCATTGCTTATTAAACTCATCCCTCCCTAGACCACCGCCTCATTTAGTGGGTCTTAGGTGGGACTTTAAATGTGCATTTTTACCAAGAACAGTTGATGACTCTGTTTTTAAATGTTTTATAATTTTTTTTATAAAGCAACAATTACAGAACCAAGATAAAAACTTGAAAACGGAGTGCTGGGATATTCAAACTTTGGCACATACCCTATTCTCCCAGGGAGCTAATAAAATACAGTCCTCAGAGATGACCCTGGAGCCTAGTGGTAAATGGAGCTGGTTCCTTCCTGGCTGACCACAGTTTGAGTCCTTGCCATGCTGGGTTGACAAACATGCTGCACGCATGTGTACACATGTCCCAGATCCTGACAAAATGGAGAAATGGAGAAGGGTTTGCCGTGTGACCATACCACATCCCTCCCTCCCTCTCTAACTCTCCATGACTCTCTCTGCTGACTGCATATGCCCTCTGGCAATTAAAAAAGTATATAAAGTCTGACTCCTTTATATATTTGGGTATGACATTAGGGTCTCCAGAGTGGAATGGCCGAGGAGCCAAGGGAGTTGGATACCACCAGTGATTTGAAGTACCGAAGTCAGTGGTACTGCAATTCCAGCCACCATCCCAGTGAGTCACAAATTTGTATGAATAAAAAGCCACCTGGAAAGCTTGTTAAAACCCAGAATCCTCAGCATACCCACCTCTCCCCATTCCCCATAATCAGATTTGGTAGTCTGGGGGTCACACTCAATATGCATCATTTTAGCATGTACACCACTTGACCTGATGCCAGTGCATGATTCTCAGGCCACGGCCAGGGAAGACCTACTTCTGCTGAACTCTTCCAGGTACAACCACCAGCAGGCACTGAGGAAGTGGAGGGGTGATAGGTGTTCATCTATGCCTAACCTGCTGGTTTACGTTAGTTTACGTGGGTAAGAAGAAGCAGAAAGCTCCCCTTTTCCTTGTGTAATAAATGGCTTTCCAAAGGTATTCATTTTCTGGTTACCACAGTCTATGAATCTTACTTTTGATGTCACAAGGCAGAACAGCATCTCGTATGATAACAGATGTGGTTAAGTTGGTTAAGTCAAGGATCTTGAGATGAGAAGATTATCTGGGATTGTCTAGGTTGTGCCAAATGCCATCACCACAGTCCTGATGGGAAAGAGACAAAGAGTAACAAATGGAAGAAAAGACACTGAAGACAGAGCAGTGACGAATGTGGCTGCAAGCCAAGGACTGCCAGCAGCAGCCAGAAACCGGGCACTAACAGACGCTGCCCTGGGGCCTCTGAAAGGGTAGAGATCCTGTGGAGTTTCAGAGTCCTGGGCTCCAGAACTGTGGGAGAATGAATTCCAACTTTTTGGAGCCATCTAGTTTGTGGTCATTTCTTCCAGCAGCCACAGGACTCAAATACAGCTCCGATTCTTACTTAGAGAGTTGCCACAGTTTAAGGACAGGTCAGGAAAAATAGCCAAATGACACATACTATTGAGATTTTATGTTTGGCTTTTAAAATGTTGCTAATTAGTATTTTTTGTTTTTTAATTTTGCTAGAGGGCACATGCACTTGCCACAGAGAGACCGGAAGAGAGAGAGAGAGTGAGAAATCTCCCAGGTGTGATCACACCATGTTCCTTTCTCCTTCATCTCCTCTCTTTTAGGACTTGGGGCACACACACACACACACACACACACACACACACACACACACACACGTGCCTGGCGTAATTCTTCAGCTTCTGGGTCTGGAACTCGAACCACATAGTCGGCTCTGTGGGATCCAGCTGCCTTTACTACCATGCCATGGGCTGGCCCTGTTTCTTCGTTTTATTCTTTATTATTTTATTGTCATCATTTATTTTATTGTATTGTATTGTATTGTCATCATTTGTTCATTGTTTCAGTTTCTATTTTCTGCCTTGCCTCTACTGCCATTCGTTCCGTTATGGTATCACAGGCATTTGTCCCTTTGCCCCATTATTGTGATCTCTCTCTGCAGATACCAAGAAGTTCTTCTCCTTGCTGAGCATCACGTCCTATAGTTCCTTCGCCTTCCACAAGTTTTCTGTGGCCATTTACAACAGTAAGTGCCGGCTGGCTCGTCTGGATGGTGTCAGCAGTGGGCGGGTGGTAGCCAGAGAGCCTGCCTATGCGTCAGGACTGCTGAGTGAATCATTCTTCTCACAGTTTCTAACCTGAAGAAGGTGGACCCAGCCAAATTCCCCACAAGGCACTGCTACTGTTTGGACAATCAGACCAATGACTTGTCAGGTAAGGCAGCTGACCCTGGGCCTTGTAGCTTTTCCAATTTTGCTTGTATCCTTTTAGATAAGTTTATATTTTATGTTTTCCCTCAGAAGAAAATAGAAAAGCATGGTGATGTCTATTGCCCTTGCTTACGTGTATAATCATTGACCCAGGAAGTTCTTTTCTTGGTTTTACTTTAGAGAAATAGTTGTGTGTGCATAAAGGGGCAAGAGCAAATGTTTATGCAGAATTGTTTTCCGTGGAAAATCTGGGAACAACCTCAATATCTGCCATTAGGAAAGGGTTAAACAGTCCACTTTGGAAAACACCTGCAGATGATACATAAATGAATAGGTGTGGCCAGATTGGCCCTGTGCATAGAAAAGTTCCTTTAATTTAAAAAAAAAAAAAAGAGCCACCAAAATTATACACAGAATACAAAGTCATTGATGAAAAGTACATTCGTATCTGGACATCAGATAGCCAATTATCTCTGAGAAGAAGAATGGCGTGTGTTTTAGAATAGGTAAGTGTTATTTAAGGGGATCTTGTATTATCTGAATTATTTTTCCATGGTAATATACTCACGTGTTACTTTTATAAGTAAAACTAAAAGTATTACAAGTTCCTTGTACTTAGAGAATTCTGAAAAAAATAAATACGAGTGAAAATTATTGTCTCTTCCTCAGTTCATCCATTTGGTGGTTCTTTATTGAGCACATCCTATAAGATACCCTTCTAGGTGTTTGGGAGACCACACTGGGCAGAGAAGATGCAGCCCTGACCTTGTGGACCTTAGATTCTGGAGGACAGGACAGAGGCCCAGCTAACGGACTGCAAGTAGATTGTATGTTAGCTGTCAGCTTGGCTGTCAGGACAACAGAGAAGAGGAAGGGGTGAGGGGAGGGGGAAGTGATGGTGGGTATCAGGAAAGTCTCTACTGAGGTAAGGGTTATGGGATGACCTTCAGAAAGTGGAGGGCTAGTCTCATGCTAGACAGTGTTCCAGGCAAAGGCCCAATAGAGAGGGAGTCCAGAAAGGCCTGGGTTGACAAACATGCTGCACGCATGTGTACACATGTCCCAGATCCTGACAAAATGGAGAAATGGAGAAGGGTTTGCCGTGTGACCATACCACATCCCTCCCTCCCTCTCTAACTCTCCATGACTCTCTCTGCTGACTGCATATGCCCTCTGGCAATTAAAAAAGTATATAAAGTCTGACTCCTTTATATATTTGGGTATGACATTAGGGTCTCCAGAGTGGAATGGCCGAGGAGCCAAGGGAGTTGGATACCACCAGTGATTTGAAGTACCGAAGTCAGTGGTACTGCAATTCCAGCCACCATCCCAGTGAGTCACAAATTTGTATGAATAAAAAGCCACCTGGAAAGCTTGTTAAAACCCAGAATCCTCAGCATACCCACCTCTCCCCATTCCCCATAATCAGATTTGGTAGTCTGGGGGTCACACTCAATATGCATCATTTTAGCATGTACACCACTTGACCTGATGCCAGTGCATGATTCTCAGGCCACGGCCAGGGAAGACCTACTTCTGCTGAACTCTTCCAGGTACAACCACCAGCAGGCACTGAGGAAGTGGAGGGGTGATAGGTGTTCATCTATGCCTAACCTGCTGGTTTACGTTAGTTTACGTGGGTAAGAAGAAGCAGAAAGCTCCCCTTTTCCTTGTGTAATAAATGGCTTTCCAAAGGTATTCATTTTCTGGTTACCACAGTCTATGAATCTTACTTTTGATGTCACAAGGCAGAACAGCATCTCGTATGATAACAGATGTGGTTAAGTTGGTTAAGTCAAGGATCTTGAGATGAGAAGATTATCTGGGATTGTCTAGGTTGTGCCAAATGCCATCACCACAGTCCTGATGGGAAAGAGACAAAGAGTAACAAATGGAAGAAAAGACACTGAAGACAGAGCAGTGACGAATGTGGCTGCAAGCCAAGGACTGCCAGCAGCAGCCAGAAACCGGGCACTAACAGACGCTGCCCTGGGGCCTCTGAAAGGGTAGAGATCCTGTGGAGTTTCAGAGTCCTGGGCTCCAGAACTGTGGGAGAATGAATTCCAACTTTTTGGAGCCATCTAGTTTGTGGTCATTTCTTCCAGCAGCCACAGGACTCAAATACAGCTCCGATTCTTACTTAGAGAGTTGCCACAGTTTAAGGACAGGTCAGGAAAAATAGCCAAATGACACATACTATTGAGATTTTATGTTTGGCTTTTAAAATGTTGCTAATTAGTATTTTTTGTTTTTTAATTTTGCTAGAGGGCACATGCACTTGCCACAGAGAGACCGGAAGAGAGAGAGAGAGTGAGAAATCTCCCAGGTGTGATCACACCATGTTCCTTTCTCCTTCATCTCCTCTCTTTTAGGACTTGGGGCACACACACACACACACACACACACACACACACACGTGCCTGGCGTAATTCTTCAGCTTCTGGGTCTGGAACTCGAACCACATAGTCGGCTCTGTGGGATCCAGCTGCCTTTACTACCATGCCATGGGCTGGCCCTGTTTCTTCGTTTTATTCTTTATTATTTTATTGTCATCATTTATTTTATTGTATTGTATTGTATTGTCATCATTTGTTCATTGTTTCAGTTTCTATTTTCTGCCTTGCCTCTACTGCCATTCGTTCCGTTATGGTATCACAGGCATTTGTCCCTTTGCCCCATTATTGTGATCTCTCTCTGCAGATACCAAGAAGTTCTTCTCCTTGCTGAGCATCACGTCCTATAGTTCCTTCGCCTTCCACAAGTTTTCTGTGGCCATTTACAACAGTAAGTGCCGGCTGGCTCGTCTGGATGGTGTCAGCAGTGGGCGGGTGGTAGCCAGAGAGCCTGCCTATGCGTCAGGACTGCTGAGTGAATCATTCTTCTCACAGTTTCTAACCTGAAGAAGGTGGACCCAGCCAAATTCCCCACAAGGCACTGCTACTGTTTGGACAATCAGACCAATGACTTGTCAGGTAAGGCAGCTGACCCTGGGCCTTGTAGCTTTTCCAATTTTGCTTGTATCCTTTTAGATAAGTTTATATTTTATGTTTTCCCTCAGAAGAAAATAGAAAAGCATGGTGATGTCTATTGCCCTTGCTTACGTGTATAATCATTGACCCAGGAAGTTCTTTTCTTGGTTTTACTTTAGAGAAATAGTTGTGTGTGCATAAAGGGGCAAGAGCAAATGTTTATGCAGAATTGTTTTCCGTGGAAAATCTGGGAACAACCTCAATATCTGCCATTAGGAAAGGGTTAAACAGTCCACTTTGGAAAACACCTGCAGATGATACATAAATGAATAGGTGTGGCCAGATTGGCCCTGTGCATAGAAAAGTTCCTTTAATTTAAAAAAAAAAAAAAAAGAGCCACCAAAATTATACACAGAATACAAAGTCATTGATGAAAAGTACATTCGTATCTGGACATCAGATAGCCAATTATCTCTGAGAAGAAGAATGGCGTGTGTTTTAGAATAGGTAAGTGTTATTTAAGGGGATCTTGTATTATCTGAATTATTTTTCCATGGTAATATACTCACGTGTTACTTTTATAAGTAAAACTAAAAGTATTACAAGTTCCTTGTACTTAGAGAATTCTGAAAAAAATAAATACGAGTGAAAATTATTGTCTCTTCCTCAGTTCATCCATTTGGTGGTTCTTTATTGAGCACATCCTATAAGATACCCTTCTAGGTGTTTGGGAGACCACACTGGGCAGAGAAGATGCAGCCCTGACCTTGTGGACCTTAGATTCTGGAGGACAGGACAGAGGCCCAGCTAACGGACTGCAAGTAGATTGTATGTTAGCTGTCAGCTTGGCTGTCAGGACAACAGAGAAGAGGAAGGGGTGAGGGGAGGGGGAAGTGATGGTGGGTATCAGGAAAGTCTCTACTGAGGTAAGGGTTATGGGATGACCTTCAGAAAGTGGAGGGCTAGTCTCATGCTAGACAGTGTTCCAGGCAAAGGCCCAATAGAGAGGGAGTCCAGAAAGGCCAGTGTGGCTGGGAGAGGTGAACGAGGGCAGAGAGCCATGGGAAATGAGCTTGAGTAGTGAGGGTGGTGGAGGGGATCCTGCTGCAGATCATATAGAAGGTGATAGTCCACTGCTAGGATTTCAGCCTTCACTCTGGAAAGAAAGAAGCCATTGTGATTGCGCAGAGGAGCAGCATGGTCTGACTTTCATTCTTCAAGGATGCCTCTGGCTGTTTGTTATAGAATAGACGAGGGAAGAAAGTATTGAAGGTAGAGCCTCCTGCTCTTCCTCCCACTTACTATTGAAATTATTTCAGGCTCGGCACAGTCAGACCCACATGGGAGGGATCTTTGGTTCACGGCCTTCCTGAGCGCACCTGTCAGATACTCAGACACCCAAGATCCAGGATGGCAGCACTGGGGGTGGATCATGGTGTGAAGGCCCTGTTGAGGATTCCTATATCTCTCCTTCTCTCTCATGGAAGAAATGGATAAATGGACTTTTAAAATAGTTATATATTTTTCATGATATTGAAACTCTTTATAAAGATTTACAAGGTTGTGTAGCTGTGAATGTAGATGTTTACTTAGCCATTATATTGTTGTTGGAATTTCCAGTGGATTTTAGTTTTTCTTCCTCATATAGTCTAGCAATGAACATATTTGTGCATAAAGTTTTTTCCTGTTTCAGATTATTTCTGAAGATACATTCTCCAAAGTGAAATTTCTAGAACAAGCATTATGACAATTAAGATAGTAATTGCTAACACTAAGTGAATACTATATATTAGACCTACCCTGAGTGCTTACCATCCGTTCCCTTATTTACTTCACCCTGCGAATCCCATAAAGTCATACATTTGAGAGAGAAAAAGGTTGCTATAACCACACCGTTCCTACTATTCATTTACTTCCACTGAGAGTAGAATTTTGTGCTGAGATCCTTCCCTGATTAGGTAAAAGATAAAAATAAAATTCTGCCTGGAGAGAGATTATAACTCTATTTCAAGAGACAAGGCATATTCCCACATGTTTGAAACCATTCTCTGAAAATAATTGATCCACAGATTCCTGTCATCTGATAAAACAGCATGCTGCTGCTCTGGTAAGCCACAATTTTCATGAGGTTTGATAAGTCACAGAGGGTCTGACCTCAACTCCCCATCAGATCACTACCACCAGAGACTACACACCGGCCAATATCCTTCCGTTGTGCAAAACCTTTGGGGAGGAAATCTTTGTTGATAATCTTCAAAGCTGGATCAATTTTTTTTATAATATTCTCAACTCTAATATGTACCTCTGTTTGAGAATGTATTTGCATATTTTTCTAAGGAAAAATGGTTTAAATTTTCTTGATTTTAAAAATAATCAGGCAAGCCAATGGCATAGTGGCTAAGGCAGATGAATTCCACGTGGCTAATCTCACAGTTTGAGTTCTGGACCGGGCTGCTTGAAAAAGCATGCTGGGAGTGTGTGCATGCATGTCTAAAATCCCAAAAGGAAGAAGAAATAGAAGAAAAGGGATTGTAGTGTGACTATCCCCCAAGGGTGGTGCTTTTTCACTTTCTCTCTCTCTCTATGTGTATGTCTCTCTCTGGCAAGCACACATGCTCTCTGGCAAATTTTTAAAGTAAAAAAATAATAGTAAATAAATATTACATACTGTGATGTCAAAATGTTATACAACATGCATGGGTATACCAACGGACCAGAGATACCTGATACCCTAACTTTCATGAGTCATTACTGCTATTGATGACCTTTATGCACTGCTGTCTACACTACTTTCTACCCTACCTGTCATCTAGCTTACTTTTTCAGTCTAGCTACCCCAACTACTACTCATCTTCCTAGCCATCCTGTTCTACATGTAGGAACCCATCTTCTGTATTATTTAGAATATAGGCCAGGCTACTATAACAAGTGACTCTGAAATAGAGTGGCTTTGATGTATCTTACCAACTTACGCCCCAAAAGGAATCATTTACACTCCCGTCAGCATGGGAACTGGTATGTTTGAGGGCTGGGAGGAGCTGACTTACTAAAAAGAAATACTCATTTATTTACTGAGTAGTCACAGCACCATGGTAGGTGCTGGGGTACAGGGCTGAGCAAGGAAAAATAATACATTTTAACAATTAAATAATTTTTTAATTTAAAAAATATTTCTGAAGAGTATATATATATATATATATATATATATATTGTTCAATTTTGTAAAAGTGAGAAAGTAAAAAAAGTTGACTGTGGAAAAAAAAAATAGAGTGGCTTTAAAAAGGTAAAAGTGAATCGCTTTCATGTGTGGTAACCTGGGCAGGCATACCAGGGCTGCTTAGATGGTTAGATAATTTGAGAGCCCAGGCTCCTTCTAGCTTGTTGTTCTCCCCTCCATAAGGGTGCCCTTGTTCGCATAGCCCAAGGTGGCTTGCCACACATACACACTCCAGCTATGAGGAAGGAGAGAGGACTTGGAAGGCATGCCCATTTGCTGTAAACTCACAGTCTAGGAGCTGTTCACATTTCTTCCTCTCACATTCTGTTGTCCAGAATTTAATCTTATGGCCACACCTACCTGTAAGGCAAGCTGGAGGATTCAGTCCTTATATTATGCCACCATGTGCTCAACTAAACTTTGATGTTCTCTTACTTACAGAAGATGGGAGAAAGCATATTGGAAAACAGCTATCAGTATCTATCACTTTTTCATGCAATTTTATAGTCTACCTTTAAACTAATCAGTCTGTCTTACAAATCATTTCATTGCAGTGACTATAAATACGGCTCATCCTTTGTATGAATGTGTAGTATTCATTGAGAGAACGTACCACAATTTATTTAATTTGTCTCCTCTTGATGGGAACTTGGCTAATTCCCAATATTTTTACAATTATAAACAATGCTATGCTGAGCACCTGTGTAAAATCACTTGGAGTACGTGTCCAATTATCTCTGTAGAATAAAGCTCTCAAAATAGAATTGTTGCCTGACAGGAAGACAATATTGTGGTGACTCAAATTGCTAACATTTCTGCTGGAAAGTTTGCATATATTTATACTCTTTACCTACAATGTTTAAACGTATATGTTTTTTTCAACCCCTTGGAGCACCAAATAAGAGACAGTCTTAAATCATTACCAATTGGAGAGGCAAAAAAGGTTTTTTGTTTTTTTTTTTTTTTTGAGAGATTTTTCACTGTAGGGCGCGTGTGCTCGCCAGACAGACAGAGAGAGACATAGAGACAGAAAGTGAGAAATCATCCCCCAGGGGGGATGGTCACGCCACAATCCCTTCTCCTCCATTCTCCTCTCGGGATCTTGGGCACGCACGCACACGTGCCCGGCGTGAGTTTTAAGCCACCGGGTCCGGGACACGAACCGCGGTCGACTACGTAGGAGTCCAGCGACATAGCCATTACGCTAACTGCTGGTTCCCAAGGTTTTTATTTTTTACCATCGTGTGTGTGTGTGTGTGTGTGTGTGTGTCTATGTATGAAGACAGTCAGAAATCGTTCATTTCTGAGCTTTGCAAGTAAATTAGATCATGCAAATTTTTGTTTTTAGATCATGCAAATTTTTAGCAAAACAAAGAATATCTTTGGGGCAAAGATAATTGATTTTTTTACAAGTATAATAAACTGATTGTGAAAGCATTTCTAGATGGAAAGTTGGCAAACTATGCTGAGCAAGAGGTTCTATGAGTGGTGGTGGGAATATTGGGTAAAGTAGAAACTGACTCAATGCAGCCTCAGCTTAAATCCATGCTCTGCCATGTACTATGCGACCTTTGACAAGTTCTATCCTTTCTCAGAGCCATGGCACAGCATGGACTCTGTCCTTGGTGTCTGACTCTAAAGCCATGCTCATAGTTTCAACGCAACTTTAACAGTGGTAACTACTTGGTTGGTCTGTTTATGAGACTCTGTCCCATTAACCTCAGCTTCTTCTGTGTATCTTATACAGCTCTCCAGTACCTGCCTCATGTCTAGCACACTGCCCATACTCAATGAATACTTTTTAGATAAATAAATTATTAGCAATATTTTAAGAAGCAGGAAGAAAATAAGTAACGAGATAGTACCTTTCCTTAATGTCCACAATGTGACTAAAATCAGAATGCTCTAAAGAGTCATCGATAGGAGGATGACCACAGGTGCCTCTCTTCTGCATAGACAGATAGCTATACCTGCGTAGGTGTGTTAGCATTCTCCCCTCTAGGAGATTACCCATGTGTCCATGCGAATGTGATAAGAGCGTATCTCCAGCTCTGGCTCACACATAGTAGAACACATCTTCAGTGGTCTTGGCATGTTACACTTTCCATTGCTTGTCACCTTCTATTTTCCTGCCTGTCTGGGTTCTGAATTTCCAAGGCAGCTTACTCCGTAGTCCTGCTGATTAGGAAAAGAAGCATCTATACAAGGTGTGATAGGAAAACATCCAACAACCCAAGACACTTTCTGTTCAGAAAAATCACTGGAGCTCCTAGAACACATTCCTTCTGTTTTAGAAATTAAAAATGCACTAGATCCTGAAAAGGTATAAATGAACAGAGGAAGAGGTGGCAGCTATTTAACTCGAGGTGTATCAAGAACTTTCAATGGACAATGGTGCCTAATTTCTGTGAATCAGAAATTCAGACTTTCTAAATCTGTCTTGCAGATTTTACAGCCCTACTGGTGGATATCATCGGGAATTCTACTAGCTACCTTACAGAGATTTTTAAGTCAACCTCCATCCTCTCAGGTGTGTTTATCTTGAAAATATTGGCAAATTTGGCTTCCATCAGAGAATATAATTGTGCCTCTAGATTGCCCCCTCCAGCCCCTCCATAAGACAGGCTGCCAGGAACCTTGATGTAAGGTTATTTAAATATTCTGTGTAGTCCAGTTTCTAACACCAGTATGTAAAGGTTCCATCTTTCAATCAGAGCTATTCCTAGGGTTCAGGAAATTGGAGGAAAAATCTATGGATCAATGTTGGAGGAATCTAGGGAAATTCAAAAAAGTGCTATATTTACATTTGTAAAGATAAGGAAAGGTTGAATGTTTTGTTGAAGGTTGGTGCCACAATTCATATTTTGATCTATATTAAGCCTAAACGCACTTTTGAAGCACAACTGAGAAAGATATGCCTCATTTATAAGGTGGCTTGATATAACCATCAGCCAAGCCACATTCTCCTAGGGACTTACTTTGAAAACTCATGGGAATACCAGATATAGAGTGTGTGAAAGAATAGAGTCTGAGAAAGGACATTTAGAAGAAAAATAGAGAGATAAAGCATTAATGGGACAAAGAAATGTGGTATTATCTGTTGAAGATAATTTTATAGTTTATCAACTGGACTAGGGAGAAATGTTCACATGTTGGAATATTCACTTTGTAAGTTACATAATGTAACTGAATGTATAAAAGAAAATGAAATTTTAAAAAAATATTTAAAATTTAAAAAAGGAAAAGTCACCAGCCCAACAGTTGGTCTAGGCCCCCAAAAAAAAGAAGTGGTGAGCTACATAACTGAACATTTACTGTTTTAAAAGCAGAAGGAAGTGGCATGGTGATTAAGGTGCTGGACTCCCCCATAGCCGACCACATTTCAAGTCCTGGACCTGGAGGCTTGCTTTCTCATTTTCCATCTCTCTCTCTCTGTGTCTCGCTCTGGTGAGCACATGTGCCCTATAGCAAATTACAAAGTAATAATAATAATAATAATAAATAAACAAAACTAAATAAAGAATTCTAGTAAAAAAATAGCAGAAGAAAAGGAGAAATACAAATAATTGATATTTATTAGGTCCCAGACATTCTTCTAAGGGCTTTCTATATATTCCCCCATTGAACCCTCACTACATGATTATGGGATAGCTACCCTGTTTATCCCCACTTTAGATGGGGTAATTATGGCACAGGACAGTTAACTAACTGGTTCAAGACTACTCTGTAGAGAGTATTCTAATCTAAATAATCTGGTTCTTGGGGCTGGCAGGTGGTATGGTGGTTAAGGATGCTGGACTCCCACATGGCAAACCACGGTTTGAGTCCCAAGGCTGGCAGCTTGCTTTCTCACTTTCCCCCTCTCTCTCTCACTCTCATTCTGTCCTCTCTGATCAAATTAAAAATAAATAAATAAAGTTAAATAAAATAATTTAAAAAAATAATAATCTGGCTCTCGGTTCATGCTCTTGGTCACTAAGTATAATAAGAGTAACACATTAGTAGTAATGAGAGCTATTATTATGATTATTTACCACACTCTTGTGTCCATGATGCACCATGCTTAGCACTTCACACCGATTATAGAATCTTCACTGCAATCTTAGGAAGGCTGTGCAGCCCCACATCCACAGTCCTTTTGGCAGCATCCTCAGGGACAAGTATGTTTAGGACTTCAAAGGTTTTCAGACTTTTGAAAGTGTGCTAAGGTGTCCACGCCATATGTGATGTGACAATTCCAACAGCAACCAAGGAAGCCTGCCTGACAGACATGCTGATGGTCATTCAGCAACACGCAAGAGCCTCTACAGTGGGGAGGGTAGACGAAGACTGCGACACCCTCACAACTGTCAAGCCAGGTTTTGCTACTAAGTGAGTTTTGGTACCAAACAAATACAAAGCCTTTCATTTGACAGAGATTTGGGGATTTGGGAGTGGTAATTAAGAAATTGTAGGATTTGAATTTTCACCATTTTAAGGAGAGAGAAACTGAGTCCTGGTGAAGTCATTACTTCATTCCTGTTCACCTGGCCAGCACTGGTGTTGTTACCCCAAAAGCTGCCCCCAGAGGCTGTGCCCCTGGCCACTGCATTATACTATACTACCCCTCCACCACCCCCAAATAAGAGAAAGAAATTAAAACATCAGAGAGTAAGGAATTAGGGGGTCAGCCTGTGACCGGGTGGCTTAACAAGCTGGATCCCACACAGCCACACACACAGTTGGAGTCCTGTAGTTGGTGGGCTGGCAAACATGCGGGTAGTGTGTATGTGTACCTGAAATCACACCATAACGGAGAACGTGGAGGAGAAGGGATTGTGGTGCAGCCCTGCTCTATGAAGGCACTTTCTTTATCTTTTTTTTTTTTTTTTTTTTTTTTTGGAGAGATTTTCACTATAGGGCACATGTGCTCACCAGACAGAGAGAGACATAGAGACAGAAAGCGAGAAATCACCCCCCAGGGGGGATGGTCACGCCACAATCCCTTCTCCTCCATTCTCCTCTCGGGATCTTGGGCGCACACCCACGCGCCCGGCATGAGTTTTAAGCCACCGGGTCTGGGACATGAACCATGGTCGACTACATGGGAGTCCAGCGACATAGCCATTACACTACCTGCTGGTTCCCTATGAAGGCACTTTCTTGTTTTCCCCTCCACCTCTCTCCCACTCTCTTTTTCTGGTGAGCACATACAATCCTCTAGTAAAATAAATAACAAAAAAGTAAAGGTTTCATGTTATTTTCTTATGTCATCCTGAGCTAGGTATTTCCACTTAATGTTTTTAAAAAAAAATTGCTAGAGGGTGTGTGTACTTGCTGGAAAGAAACAGAGAAAGAGAGAGAGAGAAAGCATGCCTCCATGGGGGATGGTCATGTTGTAATCCCCTCTCTATTTTTCCTTTTGATATTTTGGGCACATAAATCAAGTGTGTTTTTTCAAGACACTGAGTCTGAGTCTCAAACTACATGGTTGGCTATGTGAGATCTGGCTGCCTGAACCACCAGACTACTGCCTGGCCCTCCAGCTTAATTTTTATTTCAACCCAAGACTTACCTAGTGCTAAGCCTAGTTACCGGTGTGTCTTACAGTGAGTCAGACCGATGATTCCGACTGCATCTTCATCTGTGTGATGACAGGAAAGTCAGGTGAGCCATTTGCCTTTCTGTCACAAACTCTCAGCACTGAGCATCAAACAAATGACTCTTGCAGATAAACCAAGCTTTGGTCTTGTTGGTGTCATTTTTTGCAGGAAGGAATCTTTCTGACTTCTGGGAGATGGCAGAGAAATCCCCTGTTATCAATTACACATTTACCAGCAGTGTGTCTGGTGTTCTGGGTGAGTACAAATCTCCCAAACTCCTTTCATAGTCTCCAAGGTCCTTCCCAGCAGACTGAAGACCACTTGCCTTCAGGTATTTTATTTAGCTATACTGTGTTTTTAAAAATCATGGGATTTTGCCATTTACTTTATTTATTTATTTTTGAGAGGTTTTTGCTATAGAGCACATGTGCTCACCAGAAAGGCAGAGAGAGACAGAGAGACAGAAAGCGAGAAATCACCGCCCAGGGGGGATGGCCATGCCACAATCCCTTCTCCTCCATTCTCCTCTTGGGATCTTGGGCACACACACACATGTGCCCAGCATGAGTTTAAGCCACCAGGTCCGGGACTCAAACTGTAGTCGACTACATGGGAGTCCAGTGAAATAGCCATTAAGCCAAATGCTGGTCCCAGATTTTGCCATTTAAATAAAGGAATTTCTGGATTCTCTTGTGAAATACTAGCTTTTACTCTCAACTCCTGGCAGCAAGAATGGGAGCTGCATAACTACTGTGCCAATTCCCAGTTAAGAGGGGCACCTTGCTCCTGTCTTCCTTAGCCCTCTCTGCACCCTAGTGCCTCACACTGTTTTTTACATATTAACTACTATTTGCATTTGGGACACTGTTTATAGACTTAAACACTCTATAATACTCAGCCCCTACCCAACCATCCCCTCCCTGTCCACTCACCCACTTACACACATACTTGCTGGTCTTTCTTCAATTTATTCCGTCACCGGGTGGTATTTTTGGAATCACCTTTAAGTTATTTTTCTCTCCTACACTTTACTGGCATTTCCAACTGAGTAAAGGTTCTGGAATCTGGCTGGTTGCTCTGAGATTATATGCTGATGCTGCTTATTTAAGTTCAAGTCATTATCATCTACCTTTAGGCTGTAATAGCTTTAGGACAAAATTCCTTCTATCCCCCATAACTCTCTTATTCCTCTGAAATATTCCTCCATTGCCACAAGAGCAATCGTCTTATAATATGACTTGGGTTTGCTCAGAACTCCTTAGTCAATAGTGGAGAGAGTCCAAAGTCTGATCCTGGAGTGTACATTGCTCTGTCTTCAACCCCTCCCTCCCACTTCATTTCTTGCTCTCTTTCCCCATGAATGCTCTGCTACAACGGCACTGAGATCCCTGCCCCTCTTCACAGGAGGCATACATCTCTATGGCTTTCCATACCGCTTTATCTCCAGCTAACACTTCTCTCCTACTTTTTCATATTTTACCCTATTTTTCTGTTACTTACCAGCTGAAATGCTCCCTCCTAGTTCCTAAAAACCCCCCAATCAAGTCAGTCTTTTATCTTCTGGGTTCTATAGCTCAGCACTTACACAGTGTTGGACCCTGAGCTACTCCATTTTGTAGTGCAGTTGACCTTCATTCACATGCCTCCTCAAGGAACAGCACTGGAAGGCAGAGGTAGTCTCCTTCGGTATCACAGTCTACCTTCCCCCCGCCCCCAGTGCCTTGCACAGTATTTTGTACGTGGTAGACTCCTCATCCATGTCTCCTGGGGTAAAATGAAGGACAAGATAAATCTCCAATTCCATTTCGGTGGGCTACTTTGATTTGTATTTTAGCTTGTCTCTTAGTTAATGCTGTGGTAGGAATCTCAATTTGTGTGGGACAAGGTTGTTTGATAAGTATAAGAAATGGATATTTAGTGGGTTGCCTTCACCTGCTCAATTCTGAAGATAGATCTGAGTGTTGAGTCAATCTCAGCTGAAGTTTTTTCATCATATTCTCACCCCCAAACTCAATTAGGCCTCTCCTATTATGCTCCTTAAAGACAAATGTTTAGGAGAGAGAACATATTTTCAGGTTGACACCAAGGTGATATGCCTGATAGCTGGGGGAGTGAGAAGATGGCTGAGAGGCACCTCGCCCTTTGTCTGAATGATCTGGGAGCAACACTCAGGCCAGTGGTGCATGTGGGGAGCTCATGGTCCCAAAGTAAAGCAGGAGAGAAGAATAGTGTCTGCAATTGCATAGGCTGAGTCCTACACATAGTTATCTGTCAAAGAAGAAAGTGGAGGCCGAATTCCAGCACAGGTTCTGCCCACCAGGTTCAGGTCAGTGTCCACCCATAAAAAGGGGCATGTGGACCCCTCTGTCATCCTCATGTCCACTGCCATGACCACCCCTGAGGAAGATGTAATCTGAATCTCTTCATTCTTTTCTTCATCGAGCATTCCAAGGGCACCAGACAGTTTCTCTGAATTAAACCTTCCTGCTCTCTATATAGGTCCCCTCTTGTAAGCAGTTTCTACCTGAAAACCCCTGATTTTCCAAAATCCCACCTCTGGTTCCTAATTGTACCCATAGGCAGAGCAGCCCTCATCTTTCTCCCAGGGCAAGTCCCAGAGCCGTGGAGTGGCTGAGGACTGCAAAGTGTTTGAAGGATTATCGATGTAGGGTCTGCTCAGGAAGCGAAACAAATGACTGACAACTTTAGATCAGATAGCTTTTTGTTCTATTCACGGTGATTCTTCACTTAGCGTTTTTGAAGATTGATATCCCACCAGAAATTGTCATGCAAGGAGAAAAATGTTTTTGATGGCATTTGGATCTGTGTGGAGTAAGGACTGAATTTCTGTTTTCTTTTTTTTTTTTTTTGGAGAGGTTATTGCTATAGGGCATGTGCGCTTGCCGGACAGACAGAGAGAGACAGAGAGAAAGAAAGTGAGAAATCACTCCCCAGGGGGGATGGCCACGCCACAATCCCTTCTTCTCCACTTTCCTCTCGGGATCTTGGGCACGCACGCACACATGCCCCGTGTGAGTTTTAAGCCACCGGGTCTGGGACGCGAACCGTGGTCAACTACATGGGAGTCCAGCGACATAGCCATTACGCTAACTGCTGGTCCCTGAATTTCTGTTTTCTATGTGTTTGTGCCTGCTGCTCTTTCAGCAACTTGGCAGTTCTTTGTTTCCAAAGTGTCGAGCATATTAACGTGCCATTGACTGTCCTCCTGAAGGTGCAGCTACCAGGGGAACAGCTGGAACTCCCGACCCCAAAACTAAAAGCCAGCAAACACTACTGAATGCGAGCTCCCCACATTGGGCCCACAGCACATACCAACCATCTTTGCTGAAAACATCTCGCTGGATAGAGACAACTGCTCCTTCTGAGGGAGAGGAGCCCAAGAGCACAGACAGGCTCCCTGAACTCCCTGAGGTGACCACAGCCACAGGAAGCAATGCCACTCACAGCACCCCTGCCTCAGGTAAAAACTTTCTCACCCTTTCCTCTCCTTTGTTGTATCTCCTTCCTGTTCCCTCTATGCACATATAAATAAGTAAATTCCTTCCCTTTATTTTTTCTCCTCTACCTGAATTTATGCTTCCACCAACCTTCAGTAAGAGATCTGTGTGAGACAACATGGGTTGGATAAGCTCAAATGAAGGCAGAAAATTTCATTGACATCATGTACTTTGAATATTTATTTTCATAACTTTTTTATTTTGTCAATACTTTAAGACTCTCAAGAACTTGCAAAAATAGTACAAACTGGTCCAGAGTTAGTGTTCATCAAGCTACCCCAAGGAAAATGTCTTATACAGTCGTAGCATAAAAGTATCAGAAGATTCATGGAAATATGAAATGAAGTATGAGTTTATTTTCATGCAAAAGGAAGTTTTAAATCCATGTATCATTTCTTTCAGTGTATGCATTCACTATGAACTTTCTGAGGACTACTTGTATGTTGTGGTATAAAGTGTTTTTGCTGAAGCAATATCTCCTAAAATTCACATGAATGACATGATGGAATGAAGTTGTTACTTTATGGCATGATCAGGTTAATTCAGAGCTGGCTGGATGATGCTAAGACTAAGTTATTAAAGTGACATCAGCATGAAAAGCTGCCACCAATAACCTGCCAAAAGTCTCCTCCCTTCCCATCACCTTGAGAACATGCAGCCATGTTATATCACTGCAGATAAAAAAGGCTCACTTATCCTATTTCCTGTTTGGAAATAATATGAAACTGGGGCAATTCTTTTATTGAGAGTCAATATCGTCTCTATGAACTCCAACAATGGACTGGAATCCATTCATTCACTCATCAAAATGTGTATTTGCTACCGCTCACTAGTCCAGCTATTTGAAGCACAGCTCTGTGTTTCCTTTCCTTTCTGAGCTCAAGGCCAGGGAGAGAGAGAGAGAGACACTGGCAAGTAAACAGCAGATAGGATCCCCCTACAAAAACTATTGCACATGGAAATTCCGGAGAGGGCCAGCTAGCCTAGCATAGCAGGAGACTCAAGTGATAGAAGTCAGGTAGGCAAGGAAACAAGGAAAAGTAGATGGTAAAGTGGAAACGGAATCAATTGCATTAACTAGAAAATTTCTAGTTGACTACAAAACTTGATATAAGAGCTAGCATCCTGATAATTATAGCAAATTAGAAAACTTTCTGGTATAATATGAAAAAAAGATATAATTGCTAGTGACAAAAAAAATAATAAAATACCTAGCTATGACTCTAAAAGAAGCACTGGTTCTATATTAACAAAAACTGGGGACCAGCAGGTGGCCTAATGGTTACATCATTGAACTCCTACGTAGTCAACTGTGGTTTGAGTCCCAGACTTGGCGGTTTAAGACTCAATCAGGGCACATGTGCACACGTGCCTGAAGTCCTGAGAAGAGAATGGAAGAGAAGGAATTGCGGCGTGGCCATCCCCCCAGGAGATGATTTCTCACTTTTAGTCTCTCTGTCTCTCTGGCTAGAGCATGTACCCTTTAGCATATATCTCTAAAAAAAAATACAAAACTTAAATGACAGTAATTAAGGAATATGTAGATAAGTGAGGGGATACACCACGTTCTGGGTGAGAAATTTGAATATTTCAAAGATGGCTGCTGTCTCCAACTTAACCTAGAGATTTAAAATCCTCCCATGAGATTAGTTTTTACAAATCTTGAGAAAAATTATTTTAATTTCTACTATGGGAGTGAATAGATAAAAACAATTTCTTTAAAATAATCAATTAAGAAAGATTTGTCTTAACTAATAACCTTCCTGCAATCTGCAATGTCATAGGACATTATTATCCTTACTATCATTATTATCTATATATTTTTTTATTTTTCTACTTTTTGAAAGGTTTTTGCTATAGGGCACGTGCACTCGCCAGAAAGACAGAGACAGAAAGCGAGAAACCATCCCCACAGAGAATGGACATGCAGCAATTCCTTCTCCTCCAGTCTCCTCTTGGGATCTTGGGCACGCACACACACGCACCCATTGTGAGTTTAAGCCACTGGGTCCGGGACTCGATCTGCGGTTGACTACATGGGAGTCCAGTGACATAGCCATTATGCCAACTGCTGGTCCCAATTATGTATATTTTAATGATAAAGGTACAAAAAAGGTAAGGAACTTGTCTCTAAGTTTATAGCATAGAGGAGACAGGGCAGAACTGATACCATCAGAATTCCTCATCTCAAACCCCATAATCGTCCACCATGTCACATGATTAGAAACATATTTCTTTTTTTTAATCCTTATTTTATTTTTTTATTATTTTTTTCTTTTATTTTTTTTCATTTCATTTTCTTCCATACATTCAATCACATTATTATTTGTCTTACAAAATGGATATTTAAACAGGTGAACATTTCTCCCTAGTACTGTTGATAAAACTATGAAATATCTTCAACAGATAAAACCACACCTATTTGTGCCATTAATGCTTTGCCTCCCTGTCCCTCCCCCAAATGTCCTTCCTCAGACCCTCCTCTTTCACACACATTATATCTGGTATTTACATCTATATACTGCATTTCTATGACTGTTAGACAATTAATTTCAGTCATAGAGTGTAGACACTCAGTATATATTAAGTGAAGACATACAATGTCTCTCCTCCATAGCATGGCTTGCTTCACTCAGCAGTAAGTCTTCCATATTCATCCACTTCCTTTCAAAAGTCAGGGTTTTGTTGTTTTTTATGGATGAATAGTATTCCATTGAGTATATGTGCCACAGTTTTTCTAACCATTCATCAGTTCGTGGGCATTTGGGTTGTTTCCATGACTTTGCAATCATGAAAAGTGCCACAGTAAACATTGATGTGCAACCACTTTTCCGATTAAGTATTTGTCTGTCCTTTGGGTAGATACCAAGGAATGGGATTGCTGGATCATATGGCAGTTCTATTTGTAGATTTTGGAGGAATCTCCAAATTGTTCTCCACAGTGGTTGGACCAATTTACATTCCCACCAGCAGTGTAAGAGAGTTCCCTTTTCACCACACCCCTGCCAACACTTATCATTTTTTGTTTTTTTAATATTAGACATTCTGGGGTTAGGTGATAGCTCATTGTTGTTTTGATCTGCATTTCTCTTACAATGAGGGATGCTGAGCATTTTTTCATATGCCTTTTAGCTATTCATATGTCATCTTTAGAGAGTGTTTTTCCAACTCATTCTCCCATCTTTTAATAAGATTGTCTTTTTCCGGAACAGCTGCTTGAGTTCCTTGTGAATTCTGGTTATGAGTTCCTTATCTGAAGCATAATTTACAAAAATGTTTTCCCATTCTGAGGTCTGTATATTCACACTAATCACTGTGTCTTTTGCCATGCAGAAACTTCTTAGTCTGTTGTAATCCCACTTGTCTATTTTTGGGAGAGACAACCACTGACCCTCCTCCCCCCTAAACACACACACACTAGCTGATTGGAGTGGAGGCTCCCAGATACTGGGAAATGTAGTTGCTTGTTTATTTATTGGGTGTTTACAAAAGCAGAGTTAAGTTTATCTCCTTATTCCATCTCAGGAAAAATCTTAAACCCTTTGGTTATCTATTAAGCCATCGGAAAAGTCATGACACATTTTTGCATAGAAAAACATAGAGACATATGTCATGACTTTTCTGATGACCCACGATATTACACATCACATTTGCTCCCTGACAGGATGTCAATGACTCAGTAATTTTATCTGGATCAAAATGATCAAGCATGTAAGTGCCTTGTTACTGTTACTTTGAATGTGCAGCTACCAGGAGAGTGGCTGGAACTCCATGGATGACAGCCAGCAGACAGACTCGGGCTTCCACAGTATCCATGCCCTGGATTCAGACCCTCAGTGAGAAAAGTCCTGGAGCGCCTCTCTGGAAGACACGCTCCTCCACCCCGATGTCTCCTGAAGGTGCTAAGGAGGTCATGAGTGCAGGGAGCCTTTGGGGATTTCCTGTTGGAATAATGACCATGACTGGCATCCTTGGATGACAGCCAGCAGACAGACTCGGGCTTCCACAGTATCCATGCCCTGGATTCAGACCCTCAGTGAGAAAAGTCCTGGAGCGCCTCTCTGGAAGACACGCTCCTCCACCCCGATGTCTCCTGAAGGTGCTAAGGAGGTCATGAGTGCAGGGAGCCTTTGGGGATTTCCTGTTGGAATAATGACCATGACTGGCAGCCCATCCCAGACCAGCCCAACCCTGGGTAAGAGACGCTCCCTTCTACTCATTCCCTTTTCAATTAAATTTAGCATTGTCTGTTTTGAAAATCTTTTGTAAAATTTTAAAATATAACACACACACAGGAAAGTAATCAAACATAAGCAAACAACTTAATAATAATAAAGTAAATGCCCTTTTTCTCCTTTTCTTTCACCTTTTCCTCTTTTTATTTTATTTTAATTTTAATTTAATTTTTTTGTTGTTATTGTTAGAGAAGGAGAAGAGAAAGCACCCCTTACGGAGTATGGCCGTGCCACAGCCTCTTCTCCATCTTGCCCTCCTTTCAGGGTTTTAAGCACGCACATACACATGCCCAGCATATTTCTCAAGCCACCAGTCTCAGGGGTCAAACTACACTGGTCAGTTATGTAGGATCCAGCTATCTTACACCACAAGCCCACAGAACCAGCCCCTTTATTTCCATTTTTGAATGAATGAATGAAAACTTCTTTGTAGGACTCACCTACCTCCTCTCTCTCTTATGTCAACCAACTTCTCGGTATCTTTTTCATTTCCCTATTTTGCTATTCATTAAATAAGTGACCCCTAGAGGTTAATATTATTAGCTCAAGACAGTTCAACTACCTTTCTGACATAGTGTTAATGTGTGTTAACATTATTGAATTAATTATATTATATATATATATATACATTGAAACATATATAAATTACATATGTGAATATATTACATGTATATTAATTAATAATTACATAATGAGGAAGGCCTGAGCTCCAAAAAACAGGAGAAAATTATCAAGAGTAATCCCAGTGTTGCATATACATGTATTATGTGTGTGTGTGTGTGCATGCATATGTGTGTGGATAATAAATGTACACAGAGAACAGAAAACAAAGTGAAATGAGATGAAAAAGAAATTTAAAACTTGAAAAGTGACTTCACAAAGTTCTTGGGAAATGAAATGTAAAGTACAAATTTATTTTAGTGCAAAAATAATTGAAAGCTGTGCATGATGTTTTTCCTAGCACATATTTTCCATGAACTTTTTTGAAGGTTCCTGTATTAACCTTATATCTAGCCTTATAGTTCTCAAACTATATCTGCCAAGTAGAGTTATGATTTTTTTTTCACTCCAGTTACATGGATTTTTTAATATTTATTACTACTATCATCAAATGCCAAAAAAAAAAAAAAAAGAAAGAAAGAAAAGTTCATCCCTTTTTAAAATGACTTCTCTGAGGACTGCATTATGGCCAGAATCCTTCTTTCATGCTCACCACAGCCAGTGAATCATGACACCCGTCACAGCTGTGCTGCTTGTGTCCATGAACTTCACTTCCCTCCCCTCTGGCTATGCTCTCCACACAGGCTATGCCTTTCATCACATTCCTGTGGAATGCAGAACGCCTTCAGAAAAACTTTGTTGAATTACTGACTCTCTTAAGGAATACAGACAGAAAAGTAATGCATTTTAACAGATACGTAGGTAAACTTGAGGCTCAGAATTTCAATTGCACAAACAGATCTGGGAATGCCATTTTGATAGCTTCAGTCATATAAACACCTGATGTCGTTGCTTGAGTCTAGTTGGCTCAGCATTGTACTATTATGTAAGGAAAAATTAAAACTAACACATTCAGGAGCCAAAAAATTGCATAGTAGTTAAAGCGCTGGACTCCCACATGGTCAACCACAGTTCAAGTCCTGGACCCAGCAACTTGAAACTCACACTGGGTGAGTGTGCATGCATGCCCAAAATCCTAAGAGGAGAATGGAGGAGAAGGAATTGTGGCATGGCTATTGCCACTATAGGGGGTGATTACTTGCTTTCTGTCTCTTTGTCTCTCCAAGGAGTGCATGTGCCCAAAATTCTTAAAAAAAAAAGAAAGAAAGAAAGAAAGAAAGAAAGAAAGAAAGAAAGAAAGAAAGAAAGAAAAAAAGAAAAGAAAAAGAAAGAAGAAAGAGAGAAAGAAAGAGAGAGAGAGAGAGAAAGGCAGAAAGAAAGAAAGAAAAAGAGAAAAGAAAACCAATGCACTTCAGTTTGGTCGGCTGGGCAATAGCACCCAGCATAGCCCTGAACTAAGAGCTCTGGTCTCTGTTTCAGAGACAATTGGATAGAAATTTTGACTCTGCCAATTAATCTGTGTCCTTCAGTAGTTTTCTTGACCCCTCTGAATCCTAGTTTTCTCATCTGTGAAATGGGAGGATTTTTTTGTTTTGTTTTGTCTTATTTTATTTATATATTCCATGGGGGAGAAAAAAAGACACAGCATCTCAACAGGATTTTGACGCCATGATTTACTCCCAGCTTCAGCCAGCCCAGATCATGGACACACACTTGCTGGTGTACTCAGGGAGGTCGCCAGACTTGTACTGGCAGTTTTTAGAGTGGCTGAGATGGCTATACTAGGTGGCTTCTGTAAGGCGTCCAGCTCAGCATGTGGCAAACAGAAAGCACTCAGTCAATGGCAACTGCTACCCTCATGCAGTGGGTGGTAGTTGGGGGTACATTATGGCTGGCTTCAGGTAACATGCTTTGGAAACAGGTGGTCGCACACAGGACACACTTCAGAAGAGAACACGTGGGAACCAGCAGTTAGCGTAATGGCTATGTCGCTGGACTCCCATGTAGTCGACCGCGGTTCGCGTCCTGGACCCGGTGGCTTAAAACTCACGCTGGGCGCATGTGCGTGCATGCCCAAGATCCCGAGAGGAGAATGGAGAAGGGATTACGGCATGACCATCCCCCCTGGGGGGGTGATTTCTCGCTTTCTGTCTCTATGTCTCTCTCTGTCTGTCTGGCGAGCGCACGCGCCCTGTAGTGAAAATCTCTAAAAAAAAAAAAAAAAAAAGAGAACACGTGTCTGCTTTCACCCTGAGTCCCTTTCAGCTTTCCACAATTCCACAGTCATGTAGTCAAACTGTAAAACAATCATAGACAAGATTTCTGTGTTTGGATGTGGCTAAAACTGTTCATTTCCAGAACTATATAGAAACGCACCTGAGCATCTCCAGGTGTTGGGCCTCAAAGCCCAACATGTGAAGGGAAAGCAAAAGAAGGTGCTGCCAATGCTAAGAACATTGCCTATGCAGTTGGGCCTCCAGCCTGCAGTCATCAGTGTGTGACTGTCACATGCTCATCACTGGTTCCAGCACAGTAGGCTGCAGAGTGAAAGTCGTGCTGAACTTGACACAGCCACACTCATAGTCCTAGTGGAGGAGCCCAATAACTAACAAGCCACCTCACCACCTCACCACTGTGTGGGATGGAGCCAGGCTCTGTGGCACTGTCCGTTTCTCGGCGCCATCATCATCCTTCCACACTCATTCTCTAGACTCTAGTGATAGTGAATTGCTTACTGCTTACTTCTCCTGGTCTTAAATGTGTTCTTTGCTCTACCTGGAAGGCTGCTTCTCCTTGCTAACTGCTGTGCTTCTTGTCTCAGAATATATATCACCTGCCCCAGGTGAACCAGGCACCCATTGTCTGTGCTCGAGTTGAACCTTACCCTCACTCTTACTTTACTACTGATCTACACCAGTGAAAGCTGTTTAATCTTCTCTCTCCCTCATCCTCTAGAAGGAAGTGGCCTTGCTGAATTTGCCAGAATCTTGGCACCAAGGAGCAAGGATCCAGTTCTGAAATGATCCTTAAACCAAGGCTTCGTGAACACGATGAAAGGAGTTGGTGACTGAGCTCATGCTCTATCATGAAAGTGGTTGGCCCCAATTCACTAGGTTGTGGTGGAGCCAGTGCATAACTAGAATGAATGTAAAGCACATCATGTGCTCTTCACCCAAGGGCACCTATGCTTGACCCTTCCTATTCAACACCATCACTCTTTTCATACAGTGCCACCAAATCTTACCAATATTGACTGCTTTCCAGCATACCCATAGCACTGTCTCACAGTTATTGATGGGATTGCCCATTTTCTCTTCTGAACTGGGAGAGCTTCCACTGAAGTTTCTATTCCTTACTCATTCTGCCTCCTCAATACCCTGCTCCATATCTGGCTTAACCAACACAGGTTGGATAGGCAGGACTGGTGGAAGAGGGCCTCTTCTCCTGATCAGCACCCCATGAAGAAATGAAGGTTCACCTCTTTCTCATCTCATCCCAGGAACATTCACCCCTGGCACACAGACTCCAAGTCCAACCAAGGCACCAGCCCCCAAAGATCCACAGACAGGTAAGAACACAGTGCTGGAAAGAAAATCCCAATGCCACAGTGGAAAAACATGTCCTGAGGTCAGGTGCACGGTGGGATTGGGGAGCCAAAAGGCAGGCTGAGCTTATTATCACCCTTTATTGGTTCTAGCAGGAAAAGCAGCAGGAGAACTGGTTTATAAGCCTTGTTGTGCTGTTAACTTGCTGTGTGAGTTTAGATAAATTGTTTCTTCTTTCTTGGCCAAAATTTCCAAATAGATTTTGAGAATTTTTTACCCCAAGGTAGTACAATTTTCTGGTTGTGTGTATAACCCAAAGTCATCTCATTGTAACTTTTGGAAGGCCATTCTTGCCCTTGCAGGTGATCTCCCTGCAGAGTGGTCCTTTACCCCTGGAAGAGAGCCAGCCCTGACCCTAGGACCCTACCAGGTTTCAAGTGAGTACCAGCATCCAGTCATCATTGTTGCTTGTGTTTATTTTAAAGGAAGTAATGTGGTATAATAAAGAGAGGTTTGTCTGATAAACTGCTGGTGAGACAGCGTCCACCATTCAACTTTCAGGATTCTGTTTCATCAATGGTAAAACAAGAATAATTGCACTTATTATGAGCACTAAACATGTGGGTGATAGTCTGCATAGTCATTAGCAGAGAGAGAGGGAGAGGAAAGAATAAAGAATGACCTTAAAATCCCACTCCCATTTGCTGGGTGTGATACACTGTTATTCTATATTAAAGGGAAAATTTCTCTCCCCATCCCTGCATGCTCATGGATCTAGAAAAAAACCATGCCTAGGCTGGGAACTGTGTTTTCAGAGCTCCTGACTGAGGCTCAAGACAAGTCACTATGGTTTTTGCTGCATTTTCCCAGCTTTTGGATGTCTCCCCTCTTTTCTGTTGGGCCTATTTCGGTAAGAAAAGGATTGAGTTAGGTCCAGCCATTGTGGTGCAGGGGTGGGGCGCTATTGCATGACACTGAAGCCATATGGGGAGATCCAAAGTTCAAATCCACCTGAACATTCACTAGTCCTGCAGGTAGGAGGTGGGGGGTGGGGTTGCAATGTGGTAAGAGCCTATCAAAAATGCCTACTTATCCATCTCTCTCTGTCCTATAAATTTCTGTCCCAGAAAGGTCCTTCATCTCACACATTACTGTTCAATATATTAGATCTCTGCCTAATATTTGCTCCTCAATGAAATCATGTCTGATATCCTTCAGGAACCTTATTTCTACCTTCTCTCCACCTAGCTCTTAAAGCGGTCACAGATTCCCTGGGCAATGAAGCAGCAGTACCTTGTTTACATGTCAGTCTCAAAGCTTCCTGAGATGGGGACAAGACTATTCATCAGGCACCAGGATTACTAAATGGAAGATGCATCCTAAACACTGATTGATTTGACTGCTCTGCAATTCCATCTTCTAGGGTGTCCTGAGCTACTCTTCAAAGAGGGGGCCATGACAGCTGCTCCCCTCCCAATGGCCATTCAGAAGCTCAACCCATGCTTGATGGAGTTGTGCCGCTTCTTCCAGCAATGCCTCTGCATGAGCCAGAGGAGGAATTCCAGAACCCAGGCCATGAGGTAACATGGGTGAGATGCTGCTTTTCACATTCAGTAGTCACAGCTTCTTATTCTGCATGGCTTCTCTGTAGGCCACAAGGTGACTAGGCATAAATAATCCACAGAGAGGTGACTGGAGGACCTCAAAGAAAGGACTTTCTAGTGAGTCATCTACTAAACTGTTATTTCTATGAAAACCACAATTTATGCCTAAGCCTCCAGAACCAAACACAGGGCCTGATATAGTCAGTATAATAAGTACAGTGGAGTGAAGTGGAGTGGAGTGGAGTGGAATGGAGTGGGAGTTGCACCAGGTGGAATAACTATCAAGAACTTTGAGTGGTCTGTGAACCCCAAAGTCCCTAGCCTGGTGCTTACTAGCAGAGAAGAGTCAGAGAATGTCTTTATCTAAATTCTAGTTCTCTCTGACATCAATGAGAGGTTCTTAAAAAAATTATAAAGTTTTCACTTAAGAAGGTCTAGGCATGGACATTGCCCTTCCCTGAAAATTTGGCATTCTGTCCTTTTATCTAGGGTTTATTCTTGGCTATAAACCCAGAACCAAATAATATAGATGAATATTATTTCTCCCGTGCTCTGGGGGCCAGTCTCTCAGATCTTTAATATGATTTTCAAACCTATCCAGAAGATCCTCCAACTTTTCACATCTACATTATCTGCTGAGTCCAAAGTGCAGGTTTTCAACCTTTCCCCCTTTCCCCTCCTTCCTCTGCTCTTGGATCATCCGTGTGGATGTGTTGTCCATCCAGAGAGGGCAATAAGCAAGACCCATGGACTCAGGGGTGTTGGCAAACAGGGCAGAGGCACCTCTCCACATGACAGGCTGACCCTGAGGAGAAAACTTTCACAACAATGCTTTCTGGACTGTCTAGGATCAGCCCACAATACAGCCTCTGGGTTGAATAGGATGACATTCATCTTTAATCAAGTGCATATATTGAGTCTCTGCAACACATCTTTCCTGTACTGTGCAAAGCCATACAGATAGAGAGGTGAATCAGAAATTTTGTCAGAAGCTGAGAATTTCATAATCTATCTCATTGTCCCTGCACAGTACCTCAAGAACTGCATTCCTGGGTTGCTCATGGATTTTGTTGTGGTTGTTGTTCATTCCTCTCTGGTTCACTCCCATAGGCAGGTTTGAGTCTCATTTCTGGTATCCTTGACATGTAGCTGGGGTGACCCCATGGCCATACCACTGTTGAGGTGATCAGACTTGACATACTATCTCTTATGCCTTTGAAATGTCACCTGAGAAGTATGGGATCACAGGTTCACAGAGAAAGTAGCCCTTCCTTTGTTCACTGTTTGCTTCTTCACTGTAATCCTTTCTTTGCTGTTTTTCTAGCCTGTTCTGAAACCCAGGATGCCAACTTGTACATTTCCCAGAATATCTACCTTACAAACCAAATTCTTGTTAGTTTAGCTGATGGTGAAGACTGAGGGCAGTCCAGGGGAGAAGCCAGAGACTTTCTCCCTCCTCTTTCTGCCTTGAGCAATATTCCAGAAATAGCTCTATATCCCTCTGTAGTTCCAACATCTACAAATAATTCTTGTGACAGTCCCACCTCTGTGGTTCTAGCTACTACCAGAGACCAGAACTGTCTGTGTTCTGGTCACAATACTTCCTCCTTTTGTCCCTCCAGCCCAGCTACTCCCTCCAACTGTCAATGTAAGGTTGTTTCACCTCCCCTGGTTCTTCAGCTTTTCTAGCCCATTTATGACTAATTCTCAATATTATATTCCTTATCAAGTCAGGTGCATTTTATTTTCCTGGCAGGGACCTGGCATTATTGTTTATCAGAATGACAGTGCATTCTGGCATGAAGTGGGTTACCCAAGTTAAAAATCCAGCACTACCACTTGAAAGCAATGTGTCCTTGGACAAATTGGTAACTCTCTCTGCTCAGTTTCCTGTAAGTTAGGAGCAGTAGCACCTGGAAAAGTTTCATAATGAGCTTCAGTTGAGTAGTTCATTGCATAAATCCCTGGAGTATTCTAGAATCACAGAACAATAGAGGTGGAAGACAAACCAAGGCGTTAGCCCAATCTCCTCATATATCAGATGAGAGGCTGAGAGGGAAATGAATTCCCAGAGTCGTGCACAGAGCTAGAAATGCAGCCTGCACTGAAGGCACTTCTTCCTAATCATGTGGTCAGTAGTCTTTCACTGTGGCCCCTTAAAGCAACTCCTGCTGCCCCCAACCAAGAGCAGAACATCATTTAGCAAAGAGCTTGCTGTATTATTTACCATGGCAGCACTCCACTGTCTCTCTTCACTTTCCACAGCAGATACAAAAGTGAATAAACAAGCATCGTCATTTATTGAGCACCTGTTATATATAGGCACTTTTCGGAAACTTAACCTATGCTATCTCATTTAATCATAACCCCTTAAGCCCCAAAGTGTGGGCTGTTTGCCTGCTCGACCTGTTTTCCTGCCTCTCCTCTGACACCTTATAACGATGGCCAGAGCTCACTGCTGTGAGTAATTGGCCATACGTCCATGTTTACGAACTTACTTTTTATTCTGGCTGTCCTCCTATAACCATCACAGGATAGTGATTGCTCCCAACTCTGATTTAAATCTATAGGTACTGTCTTGAATACTATTCCTGGTTTCTGAAGAATGCAACATATATCTGCCAGAGGGTGAAAAGGGTGTACCACTCACACAGTAAGTATACAGCTTGACTGTGTTGTAAATTTACAGTGAATACACTATATGAGAGAGTTCTATAACTCTGAGCAGTTTTTCTGCCTTAGCATGGGACCACAGGAGTGCTATAGCAAATCTAGCCATCATTAATTCTTAACAAAGAGAGCCTAGGCTATTTCAGATTCCTCTTCTCCTGACAAATTAATAAAGTATAGGAACAAATGCAAAAGTCAGCCCTGTGAGTCCCTGCTTTCCTCCATATGAACTCAGGCAAGTTTATAAGCTTGTCAGTTCCCATGGAAGCTAAGAAGATCAACAAAAATAAAACAGAAGACAACCCCACTTAAAGACTAGAATTCCTGAACAGAAGGAAATGTATACAAATTATTCAAAGAAAAGGGGACAGCACAAACTAATAGGGGTGGGGTGTATGGCTTCAAAGCCTTGCCCCAATATTTGCTGGATATTGGAGGATTTTTCTCCACTCCTCCAAAAAAAAATGTAACTAATAATCTTATCTACTAGTCCCCAAACCAATGGTTTTGTTACGTTAGCATGCCATCTCTGTCACTTACTATAGGTGACTCATTTTCTAGTGCCCTGCCCCATACCTGCTCTGGACCATTGCTGGTGCTGTGAAACTTTTATTTACGTCTCTTTAACATTTCCTTCTCAGTACCTTGAATTTCTCCTTTTTTTTTTTTTTTTCAGCCTTAAAGCAAAAATGCCTTGAGAATGTCTGCAAGTCTGTGTGAAACTCGGATTTAAAAACACTGGGACCTAGCAAAGACTTCGGGTGACGTCCCTTCACCCTGCCCGTTTCCTGACTTGTCTACATTTGCAAAACTTGCCCAGGATCCAGCCAGTTCCTCAGTCAGTTTAAAGTGGCTCTTTTTGGAAGTAACCTTTATTCTCTCTTGTGAATCTGTGTAAGGTATTGAAAGTAGAAAGTCCCAGATTATAGACCTCATAATCAATGCAGCAATACCAGACTAGCCCAGCTGCTTCCAAGTCATGGAAGCCTAATGTCTATACTCATGGAACTCCTGAAGTGCTTACAGGGATCCTAATAACTGGAGCATGGGTGGGGAGCACTAGTCTGAAAAACTAGTCCAGGCACATAGACTGACACAACAACCAGAGCACATTGAACTTGAGACTACAGGAAGACAACAAAAGGATAAATTGAAGAAGACTGGACCCATACTGAGGAGAGATTAACATATGATTTTCTTGTACAGTTAACCAGAACTTGGTATGTGCAACTAACTGGACTCGCTATCCTATGAATCCAGATAATCTTCCTAGCTCCCTAAGTAGGAGGTGATGAGAACCTTCCATCAGCAGGAGGTATAGAAAATAACTTTGCTGGGACGAGCAGTTAGCGTAATGGCTATGTCACTGGACTCCCACATAGTCGACCATGGTTCGAGTCCTGGACCTGATGGCTTAAACTCACACTGAGCACATGTGTGTGTTTGTCCAAGATCCTGAGAGGAGAATGGAGGAGAAGGGATTGCGGTGTGACAATGCCCTCTGGGGGGTGATTTCTCGCTTTCTCCCTCTCTGTCTCTCTCTGTCTGTCTGGCGAGCACACATGCCCTATAGCAAAAGAAAAAAACCTCTCCAAAAAAAAAAGAAAATAACTTTGCTAATATCTCATCTTGATTCTCCTTCTGTGTGTCCCACTGTTTTTAAGGGTTTCCAAGAGTCCCCTCAAGCTCCAAGAGCACCCTTGAGCCACGGGACTCACAGAGCACAGAAAAACTGTTACATCCACAATTACCATTTATTATAGTAAAAGAATACAGCAAAGGTAAAAGGCACCTAGAACAGTGTCTAAGAGACCACAAACACAAGTTTCCAGTTTTTTTCCCCAGGTGAGTTGGGATTGCATAGCCAGCACTTAATTCTCCTGGCAATGGTGTGTAACAATCCACATGGAGTGTCATCAGTCATAGAAGCTCATGTAAACCTAGGTGTCCAGGGATTCACTGGGGTTCAGGTATGTCAACTTGGAGTGGTTGTGTGGCTCCACTTACGTTCTGAGTCTTCAGCCTCTCCATGGCATGGCACAAAGCTTCAAGTATACAAAGACATTTTGATCAAGCAGGATGTTTCAAGAGTCTAGAGATTATCCCCAGAAGCTAGCCAAGAGCCAGTTCTTTCTTTGAAAGATGCAGCATTTGAACATCCTACAGCTGCTGGGCCTATCACTGTATCATTTCCCTTTTTCATATTCCCAGATCTGCAGTGCTCTGATATCCCTGTTCATGCCAAGGCTATACACAGAGCATTACTAAGCAGGCTTGCTCCCTCTCACGGCCCTGCACAAACCCCTCTGTTTCTCATTAGCAGGGATGGCTCTTCTCCTACTGTGCCTGGGGCTCCTTCTCCAGGCTCTCACTTGGACTCTGGTCATCAGTTTCCTACCTCTGTGATCTATGGCCGTTCCTTGGTGAGAGAAGTCACTTTCTGTTCATGATCAAGTACAAAGTGCTTCCCCCTATTAGAAGAACTGGAGTACTCTAGCACTGACTGTGAAAACAAGGTGCTTGGGGAGGTAGCTCTTGAACTTTAAGAAGAGGAGCAGCCAGACAGTTCCACGCCAGGTCTTACACAGAAAGATTTTGTTTTAATCCTAAGAAAACATGAGAGCCCCTCAAAGTTATGCAAATATCAACCACATAAATACTTGTTTTCATAAATGCAAGGGGTCCTCTAGTTTGCAAATGTGAGGCAAATAAGCAAGTACAGTCATGCTCAGTCATTATTTCCAACGTGTGGCATGGCTGAGCCCACATGGGCTTTCCCACAAATGAATAGCCCTTGTCTTGGTTGCAAGCCACTAGTTCATTCTCTACCTTCCTTGACAATAACTTAACTCTCTGGAGAACCTCAGGAACCCTTTCTGGCCAATAGTCTTTAAGTAATATCGACTTCATCTATCAGAAAGAGTCTAGTTAAATTAACACATACTTAATGAATGGGGTCATTTGCTTGATTTCTGTACAAGTAGGAGTCCCTTAGCATCCTAGAAAATGATGCTAGCCTTTCAAAAGCTCCGGCATGAATCCCTCCAAAGTTTGTGCACAGCTCTGACTTAGCATCAAGGACAAAGGCTCAGAGGACCACATGGACCAGTTTTCCATGGTCGTGCTCAGCTATTATAACAGCAGCAATGACAGGAGGAAAGCAGGACCCGAGAGTGAACTGGCGAGTAGCAGGAGGCCACTGGTGTCCTCGAGTTTAAAGGAGGTTCAAGCCCTCCTGAGCTGGATAAGTCCTGACTTAGGGGATAGTTAGGGCAATGAGGAGGTGCTACAAAACTGGAGTCTACCGATTTGTGCATCTGTGGCCACTAGTGGGTAACAGAGGAGGTGAAAGAGAAGGGATAGTTGTACTTCAACCGATAAAAAGACTGCACAGCTACATGTGTAACCTCATTAAACTGCATTCTTCCTGACAGCAAAGACACAGGTGCATTTCTGTCTATTTTACCCATAAAGACAAGTTAAGTTGGTAAGAAAGCGAGGTGGGACTGGTTAGAGAGGGAAAGGAAAGGAATATAAGAAAGGGGAGAGAAGGAGATAGGGAGAGGGAGGGACAGTACAGAAATGTTTATGTTTCTTGGCCCCAGTGTCTGTGTCTATGTGTTGGTATGTGCGTGTATCTTCCTATTTCTACATAGGTACACTTCTGGGTTTGAGTGAGGAATTCCTTATTTTGAGTTACCCTAATTTCAAGCTCTCATTTAGAACAGTCTCTTTCTCTTATGTCTGGGTTCCTGTGTAAAGTTCATTCTTGCTCTATTCCACCAACAGGAAAGGGAAAGGCCAAAGTTCCAAAGATATTGCAGGTGAGAGGTCTTCAGTTGGGGTGATTTAGCTCCCACGGGGACATTTGGCAATGTCTGGAGACATTTAGGAAGACTTGAAGTACTACAGACATAGAGTGAGTAGAGACCCAGGATACTGTAATGCTCAGGAAAGATTCTACAGAAAAGAAATAGTTGGCCCAGAATGCCATACATACCCATGCAGTGTCATTGTCCTTTGCAATGTGTATAGCTATGTTCTTGAGATCCTGAGACACTGAAAAAGGTGGATTTTGCTAAATGGAGGTGTATATCCTTATTGATGTCATAGATTTAGACCTGGTAGGTCATCTGTGCTAGCAAGAAAGATTGGGGGCAATGAGCTTCATTTCTCAATGCGCATGAAAGACTGAATAATAGTTAATGATCTACAAACAAAAGCTTTAACCACAAGAGCACCTATTATTGAAGAAGATCTTCAATGGATTCTGCTGTAAAGACTTAACTGTCCCCTGGTTTAATTTTTTGGTGAATCTTGCCTCTGCAAGAGGGAATGATAGTGTGAAGAACTCAGAGAGTTTAGGCCAGGCTCATCTGTGCCCAAGAATGATCCCGTCAGATGTGAGCTTCAACAATGCCTCAACCTCAATGGCACCATGTTTTTGTCTATAAATGGAGCAATGTTTTGTCTTCTGGGATTACAAGAGCAGCAGTGGTGGGCTTGTAGAGATGATAAGGCAAGATCTGTAGTACATAATAGGCCCTCAACCCATGTTAGCTCTTCTTGCTAAAATCAGGGCAGAAAACATTTCACAAAGGGCTGTGATGAAGAGAAAAGAGGAATTGAGATTTACAGAGTATCACTCCACCAACTATATAGGCTACTTCTGCCTTGGAATTCCAGTAGTATTATATCCACTGAGCAGATGTAAAAGTCAAGACCGACAACGACAAGCTCAAGGTCACAGGGCTACTCAGTAGAAGTTCTACTACTAGCAGGGGAACCCAGGACATCTTAATATAAAGTCTGTCTCAACCTACTCCACCATTTGGGAAGAAAACTCCTAGAGGAGAGAGATATCAGATTCCCAGGTCTGAGGCCAAGAACATATAAGAGCTCTCTTTGCTACACCTACTGAGAGGATGAAGACAATTCTCAGCAACCAGACGGTTGACATTCCTGAGAACGTCAACATCAACCTGAAGGGACGCACTGTTATCGTGAAGTGCCCCTGAGGAACACTTTGGAGGGACTTCAACCACATCAATGTCTAGCTCAGCCTCCTTGGGAAGAAGAAGAAGAGGCTGCGAGTTGACAAATGGTGGGGAAACAAAAAGGAGCTGGCTATGGTTCGCACTATCTGTAGTCACGTCCAGAACATGATCAAGGGTGTTACATTGGGCTTCTGCTACAAGATGAGGTCTGTGTACGCTCATGTCCCCATCAATATTGTTATTCAGGAGAATGGGTCTCTTGTTGAATTTGAAATTTCTTGGGTGAAAAATACATCTGGAGGGTTTGAATGAGACCAGGTGTTGCTTGTTCAGTAGCTCAAGCCCAGAAAGATGAGTTGATCCTTGAAGGCAATGATATTGAACTTGTTTCAAATTCAGCTGCTTTGATACAGCAAGCCACAACAGTTTAAAATAAGGATATAAGAACATTCTTGGATGGTATCTGTGAGATGGGTATCTTAAACTGATTATCCTTTTCCAACTATTTGGCAAGTAAGCAATTGAGGAGTAAAGAATTACTCCTTGTAATAGGAGTATGCTAAGAACAATACAGAATTCCTGATCAGGAATTTTTTTGTCTGGTTGTTTTTCTTCGCAGGAACAAGTGGCTTAAATCTGGTTTTTGAAGGAATAGCGAGACTATTTCAGGCAGGCAAGAGAAATACAATACCAGGGAATGTGGCCGTTCATCATGGATATAGAGGTTGAGGAAGATCCTGAGGCTAATTTTCTCATGGCATCAATTTTTATTTGATACACATGCATCCTAGTCACTTGTAAAGGGATACCTGAGAAGTGGAACAAAGTGATAAAACCTTACTATGAGCTACAAGATGTAGTTTGTATCATGATAAAGAATAATTTTGCCATCCAAATCTCAGTAATCTGCCCTACTTCAACCATGCACCCTAGACCTTGTTTATTCTTAAAACATCTTCATTCTTCCATAACATACATAACAATGGTTCTCGCAAAAAAAAAAAAAAAAAAAAAATACCCCAGATTCTCTTGTTGAAGAATGGACTGGACAAAGCCAACCCTTTCTCTTGCACAAGAGTCCCTGTGAATTTCATCTGCCTTTCATCCCCCACCCCCACCCCCTAGATTTCCCCCAATGACCCTGAGGCATAATCCCAGGGCCTCCCAGCCTTTGTGTGCAACAGGGGAGCTATTGTTCTCTAATTAGAGCCTGAGTCTCCTCTGAGGCTCAAGATGGTGCCTTTTAATAGGGAGGCTTCACCTGTTCCAAGACATAGTATTATGACCCTCCTCCCCTCAGAGGCAGCCCACCTGCCAGCATTCATGAAAGACTGCCTTTCTGATGGCAAGGGGAGCTCACATGACAGAGAATCTTTCTTTGGGATATAAGGGACCCAGTCTCCATTCAGCCGAAGTCAAGCATTGTTCATCGGCGCCTTGGAGTGGACCTTCACGGTAGGCACCCATTTCCCCTTATGGACCAAGGAGCCAAAGAGGGAGGAAGGAAAGATGCGGGGAGGAGGGGAGGTAAGAGAGAGGTAAGGGAAAAAAATGGAAAGGAAGGGAGAAAAGGAGGGAAGAAAATAGGGAGGGTAAAATAGATGGAGGAAGGGGGGGAGGGAGTAAGAGAGGGAGGGAAAGAATCGATGCTCAAGGGTGTTGGAGACCTTGATGGTGCTCCAGGATGTACCCAGGAATCCAAAGTACCCGGAGCCCTTGTACAAGGAGGTGAAATGCTGGCTAGGCAGCACTTGGGGAATTCTGAGTGACTTCAGTGTCTCTCTCAGGACACTCAACAAGCAAAGAGCAGAGTCTGAACTCCCCCCACCACATTTCGATCTGTCCAGCTAGAAAGGGCTCACTTGCTCTTAGACTCTCGGAAACTGCATGGAATCAGTCATTAGGAAATGGCTTGGGAAATCAGACTTGCAGACCAAGGAAGGGTCTAGGGAATTAAACAATGCTCATGAAGAAATCTGTGCCACCAGGGCTGGGTTTAGGGGGAAATCTGACAGTCCTGGAGGCTTCCTTGGAGAAACTAGAAGCCTGTCCTTCCGCCAGTAGACACACACCTGAGGGCACTGTCTCGGCCAACAGGATGCCAGATTTCAGCAGCAGCCCTGCACCACCCCACCCCAAGACCCTACCATGTATGTTTTTCCACTGTTGCTCATGGTTGACCAGGCATGGTCACTTTCTGACTTCCCTTTTCCTGGTTCTCTATGGAACATTGTCATCTATAGGGTCCCACCACACCCCAAGAGGCTGTCCACTTTGAGGGACCTTCCATGCATGGATTAGCAGCAGTAGTGAGTTGCGTAGTGACAAATTATGAGACTGTTTTGGATCAAATGATCTATGTGACAGTGTAGGGTAAGACACTGGGCAGACTTCAGTGGCCTGGCTGAGCTCAGCATGAAGCCTGAGTTTGGCAGCTTCACTTAAGAATAAGCCTTCCAGGGACCAGCAGATAGCATAATGGTTACATTGCTGGACTCCCACATTGTCAACTGCAGTTCAAGTCCTGAACCCAGCAGCTTGAAACTCATGCCAGGCACCTGTGTGTGTACAAGCTCAAAATCTCAAGAGGAGAGTGGAGGAGAAGAGAATGCAGCATGGCCATTCCCCCTGGGGGGTGATTTCTAACTTTCTGTCTCTCAGTGAGTGCATGTGCCCTATAGCAAAAATCTCTCAAAAAAAAAAAATAGTAAGTCTTCCATATTTGTCCTCTTTCTATAAAGTGCTAAGATCTCATTGTTATGGCTGAGTAGTATTCCATAGAGTATATTTGCAACACTTTTTCAATACATTTGTCTGTTCATGGACATTTGGCTTGGTTCCATGTCTTGAAAAATTGTGACAAACTATACATAACATGAAGTGTACAGTTCAGTAATGTTAAGTACACTTACACTGGGGTACAACCATCACCATCGTCCATTTCCAGAACTTTTCCCCTTCTGAAACTCTGAACCCATTAAATAAGAACTCCCATCTGCTTCTCCTTCCAACTTACTTTTTAAAATAAGTTAGAGCAGAATGAAGGTTATAATGCCACTTTACTCATTTTCATTCCAGTAAACATATGCCAGGATGTAGAAGTTGAATGTCACCCTCAGCCTATCCGAGCTTTAGGAGACCCTGGGGAAGGTGCCCCTGGAAGGTGTCACAGGGGAAATGAACAGAGCTCCATGGTATGACAATAATCACCCTCCTGACCCAAATGAGAGCTTCCACAGAAACAGGAAAATAAGGGACACCATGGAAGCTTTGGCGGTAGCAGCTCTATTTATTTATTGGGTCTCTAACCTGTGCCAGACACTGCATTGGTAGTTTCCTAATGTTTTTGAGCAACTTCAGGCTCTTTTGTAAGCAGAGTCCTAATGACCTCGTGATACATGCTATTATTATCATAGGACTAGGAGTCGGAAGACCTGGGAAGGAAAAGTGTTTTTGCCATCAATTGTCAGTCTCTGAGCTTCAATGATCTCATCTATAAAAGGAGAGTTTGGACCAGGTGGTCCCTATGCCCCTTCCAAGTTTGGACATTCTGGCATTCTCTCATGCTGCAATGGTACCAAAAAAATTCTGACATCGTAAGTGCCAGGTAGAGACTAAATTGTCCAAGGTCATGTAAGCTTCCATCATGGAAGGATGACCTCTATGGGTACTGGCTCATCTGAAATGCCTTCTGCTGCTCATTAAGTGTCCAGGGCATGTGCATTCCTCTGGAAACCTCTCATAGCTTACCCTTAATTATCAGTTTGTTGTCATGGCCTGAGAAGGAATCATTCAGAGCCAGTCTCCACGGACAGCCTTTCTAACCTTGAAAGTTAACCTGCCTTAGAAATTTCTATGGCTGAACAGGGTTGTAAGCTAAGCATTATGCCTGAGTAAAATCAAACCAGACTACTAGAGGATGAGAATTCTCTAGTAATCTGAGAATCGTAAAGAACTCACATCTTATTCTTTTTCATTCATTCAACCAACATTTATTTTGTAGCCACCAGAGGCTGTCTGTGCTAGGCTATGGGACAGACTGGTAGAGCAGTGGTCCTATAGTCTACAAAGACTTCTCTGGGATTCCTGTCCCAATACCAAGTCCTGCCCACAGTATGGAGTGACCCATCATAGCCCTGGATATATGTGCAGGGCCACCAGGACGTGGGGCAGCCTTTGCTTCTGGGAGAACATATTGAAGAAAGTACTCCCTCCTCCAGGTTGACACTACCCTGCAGAGGGAAAGCATGGAAGTTGAGCACTGGCTGCATTTGAGCCTTGGTTTTCCCTCTTAGCTGTGCACCTTTGTGCAGTGCACAACATGTACAACCCTCTCAGCAGCCCTTATGTGTTCCACAGGGGCAGCATGGACATGCTGTCTTGTCGTTTACTCTTCGTCCTAAAAGCATATGCTAAAGAAGAATATGCACAAGTCAACCAGCTACCTTACATTCTTTAGGGAGTTTTATTCTCAGGGTGCTAAAATTCTTTTGAAATCCCTCTGCTCTTTTCCCCTCTTCCCTAATAAATATACAGTTGATTGGTTTGAGTCCAGTGTCTATTGAACTTATAACTATCTGCTGATCTGAGCACAGGGCAGCGGCAATTCAGATGTGGTAGGCTTCCTAGACTCTGCCCACTTCTTCCCTTTGCCCCTAGAGCAGTCCCTGAGGACTGCAGCTAAGTATTGAAAATGCTCAAAAGCCGAGGAAGCTGAAGCTGTTGCCGGAAAAGGCATTTTTCGCTTGCGGGCAGCGCCACCATGTGGTCACCAAATGTATTCATGTGTCAAGTGAGGTACCAATGTTCAAAGCCAGCCTGCTTTAGGAAGTTGGCGGATAGTAATGTACGGGCTATTTAAAATTCAGCTGACAAAACTGAATCTGTAGCCTTTGTTAATTGCCTCCCTTCTCCATTAGTGAACAATTCACAGACAAGAAGTGTGTTTTCCTCACTTTGCCTTCCTAAATCCTGAGTCCTTGACGCTAGACAGGCCTAGAATAAATGGCCATGAAATAAACGAGACCACAGCTGTGTCTTTAAGGAGCTCACAGTTACATTTCTATTTTATGGATGGATAAACTGAGTTTCCAACAGGGAACATGATCGCCTTGGTCTCATATGGTTAGGTGGTCGCAAAGTGGGGACAGACACATTTTTAGGACTTCATCCCTTTCCCACACTCCTTATGGGACAAAGGGGAAACACGTTGTGCAGTTCTCTCATGGGGTTCAAAAAGCACTCGTCACAAGGCACTGACTTCTCTCCAGGAGGCTGTTCCGTTCAATGCCTGAGTCCTGATCCCTGCTGGCCTGCTATGATTGTGCTTCTCCTCATAAGTGTGCTGATGGTTCCCCATGCGGGTGAGTGACAGTATTTTACACCATATTTCTGGCTTAGCATACAATCACCTGCTAAAAACACTAGGGGATATTGTCGAATTTCACCTGAGTTGCTTATTACTACTTTTGTATGTGCCTGCCCAGTGAGTGGTGGAAATAAAACTTCGCCAAGAAGCTATTTTTTAATTCAAATATGTTTAAGGTTTTTTGACTGAAGAATGTCCTAAATATTCGTGGTAGCACATGTACATAGTAAATTGATAGATGTCAGTCACCAGCTTCCCTTACACTTGACCAACAGAGGATTCAAACTTCAGCAACATAAGTACACACAACAGGGACAACAATGAAGTCTTGCCCTCAACATTCATGATGTTACCAGCTTTGGTAATGTAAATTATGTTGCTGGTTGCTGGGGAGGGGAATAAAAATCACATTAGGAGCCTCTGAAGGTTATTTGAGGTGCCTGACACGTTTAGGCACTTGAGTTAAAAAATAAAAGCTAGCAAGATGATAAATTTCCTCCCAGCTTTCCCCGCTAATTGTGCCCTATGAAATATTTTTTAAGAAAACAAGAGAACAAATAAAGATCATGGATTTCTTGAAAGCTATTGTGAGCACTCTGTATGGTACATGAAAGTGGGATGGGAGATGGGGAGGAGGAAGGAGTGGTGGGGTAGAAACCTCTCTCCACCTGAAAGTGCAGCTCTGTTCCCCTGTGGTCATGGGCTGTCCCATTGGAGCATTTGTCCTTGTTGACACATAGTGGCATCTCCTTCCCTTCTTCAGGTATGCTCAGTGTAAGGAGCAGACACTACCAGGTCACATTCTAAAGGGTATCCCAAACCACCAAAACCTAAAGACATCTGAGCAAGCTCCTGGCAGCCTGGAATAATAATTTCAAGTCCAGGGACCAGCAGACACATGGTGGTTGAGGCACTGGACTCCCCACTGGCTGACCACAGTGCGAGTCTCTGAGCTGGTGGCTTGAAAGTTACATTGGGTATGTGTGCATTTGTGCCCCAAAGACCCAAGAGGTGGATGGAGCAGAAGGGATTGTGGCATAGCCATCACCCCTGGGAGGGGGGATGATTTCTCACTTTCCTCTCACTGTCTCTCTGTCTCCATCAGGCACGTGTGCCCTATGAAAAAAACTTAAAAAATATTAACAATAATTTCAATTCGTGGAATCTGGGCTAGGAGTCTACAGCTTCTAGCCCCTTTCCTATTTACTTTCTTGTGAATTTACAGAGTTCTAAACACCTAAACTTACTGCTTTCCTTCTTCTAGCTGGCTGGGTACCATAGTAATTGACATTTAGGCACTTTTATTCTTCCCTCCTAACACTCATGTAAACCCTGGACCACACACCCCACCCTCTTAATGGTTCCCTTCTAAACAGCAGTGCTGAAGGTGAGTCAAGGTGAATACATAAGTATTTATTGATAATCTGCCTCGACCATTCCCCAAGTCAGTGAATAATATGAGAGGATTCCACATGACCTAGAAGTTTCCTGTTTGGCATAAGACTCAATATCTTTGCTTCAGTCCCACATCCTGCCAAATCACATCCCAGACCTTCCCTCCAAGACAGTGGATCAGCCACTTGTATTTGGTTATAGTCATTTCTTCTTATGTGTTATTTTCCTGCTTAAAACATTCTTGTCATGAATACTATACAAGAACTACTAGATACCATTAAGTGCCCAAACATCCAGATAACCAGTATCCCAGAAGGTGAAAAAACTAATAAAGGCATTGATAATCTATTCCATGAAATCCTGGAAGAAAACTTTGCAAACCTAGAGAGGCATTCAAGGATCCAGACCCAAGAAATACAAAGGACCCCTAATAGAATCAACCCACGAAGATCTTCTCCAATGCACATTATAACCAGATTGGTAAAATCCATAGACAAACACAAGATATTAAAATTGGCAAGAGAGAAATGTCAGGTTACTTATAAAGGTTACCCCATCAGGCTAACATCGGACCTCTCATCAGAAACAATGCAAACAAGGAAAGAATGGAAAATACAATCAAAATTTCAACCAAGAATACTATACCCAGCAAGATTATCCTCCATATGGAAAGAAAACACAAAAACATTCTCAGAAAAACAAAATCTGAAAGAATTTACCAACACCAGACCAGCTCTTCAAGAAGTTCTAAAAGGAATGCTTTACCAGGAAAATTAAAGACACACATACAGAAATTAGAGAACAAAAACAACCAAGAAAATGGCCAACTTAATCCTAAGGACAAGAAATATCAATAATAACATTGAATGTTAAACCGAAAGATCAGACTGCAGTAACACTGCAAATTCAACAGAAGAGAGATTAATTACGTAAGACTGAACTGGTAAAATAGAATTTTATGACTTTTGAGTAAAACATTACTGATTTTTTCTTTACTATCCTTTTGTTTTCCCAATTTAAGGATTTTGTTTTCTTCTGAGATGTTGATACAGCAATTTGTTAAAATGTTTTTTCTTCTTGTTTGTTTCTCTAAATGAAAATTTAAACTTTTATCCCTTCCTGATCCCTCTGGAATTGGAAAATATTTGGGAGTATTCTTATTTTGTGGCAGAATGGTTATGTGCATAAGTTCAATAATACCTGTTGCCTTGTATCAGAAATTGGAACTACTCGTTATTGGACAGGGCTTTGACTGTGCGTTCACATGGTAAGAGGAAAAAAGGACAGAAAGGCCTTCTTGTTCCCTCCAGCCCTTTTCTAAGTGCATTATTCCTGTTCACAAGAGAAGAGCCCTCAAGACCTAATCACCTGATGAATTTTGGAGAGACACATACATTCAAACCATAATAGGGTTCAATGATGATAGTGGATAATGCATAGAAGACCTTTTTTTAAGTTTTATGATTTTTATATTTTTTTATTAAAAAAGTGTATTTATTTAGAAGAATTCAGAATATCAACAAAACAGCTGCAACGTTTTTTTGCAATTAGAGTAGTATTCAGTAAACAGAAGAACAATTATTTGATATAAACTGCATCAGAGACAACTGAAGATGAAAGAACTACCATCCCCATATATAACTAATTTGTGCTGTGTACCAACAAGAACCTGCTTTAAATCTCCATGTCAATTTACAACCCCCATACTGTACCAGGCAAGGTCAGAGGCTATTAAAAATGCCACCGGGACAGGGCTAGCTAAAGACACATTTAGTAGCATGTTAACTATACAAAAAAAGACACTATACACTTTGAAAACAAATCTTACACAGCCTTACATTTCTATTTTTTTCTTTAAAAGGAATGAGTTGTGTACAGGGGATTAAATGCTTTATAGACCGGGGTGGTGGGGGAGGCGGGGAGGGGACTGTGCTAGAACAAACTTATTCATCATCTTCTTCCTTCTCTTCTTCATCTTCCTCTTCTTCCCCATCCTCTGCATCTTCCTCGTTTTCCTCCTTCTCCTTCTTTTTCTTGCTCTTTTCAGCCTTGACAACTCCCTTTTCTGCTGTATCAGGCTTTCCTTTAGCTCGGCATGCAGCAATACCCTTTTTGTGTTTTTCCTTCAGCTTAGCAGCCTTCTTTTCATGAGGCTGTTTATCATCTGCAGCAGTGTTATTCCACATCTCTCCCAGTTTCTTTGCAATATCACCAATGGATAGGTCAGGATATTCTCCTTTGATTTTGGGGTGATATTCAAAACAAAACAAGAAAAAGGCTCGTGGGGTCCTCTTGGGTGTATTGGGATCCTTAAACTTCTTTTTTGTTTCCCCTTTAAGAGGGATATAGGTTTTCATTTCTCTTTCATATTGGGCCTTGTCTGCCTTTGCCATATCTTCAAACTTTCCTTTCTCTTTAGCAAAGGTCTTCCACCTCTCTCTCTGAGCATTTCTTAGAAAACTCTAAGAAGTTGACTGAAGCATCTGGGTGCTTCTTCCTGTGCTCCTCCCAGCAAGTTTGCACAGAGAATACCTATGATGACAGTTGCCTCTCGTTCTTAGGACCTCTTTTGCCCATGTTTAGTCATCTTTCCTACGCGAGGCACAGAGTCACACAGTGCCCGTCCTGCTCTCACTTGCCTTGGTGCTGTCTCTATGGACCTCAATGTACTGCAAACATGCTCCTATATTTTAAAACATTATTTCTATTCATTCTAACCAGCAATTTATAATGGTTTTCTATTTATAAATAAAAATTTCCTTTAAAAGTGAATATATTTACCCTTTTTAAAGTGAGTTGCTTGGGACCAGCAGATACCATAATGTGACATCGCTGGACTCCTATGTAGTCAATTGTGGCTTGAGTCCTGGACCTGGTGACTTAAAATTCACACCTGGCATGTGTGTATGCATGCCCAAGATCCTGAGAGGATAATGGAGGAGAAGGGATTGCAGCATGGACATCCCCCTGGAGGGTGATTTCTTGCTTTCTGTCTCTGTCTCTTTCTATCTCTCTGGCAAGTGCACACGCCCTATAGCAAAAATCACTGTTTAAAAAAAAAAGTGAGTTGGCTTATATTAAGAAAAAAGATCTCCCACTGACAGATCTGAAATTTTCTCTTTCCAATTCTGTCAAATGTGACTTCATTAAATTTTTTTCAGATCATGTTATTGCACGCATACAAGTTTAAAATCATTGGCACTCCCAGATGAAATATTTTTTTTTATAATTGGGGAGCAAATAAAATCCTGTTTTTGTAAAACCAAAAAGTAAGTTGATCTTAAAATATGAATTAAGAAAAAATAATACAGGAAATACATTAGTAACTGAAGTCTGAGAACCTTAGAACCTTTGCTGGGATGGTGTATTGACGATGCCAGTCATGGTACTAGTAGCAATAACAAGTATCATCGCATCCACCACCATTATTCCTCTCATCAATGGGATTTTCTTTGCTAGACTTAGCCAGCCCCACTGACTACCTCGGCAAGTTTTCTTGGAAACTCCAAGAGGAATTAATTTTATCAGAAGCAGGAAGTGGCAGCTTCTAAATATTAATTGAAGGAATAAGTCACTATATCAGTCAGAATCCCTTCCCCTTGATTAGATTCTGTCTAAGCTGGTGGTTTTCTCAATTGGTGGTGCTTTTGTGCATATACCTTCATCCCGCAGCACTCATCATGTGTGTGGGGGGATAAGAGTTCAACTGCTATTGGGTAATAAAGACCAGAGATGCAGGTAAACATCCAGCAATACATAAAACACTCCTTCACAACAGAAAATTTTCCAACCCCAAATGTCAACAGATTTAATCCTACATGCTTCTGTGAAGGCTGGCCCTGGATGACTATCAGATGGATGCAGCTTCTAAACAGTGTCACACTAATAGGCTTACTGTGGGGTCATCTGAAAAGTCATGATGCATTTTTGCATAGAAAAACACAGAAAGATACAGCATGACTTTTCCAATGACCCAATACATTATCATCCATTTGATTAAGAAAGAAAAATATCTATCAATAATTTCAGACTACCACATACTTCCTATCACTGGGGAAAAACCATGAGCACAGGAAAACCTAGAAGCTCTCTGAGCCTTAAGAAAATAGGTCTGTAGCCAAATTTGGGTACAAGTTCTGTTATTTGTCCCCACTGTGCCAGGCTACATCTGCACATTCCCGCCATGAGGAAATGTAGCTGAAAGTAGCGGTAGTATAAAAATTGGGTACTAGTGTAGGCCCTTCATTTTATCATCATTACACCCTCTAGCAATGTTTGTCAAGGTAAGGTTTCTAGACCATCAGCTTCAAAAGTAACTAAAACCTTCTTTAAAATGCTATTTCTGAATTCTACTCCAGATTGGCTGAATCAGACTTGAGGGAGAGCATAAGGGTCATAATGTTTACTGATCCTGCATCTCAAGTGATTTTAATGCGATCATCTGGGGAGAACCTTTTTCCTTGATTATAAACTACTTGAGGGTTACAATATTTTCCATGTCATCATGTCTTTCTATTTGTGTTTAGCTCAAGAAACAGTAAAGCAAACATGCAATGTAAATAAAACAGTATGTTTTACATGCAATGACAATTTCAGGATAAGTCTCCAAATTTCCCCACTCCCAACCAGAACGTCACTGTTATGGCCAAATAAAATTTAAAAAAAAATACTAAGGCTACTCTGGTCACCCCTTTTCATTCCAGAACTACCACATACATAGGCATATAAGAGGCACCAGGAAAATAAACATGGAATTGAATTGATATGCTACCTATTGTCTTCCTTGCTTGCTGTCTCCCGCCAGCCTTAGCCCAGAGAATCAGCAGTGGCTGTGCTTGTGCTAACCCTGCTCTCTCTTCTTTGTTTATAGGAGGCCGTGCTCTGGACATCCCACACCTCCCACAGGAACTGCCTCCAGGAGTCCCAAAAAATATTAGTAAAGCATTCCTTGAACTTTTCTTAAGAGCTGGGCAGAAAGTTGTCTAGGATCTTGACAGAGAAAGTGACCTCTTCTGAATATACCCTAGAGGCACTTACTGCTGTGGCATATGTTAGTAAAGTGATTCAAGTGAGACTCAAAATCATCTCTTCCTACAGTCTTCCCTAGTGTCTGATCCAGGATTGGTCTCTCTTTTGGAACAAAGTACTAAAAATTTCCACCAAGTAGAAGGGTCAGTTGAAAAGGGAAACCATAAGAAGGAAGGAAATGGGCTGATCATGAAGGTTATATGGTAACAGTAGTTTAGCTTCAAATTGAGTTCTAAGCTTCCTAGAAGGTAGGACGAAGAAGAAAAGATGAGGTATTGCTTGCTCTAGTTTTAAAAAATAATAGTCCCTACTCCCTGGGGAAGGGAAAGTTGTTCTGGTGATAAAGATTTCTCAAGGGGGTCCTTATATGCCCATAATGGGAGAACACAATGCCTGTGAATTCTCTGGTGATGTCAGCCCTAAATCAAGGGTTCATTCCATCCTTTCAGGGGGATGAGTTGAGTCAACCAAACCATTTATGCCTGAGCCATGAAAGCAAAGATATCAGCTCCTCTCAGACAAACGTCCTCCTCCAAGTGTCATATCCCCTATAGGAAGTGCAATACCCACTTGAAAGGCCTTCTTGAAGTAGATATTTGGACTCATAGGCCACACTCAACACATAAAAGGAAATGCAGTATGCAGCAGACTATGTAGTCAACCCTTTTTTTTACAAGACCTATCCTTGTAGCCATCTACACAGCAGTCTGAGAGTACCTCGGTAAAGGCTTGGGTATGAAGAATGACCCACACATGGAGCAACTGCTACTTCACTAACTGAACACTCACTGAAGCGCCCTCCTATGAACCCATGCATTTTCTATCAACCCTGTCCAGAAGCTCCATTCTGTTTAGGAATAAGTAGCTCTAGTAGCAACTTCATTGATATAATATCAAGGATGCTTCTTGGGGCATGCGAGTGACAAGAGAAATCACACTGTGGGAGACCCAAGATGATGACTTCCCACCAGGTGTTAATAGTTCATCCATTGTTTCTCCCTGTCCAGATGCACCTTACCATCCAAGGCTCTTTTTTACCTTGAGTACTATTTCCTAGTAACACAGCCCACATTTCACCTTTATTAAGTCTCCATGATACCCTGTAGTACTAGAAAGTTAGCCAAAGGTCAAATTTGTTCTTAAAGAAAAAGAAAAGGCTTGACTTCCTTGGACAGGCTAAGGGGGAAGTGGAAAAACTATGACTAATTAATTTGTCTCTCTTTCTTCCTTTTAGATATGACACTCTTCGATGGGGTTTTTAAAAATGTGGAAAATGTGGCTGAAATTTTTGGTAAGTTAAGTCTGAAATTGTTTTTATCTATCAAGTTTCAGGATACAGAGTGTGTGGTTAATGAAAGGGAGTTATCAGGGCCATGGGCTCTGTTTTTTGAGAGCCAATGTCTCCCACAGTCAACTCCCAGTGAGGTGACTCAGGTTCTGATGAGAGTAGTCATATCTTTTAATGTAGGGTGAGTAACTAGGTTACCATTTGCCTACCTATTCCTTATTTCACTGTGGGACTATAAGCTTTCCAGGAAGGGAATGGTTTCCCCATTTTACAGGTAAGTGAATTGTGCCCAAAGGAGTTTGGTGACTTTCCTAGAGCCACACAGATAGAATGGAGACATTCTCTTACCAATCCGAAGCCTGGTCCTCTACATCAAAGTGGTTTTATTTCTCCCCCTTGACAGGTAAATATACTTAAGTTTAGGGTGTCAGGTATTCCATTTTATCAGTTACACATCTAGCATGTGATTATCAGAACACCATGGTTGTTTCAATCATCAGTTACTGTAAGTACACTCAAATTAAGACTGTATGATTGACTTGAACAGGGAGATGCTGTGGGTTTGACAATACTGGCTAGGTCTCATGGTGCACTGAAAATGTACTGAAGTTTTTGAATGGAAATTCACCTGTGCATAAATGCATACATTCTCTCTCTCTCTCTCTCTCTCTCTCTCTCTCTCTCACACACACACACACACACACACACACACACACACACACACTAGAGTGGTCTTTTCTGTCAACATAGAATTTTTCTGGTTAGGCTTTATGGAAATAAAACATAGGAAGGGAGATTTGAAGGAGGTAGGAAGAAACTTGAACAGTAGAGGGTGGAACTGGTCCTCATAGACCACTCCTTGGTCTTTTCAAGCTCCCTCTTAAGACTCTGTTCATTTCACATGAGAGCTCTGGGGTCACCCCGTTAGTGCTCAGTGGTCCTGCTGTCAGAAAGGTAGAGAACGGTGAGGGCGACCATGAAATTCAGAGTCTGAATAAATCTGACATTTTCTAGACAATTTTATTTGCTATATGTTTTAGGGCAGATCATTATCCCTGATTCAGCCTTGGGTATATCTTTGACACTCAGTTTCTCTGTCTGTGAAATGGAGGTGACAGAATAGCATCTGCCCTGTGGAAATAATATGAAGTTGATGGAACTGTAGACAAGGTGACACAACTGCCTTCTAACACAGTGTACACTCTATGAACCTTCATCATTGTGTTACTGAAAGCAGCTTCTTCACTTACTGGCACCTAGTAGGTGCTTAAAAACTGTGACTGTCTATATCCTTTTTCTTCCTACACTCCTTTATAGTTCTACAGTGCCAAGATTGTATCATTGAGATCCATTCAGCAAACTAATAGTGGCTCAAATAATAAAGATGTTTAATTATCTCACACAATAGATCTGAAAGCACCAGGATTGGGGCAGTGGCTCAACACAAGTATCAGAGACCCAGCAGCCTTGTGCTCTCTTGTTCTATAGCTACCTTGAGTATATTGGTCTTTTAACTTACGCTCGGGACCTCATGGTTGCAGTGTGGTTGCTGTAGTTGCAGCCAGCATATCTTCATTCACATTCAAAGATGGAGAACATTGTAGATCAAAAAGAACTTCTCACATGCCTTTATTCTGTAATAAAAAATAAATAAAAATTTCCTGTAATGTCTTAACAGAACTCCTCTTAGGTTTTTTTGACCTTCTCTGTTTTGGAAGCGTGAGATTACCATGACCAGTCAAGAATGGTCATGAAACATCCCAAGGGACTTAGGGAGATGACTTGCTTTCCCTGAAAGCTTCTCTTTTTGATTAGTAAGAAAGAAGGGATCAATGACCATTAGGTGGGCAATAACAGGGACCAGGCTTGAAACCCATATCCCTGCAATTGTCCAGAACAATCCTGAGGACATAGCAGGTGCTTACTAGGATCAGGAGGCATCTCAGTCTGACGTGTAGGAAGTCCAGACTGGGGCTTCTCCCAACGCTGGCTCCCAGTGCCCATCAGGACCTGCCCTCTCCCCAGATTGCCTGGGCTCCCACTTCACCTGGCTGCAGGCTGTCTTCACCAACTTCCCTGTGCTGCTCCAGTTTGTGAATGGTATGAAGTGCGTGGCCGCTCTTTGCCCCCGTGACTTTGAAGACTATGGATGTGCCTGCAGGTTTGAGATGGAGGGGCTTCCCATGGACGCGTCTGACAGGTGAGTGAGACCCACAGGTGAGCAAGACCAAGAAATGAGCTCAGGGGAGGACTGGATGATATCTGAAAGAGAGTAAGTGTGGAAAGCTCCCTGGACTTGGGGGAATTCAGAAGAGGTTTTAGTTCTACTATCTACCCACTGACTGCCCACAGGGTGACTGGCTCCCTCATCTTTGGATGACATTGTAATCTGTGATCTGATCTCATTATGGGAGTTACCAAGATCCTGTGGTATGTCTGCTATCAGGAATCAGCAGATTGCAAAATGATTATGTCACTGGACTCCCATGTAATCGACCACAGTTTGGGTCCCAGACCTGGTGGCTTAACTCATGCCTCTCTCTGTTCCTCTCTGTCTCTCTGGCAAACACATGCACCCTATAGCAAAAAATATCTTTCTCTAAAAAAAAAAAAGGAAGAAAAGAGAAGAAAGGAAACGTAAAGAAAAAGGTATATCTACTATCAAAGCTTCATTTCAGTGTTTCTCATGTCTCTGTAGCAGTTTTTCATAGGTTAATAATTAATTAATTTAAAAGTGATATATCCTTAGTTGTCAAAGAATAATGGCTTTAGAACTAAATGACAAATCTGTTCTATCTCCAAATCTGCAAGTCAGAGTCTAAGTTGTTTCTGGAACAAAAGGGCAATTTCTCTCTTTGGGATCATGAGCAAAACAATTCCTGGAGCAAGCTCATTGACATTCACAAAGCAAGCTGGTTCTGTATGGGGTGGGCCAGGGCTGTTTCTGGGAGCATGTTTTTCTTTCAGGTTCCCTCTTACCACTTTTTAATTATCAAAACACCTTGTAAACAAGAAGTCAAAGAAATAAGGCAGCAATACATCACTGTCTCTAACACAAAAGGAATGATCAAAGTGTCAGTGTCCCCAAAGTGGCAAAATGATGGGTTGCCCAAGTTCCATGACCTTACACAGTTCAGATGACAGGAGTGAGGATTTCCGAACTCTTAGAAGACTGGTTATTTTCACCTTAAACTTGCACATCATGTTCCAAAAATAATTATCATTTTAGTGTCTACCACGTGGCAAAGTCTGCATAGACATTTTCTTGAATCGAAGCAAACACTTATGAGTTAGGAACTATGAGAAATTTTGTAGCTCGACCAAGGTCATCAGCTACCTGTATATTTTTTCTTTCTTTTCACTAGTCCCTATTAACCTCCCAGCTGCACTGCAAGAGCTAGTTGGCCTCACATGTTCAATGTCAGCTTGCTCTATAACAACCTTGACCCTGGGCAAGTTAAAGAGCTTGCATGTCTCAGTGTCCACAGATATAATAGCTGCACCTGCTGCATAGTATTCATGAGAGCTATAAATGAGTTAATAGTTGTGAAATACTGAAAATAGAAGCTGGTCTACAGTGAACACTCAGCTATGTTAGCTGCTATAACAAAAGCAATAAAAATAGTTATCGTTTTTCCTGTTGAGGAAGGGGAACTTAAGGTATCTGCTTTCAGGAGTCCCTTTGCCAGCCCACTTCAGGTCCTTTTTGCTTGCTGTTCCTATTATGGTTTCTTAGGTCCCTGTTTTGCCTCTCAGACCAAGGCACCACCTTAACTTCTCCTTCAGACCTAGTATTGGAGTTGTGCCTGGGCCCCATAACTGGGGCTTTCCATTCACAAAATGCTTATTCCCCTTCCTCCAGGGCATTGCCTGTCCCCAGGGGAAGAGGCTCTGCCCCTGAACCTTGGACTCACCAGGTTCCCCATGCTCAGCCTCCTATGCTGAGTATTGCACTAACCTCCAGGCAAAAGGATGACAAGAGAAAACAAAGCCACTTTGCAGTTCACTGGGAGGCAACTTGGGGCAGCAGAAGAAGCACATACATGGAAACAGTTACTTCCAGCTTCTAACCCAGCTGATCTGTTGCCTCGGGGAAGGCAGTGTTTAAAAGCAAGGCTCTTGGAGGAGGCAGGGTGCAGATGGTGGTGCAGCAGTAAAATGCAACCTTCTATGAGGCTGACTCATACTGGCTTTATGCCAAAGACATCCTTGAGTGTGCCGGGCATATATGCAGCCATAATCTGACGCTAGCTGGAACTAGGGATGAATCATGGCATCAAGACCCTGTTGAGGTTGCTGCAACTCTCTCTCTCACTCACTCTCATTTTTCTTGCTCACGGAATAAATAAATAAACAAACTTGTTTTAAATAACAATAATAAAAGCAAAGCCCTGGAGCATGACCATTGGACCTCAAACCCCAGGTCTATCTTTGAGTATCTGTGTAGATCTTGGGCAAGATGCTTGATCTTCATGGGCTTCAGTTTCTTACTCCATAAAATAATGGTAACACCTCCTTATTCACAGCCTTGTTATAAGCATTAAAGATAAAGTGTGTAAAGCAGTCCCTGGAGTTAAGCTTAAAAGTCTTAACTATTATCAATGGACATTTCTGAGACTCAGTGGTCAATAGACGTAGTCTGCAAAGAAGTCAGTCACTTGCCCAAGATAAATTACTGGTAATCGGTGGAGTCAGGATTAAGATCCTTTAGGTCTGGCAGCATAGCCCCCACTCAGCACCTTCTTCTGCCCTCAGAGCTCCAGGGTGAGGCAGCTGTGTCTGGGGCAGCACTGCTTAGGTGGGAGAAAGGAGTGGAGATTCACCACTCTTCCTTTTATAGCACCAGAAGAAGGGGCTCCTAACATGGGGTGTCATCTGAAAGCAACTTGTGTACATCCTCTCCAGCCCAGGTTCATATTTAGTCACCTGGCCGGTCTTGAGATATGGCTGTGTTCTCAATGACTCCACCTTGAACCCAGGATCCCCCGACATGCTCCTCAGGCTGGCAGAGTTCTATTTGCAAGCAAAGTTTGGCACAGACTGTAGACTTCTCCAGTTCCCATCTTCATTTAGCTTAGGCTGCTCTGTGTCTAAGCAACTGACCTCCCTGTTTTGCCCAACCATATGTTATGGCTACTTGTTAGGGCCTGATGCATATAGATCCTCTGCCAAGTCGGTCCTCTGACTCTCCACTAACTTGCTGTGTGGACCTGGCAGAATTTACCACCTCTTTCTGGTCCCAAAGTCCTTGTCCACATGATGGTGGGAGAAGCTTCACAGTCACACTAAAATGCTGTCCTTTATATTTTTCATGTATTTGTTTAATAATTTTGTCAGGGCCAGCAGATAGTGTGATGGATAAAGTGCTAGACTCCTACGTGGCCAACCATGGTTCAAGTCCCAGACCTGGTAACTTGAAACTCACACTAGGCATGTGTGTGTGTGTGTGTGCCCAAAATCCCAAGAGGAGAATAGAGGAGAAGGGATTGCATAGTGGCCATCTCCCCATGGGGTGATTTCTCACTTTCTGTCTCTCTCTCTCTGTCTCTCCAGTGAGTGCATGTGCCCTATAGCAAAAATCTCTAAAAATACTACTAGTAATAATGATAATAATAACTTTGTCTGAGATCATCCAAATTATTGAGCAAACTTCCAGCCTGGCTGATAAGGGGTTGGGTTTAGCCTAGGTATTAACAGCTGATCACTGTCTTTGCCTCCAGAATATATGGGTTGGTCTTCCCTCTCTCTCTGACTTAAGGATCATCTCAAACATGTATGATGGATCCTAGAGGATATAGATTACTTTTTAATAAGAAGTCCCTGCTCCATTAAGTTGCCTTGTGCATTCACACATGGGCTCATGTGCACATGGTGTAAAGGTCTCTCTTATTGATGACCTGCCTCTTCTCTCCATTTGCTATATAGGTGCCAGGGTCTATAACACTGACCCTGGTGGCTTAAGGGTGAATTTCTTTATTTAGAGGTGTTTGGCCTCTAAAATAGTGTTGGCCTCCTCTTCACTCGTCAGTCCTAACAAATGATAGAGTTGCATCTTCCCCCACTAGTCAAGTCCCAGACCTGGTAACTTGAAACTCACACTAGGCATGTGTGTGTGTGTGTGTGCCCAAAATCCCAAGAGGAGAATAGAGGAGAAGGGATTGCATAGTGGCCATCTCCCCATGGGGTGATTTCTCACTTTCTGTCTCTCTCTCTCTGTCTCTCCAGTGAGTGCATGTGCCCTATAGCAAAAATCTCTAAAAATACTACTAGTAATAATGATAATAATAACTTTGTCTGAGATCATCCAAATTATTGAGCAAACTTCCAGCCTGGCTGATAAGGGGTTGGGTTTAGCCTAGGTATTAACAGCTGATCACTGTCTTTGCCTCCAGAATATATGGGTTGGTCTTCCCTCTCTCTCTGACTTAAGGATCATCTCAAACATGTATGATGGATCCTAGAGGATATAGATTACTTTTTAATAAGAAGTCCCTGCTCCATTAAGTTGCCTTGTGCATTCACACATGGGCTCATGTGCACATGGTGTAAAGGTCTCTCTTATTGATGACCTGCCTCTTCTCTCCATTTGCTATATAGGTGCCAGGGTCTATAACACTGACCCTGGTGGCTTAAGGGTGAATTTCTTTATTTAGAGGTGTTTGGCCTCTAAAATAGTGTTGGCCTCCTCTTCACTCGTCAGTCCTAACAAATGATAGAGTTGCATCTTCCCCCACTAGTAAACAGTGATGGAGTAGAGAGGTCAAGAACCCCTTGAGACCAGGCAGAAAGAAAGGAATAAAGAGTGGCAGCCATGGGGCCAGCAGGTGGCTTAGTTGTTAAGGACTGGACTCTGGTATGGCTGACTGTGGTTCAAGTCACAGACCCAACAGCTTGAAAATCGCACTGGGTGTGTGTTTGTGTGTGCCCAAAATCCCAAGAGGAGAATGAAGAAGAAGAGACTGTAGTATGGCTATCTCCCTGGGGGGGGGGGGTAAGTTCTCACTTTCCCTCCCTGTGTCTGTCTCTCTCTGGTGAGTGCACACTCCCTATAGCAAAAACCTTAAATTTTTTAAAATTTATTTTAGAAAAAGATTGGCAAGTACTGTTTTTGACATTGGCTGGCTCTACACACAGATGTGGACCGTAATGAGGAGAGGTAACTAAAGGAATAGCAGAGACCTAGAGTTCAGAGGAGGAACAGCCCTTGCTTAATCTTCACCTTTTGCTGAGGTTCCTTCCCACTAAATCCTTAGGCTAATAAGCAGGGCCATCTTCCTGGTTACAAAAATGTAGTGCTGGGCCAGGGACAATGGTGACTTGTCATTGAAACTTGGAAGCTTGTAGCATATGGCAAATACATGCATGTGTGTGTACAAACATGCACACTGCACATTGAAGCCAACCAGTACCAGGAGCCATACAGAGATTAATGGGCCATAGGCTGCCCACCACTCCCAACCCTGACACCCCCTTCCCTGCTCTGCCACAGCTGCTGCTTCCAGCACCGCAGGTGCTATGAGGAAGCTGCTGAGATGGACTGTCTCCGAGACCCCACCAAGTTGAGCACAGATGTCGACTGTGACAGCAGGAAGATCACGTGTGGTGAGCATCACCGGGGCTGAGCATCACGGGTACTGGGGTAAACAACGACGTTTCAGGGATCTCAGGCCTGCACAAGGCTGAGGATCGCTAGGGTCTACCTGCAACATCATGGTAGATACTCAAAGCCCTACCAGGGCTCTTGTATGGAGTCCATGCATGGTGAATGTTTTTTAAATTGAAAAAGTAATTATACTTGTAGCAACCCAGAGAGCTGGAGGAGGACAAATAGTGTCCTACTTGTGAATAGTGTAACGGGGTAATTACTTAGCTCTTCTGAACCTCAAAACAAGCCAGAGAAAATCTACCTCAGAGATTTGTTATGAAAATTACATTAAACAATGCTTGTGGAATAGTTAATGCAGTGACTGCTATACGGTAAGGACGCAGTGATAGACGTGGAGGTGGAAGCAGGCATGGGCGAATAAAGCTGTGCTGGTGTTTTTTTGTAAGAATCAGAGAGGTATAGTTCAAATCTCAGCTCTCTACCTTTGTTGTTGACTTCAAGAAGCTTATTTCATGCCTCTAGGCTATCCTGGAAGAAGAACAGGGAACGGTGTAGTAGGAAGAGGGGACAGAGCATGCTGAACTGTACCTGCATGTCACAGACTTCATACATGGCAACTCTGATCTTCCGAACCCTATTAAGTGTGCGGGGGAAGGGAGTGGGCATTACTCATAGTTTTAAGGTAAGGAAAGGAAAGCTCAGAGAAGTTAAATAACTTTCCCAATGTCACAGGAAGTGACAGACAGGAAGACTAGTGAGGAGGCCAGAGGCATAACCCATGGCCCAGGGTGGCAGAGATGTGGCCAGGCTGTTGAAAGTCAAGTCAATCAGATTGCCTAAAGGACTGGGCACGATTGCAGGAGGAAAGGAATAGGCACGGCTCTGGTTTAAGTCTATGCGATCAAAGAGGTGGGCTGAAACAAATGAGATAAAGACTGTAAAAGGAGCATGTTTTTTTGGGAGGAGGAGAGATGGGAAGTTCAGTCTGAAGTGCACATTATCTCGTGGGAGCCCAAGCAAGCTCTTTCCACCCTGACCTGCCCTCGCTCTGCGCAGAGTCCAAGGACCGATGTGAGCACCTGCTCTGTGCCTGCGACAAGGCCGCCATAGAGTGCTTGGCTCGCTCCAGCATCAACTCCTCCCTGAACTCTCTGGACCCCTCCTTCTGCCTGGCTCAGACTCCAGGTAGGACGAAGCAGGCTTTGCATCAGTGGTGGGGCTCATGATCTAGGCAGGAGCTGGGCCGGGGCCAGCCATTGCTGTCTCTTCAGGCCACGTTCAGCATCTTCAAGCATTCTGCCATACTTACTCTAAACACACCTTCCATGTGTTTTTCTTTCAGAGACAAGCAGCAGGGAAGAGCCGACCACACTTTTACCCAGAGGTAAGGCCTCCCAGGGAAGTCAGCTCTTAACGTAGATCACAAGGGCCCAGAGGTTGTGAACACACCTCCTCCACTGGGCCTGTCACACAGAAGCTGGAGTGGCCCATGACACTAGACAAGCCCCCACCTTGGCTGGTTGGGAGAAGCAATTACTTCTGATAAACCCATCGTCAAATGACCCCAGTACAAACTCTGCCCCTTGCTGTGAGACTGTACAGTCCAAATTCTCTCTCTCCTTTCTTGCTCTATACTCAGATCCTACTATATGGTGTAACCAGGATGGGCCCTAGTTAATGCTCAGATGGAGCAAGGCTCTTCTGGCTGGGTGAGCTGCTGGCCACTATGACCTCCTGACAGCCTCTCCTTCCT